AAGGGGTCGGGATAATTGGCAAGGCCAAAAGGGTCAAGTCAATAAAAAATGTGCATGGAGTGTTCCCGGTGCACCGCCCCCTATCTCCCCACCCTTCCAACCTGCACTCCAACCCGCGGGCCTCCCTCACCCCACCCACTCAACCCCGTCCCGTCGCTTTGGGATAGTAAGGGACGAAAAAAAAGGCCATCAACAAACGGAATCCTTGCTTTGTAACGCTTCTTCCATAGCTCCTGCACGGGTGCATGTCTATGTTCCTCAATTCCGATGTTCCCTAATACCGATGTTCCTCGAAATCCTTACCAATATAACCCTAACCCTAACCCTAACCCTAATCCTATGGATTTGGGGGAACATCGGTATTGGGGAACATCGGGTAGATCCCCTGCTCTGCTGCACGTACGTACGTGTATACTGTATACAGACTAACTGATCATTCGCAATTTTTGGCATTTCCTTCGAAAAATGTCCATGCATATTGCTCGCGACCATCGCACAATCAAACCGACCACCCACATGTGGCACACTATTCGACAGCTAAAATCCTCAACTATTCGAAATAAATTCATTTGAATTTGAACCAAATACTGGAAAGAAGACAAACGGGATTGAAGAGATGGACTCCTACTCCTAGCGAGAGTGGCCGAAATTGATCGACGACGATGTCATGCGCGTATTTTAAAGCAAGAATTTGACGATTGCGTCATAAAATTCGGCGCTGTTCACCTAATTTGCATACGAAGGTTTCTGTGAATAGTTTGTCGTGGCCCCCACCCTCTGCCCCAAGGATCGGGATTATAATGCAAGGACCAAATCAAAAGAAGATTGAGAAATTCCAGGCCCTCCCCATCTGCGGCTCTCCCGGGGATATTCAACCCTCCTGGTTCGGAGTACTATAACCCCTCCACCTCTCTCTCCCCCTCTCTCTCCCAGGAATGATATTCCATCCTCTTTGTTTTGGGAAATCCAACCCGTCCCCCCACCCCTCCACCCACGGGCAAGCAAGTCTGAATAAAATCACTTGAAGAATATGCAATCCTTTGTTTGGTAAATCCACCAGCCCTGCCCACTCCCACACCCACCCACTGGGCATGCAGATTTGGAACTTAGAATCACTGGAAGAAAATCCCCCGACCCCCAACAACCCCTACCCGGCCTCAAACCCCCCCCCCCCCCCACCCCAACCCAGTCCCTTCTCGCAGTAAAAAAGAAAGTCTGGTCGGGAACGTAATTGCACCACCACCGTAAAAAGACAAAAATCACTGTTGGAAAAGAAAATAATTTCAGCTTTCTTGGCATGGCTTGAACCGCACACCCCGCCCCCGCCACACCCCGGGGGTCTGAATATGATATCCAGGACAGGGGAAATGAAATAAAGGGGTAGGCCTACTCCCAATAATGTAATAAAGGTGCATCATTCATCAGAAAACAAAAAATCTTGCTTTTTAGATTAATTTTGTTTTTTTTATTAGAACGCAAGCGGTGATGGCGTGATCAATTATTGAAAATCATTTGCAATTTTTGGCTGTTCCATCGAAAAATGCCAATGCATATTGCTCGCGACCATCGCACTATCAAACCGACCACCCACATGTGGCACACCATTCGACAGCTGAAAACCTCAACTATTTGGAATAAATTCATTTGAATTCGAACCAAATGTTGGAAAGAAGAAAAATAGGATTGAAGAGATGGACTCCCAGTGAGATTGGCCGAAGACGATGTCATGCGCGTAATGAAGCAAGAACTTGACAATGACGTCATCATGAGCGGAGCTGTTCGCCTAGTTGCATACGAAGGTTTCTGTGAATAGTTTGTCGGGGCCCCCACCCTCTGTCTCCAAGGGTCGGGATATAATGCAATGACCAAACTCCGCTGGATCGACGGCCTCACCAGATGGAGCGGTCTCAGCGTGGATAAACTAACTGCGGCGACCCTTCAGCGAAGGAAATCACCCCTTCACCAGTCACACAACCCAGAAGAATTGGACGGTTGTTGCGTCAACGGGCAGTAGCCTACGACGTCTGATGATGATGATGATGATGATGATGATGAGGATGATGAAGAAGATTGGGAAATTCCAGGCCCTCCCCTTCTGATGCTCCCCGGGATATTCAACCCTCCTGGTTTGGAGTACCTTAACCCCCCCCCCCGACTCATGTGGCCCCACCACCTCTCTCCCCCCAAGAGCAGCACGTCTTAAGATTAATAACTAAAAGAACATAAAGGACATTCCACCCTCTTTGTTTTGGGAAATCCCCCCCCCCCCCCCACAACCCCTACCCGGCCTCAACGGGGTCCGCTCATAAGTCCGACGCCTCATAAGTCCGACAAAATCACATCCCCTAACCAAATAAAGGCCCATAAGTCCGACGCCTCATAGGTCCGACGCCTAATAAATCCGACGCCTCATAGGTCGACGCCTCATAGCTCCGACGCCTCGTAAGTCCGACACTCGTTTTTCCGTTGTCGGACTTTTGAGGCGTTGGACTTATGAGGCGTCGGATCTATGAGGCGGAATAAATAAAGTCCGACGCCTCATCGGACTTATGAGGCGTCGGACCTATGAGGCGTCGGACTTATGATACGGTCCCGCCTCAACCCCGGCCCGGTCCATGATATCGCAGTAAAAGAAAGTCTGGTCGGGAACGTCATTGCACCAAATTAAAAGACAAACTTCACTTGTTGGAAAAAACAATTTCAGCCCTCTTGGCGTGGTTTGAACACCACGCTCCGCCCCCCCCCCTCCCACCGCCCCATCCCCAGGGTCGGAATATGGTATCCAGGGCAGGGGAAAGGAAAAAAAGAAAGTGGTATTCCCAATAATAAAGTCACATCATTTATCAGAAAACAAAACATCTTGATTATTTGGTGACTGCTCTATGTTCCGACACCCCTATGTTCCGACAACCTAGATTGTGTTACTCCCGGTTAGGGTTAGGGTTAGGAATAGGAATATGTGCAGTCGGAACATAGGGGTGTCGGAACATAGAGGTGTAACCGATCATTTTATTAATCTTGGGTTTTTATTAGAACGCGCGCGGTGCCGGCGGGCCGGATATAGCCGGCGTGATCAATAATTGACAATCATTCGCAATTTTTGGCAGTTCCAGTGATAAACTTCCATGCATTTTGCTCGCGACCATCGCACTATTAAACCGACCACCCACTTAGGCCACACCATTCACCAGCTAAAAAACTCAACTACTCGGAATTAATTCATTTGATTTCAAACAAAATGTTGGAAGGAAGAAAAACAGGATTGAAAAGATGGACTCCCTTGGACAATACGAAGTTTGAGTTCCAAAAAGGAAAACGCGAAAACAATTTTTAATCGTCAAAACTCACCCTTTCATTTTGACGCTGTCTTCGGCAAAAGGAAGCGGACATCATTCTGTTGCTTTCAGCATGTAAATTTCTGGCAGGTGCATCCTCCGATGTAGGCCTACAGTGATATTATTCATAAAACTGAAGGAGTCTGGCCGAAAATTGGCCGAAGTAGATGGCATGCGCGTCAGCAAGAATTTCATGATGATGCTATAATGAGCGGCGCTGTTTACCTAATTTGCATATCAAGATTTCTGTGTTGGTGGGGGCCCCCACCACCCACCGGCCACTAGGGTTGGGATATGTTGCAAGGACCGAAAAAAAGAAAAGGAAATGTGAAATTCCACCATCCTCCTTTTGAGCCCCCCCCCCCCCGGATTTTAAGCTTCCTGGTTTTGAGTACTCTACCCCCGACCCCCCTCTACACTCACGAGGCATCCTCCCCCACGGCCCCCCCCCCCCCTCCACCGGGAACCCCTTATGTGCACTCCCCTTCCATGGAGTCCTGATATGGTGCAGGTGTTAGAAATGAAAGACAGGAAATATTCCATTATCCTGGTTCTCAGTACCCCCCTCCCGTTCCTTTCCCCCCACCCAGGGGACCCCACCCCACCCCTCAAGGTGTTTGGATATATGCAATGGCCCTTCACCCAAAGAATGTGCATATTCCACCCACTGTGTCTTTGTTCCCCCGCCCCCACCCCATCCCCTCCCCCTCCCCCTCCCCCTCCCCCACCCCACCTGCAGGCCTCCCCCGCCCCACCCGCGGGCCATCCCCACCCCAACCCACCGCCCAACCCCGTCGCATCGGGATACAGGGGAAAAGGGACAGAAAAAAAGAGACACACACACATTTCATCAAACGGGATCCCTTTAATCAAACGGGATCCCTTTAATCTTCGTAACCGTCTTCCACTGAGCTATATATATCTCATGCACGTTGCACGTGTTTATATCACGTGATTACTTCACTATCATTCGCAATTTTGGGCAGTTCTAGCGAGCAATTTTTATGCATATTGCTCGCGACCATCGCCGTATCAGACCGACCACCCACATGTGCCACACCACTAAAAAGCTGAAAACCTGTTCTATATGGAACTAATTCAGGTTTTCCCCAACCAAATTCGAGAAGAAAGAAATTTAGGATTAAAAAGATGGACTCCGTCGAAAAATAAGAAGTTTTGGTTCCTAAAAAAAAACACGCTAAAAAATGTTTGAACTGTCAAAACTCAGGCAATATTTCATCGATTTTGACGCTTTCTTCGGCAAAAGAAAGCAGATATCATGAGCTTTTCTACTGTAAATTTCTGGCATGTTCACTCTCCGATGCATAATGATTTCATTCATAAAACTGAAGTGAGTCGGGCTGAAATTGATGGCATGAGCGCAAGCACGAACTCAACGTTGACGTCATAATGAGGGGCGTGTTGACCCCAATTTGCATAGGTGAATTTTCGCGATAAGTTTGTATGTGATTTGAACATGGATCTTAAATGTGATGTCTACATGTATGTACATAAAACTTTCTATTTTCCCCCTTGATTAAACCATCACAAGACAATAACAATTAAAGTACAATAAGTAGTGCTCATCTTTAAAAACAAATTCATAACGAATAACATCAGCGACATTTAAAATTACATTCATCAATATTACAATACAAAACTCACTCAAAAATCCAAGAAAGGCATGTGTTGATTTACAACGTAAAACTCAATGGTCCGATGGTTCTCGAGTCTGTTCAAGTGTTAAATGGTAACGCAGTGCAGCCAATGAAAACTGGATTGAATGTTACATAGATCGATCATGTACTGACGGCCTAGATGTTTTATCAGGTGATGTATAAATTCCTAGAAAAGATCAAAGTTCATCATGATCAGAGCATAGCTATCAAACCCACGATATGTGGGTAAACAGTAGTGAAGGTCAAACTTGAGTGTTACTGTTAGTTATCCCCCCCCCCCACAACCGCGCCTGGAAAAGACCAAGATTATATTATAACCACTTACTTTCCTGGTAACTGGTAAAGAGAATACAAATGAGAAAGACAGTTACCCTAGTCCGAAAATTTGGGACTCTCAATACTGCAGTTACCCCGGATAGATCTACACATTCATGACATTTCATAAGACCCCTGAAATTGTTCCCAACAAGCGGTAATTTTGAAAAAAGAACAAAATCTTCTGATATTTAGTGATAAACTTACCGCTCACAATTTCACGTGCCTACCGAGTTAACATTTCATTGCTCTTTCGTTGAGGGCGTGTGTAACGTCACCGTAAACGAGTCGCGCTCAATCAATTACCGTTTCGTGTAATATGTGCCCCGCGCCAAAAGCCCTAACTATCGTACGGCGTGGGGCACATCACCACTACACGAAACAGTCGTAGACTCAGCGCGACTTACTATTTTTTCGATGGACGAGGGGAACCCCCGCTCGGCTATCGGCGAGGGCGATCTATCTCCGGCCACTCGCGGGCTGGTAGCTGATGGAGTCGGGGGGGGGGGGGATGGAAGGGGTTGACATTGAGGACACTTGACACGTGCCAGCAAAAGATGAATGAGATTTGTGCACAGAAAATTACGATTGGAAAGATTCAGGGAAAAGATTAAGGTCTTACGAGGGACCAGGACAACAGACTTTCCATCCTAATTTATCAGAGGTGACGGGTGAATATTTTTCTACCTCTGTTATTATGGCCATTGTTTGACATAATACAAGTGTCTTTTGCACTCTTTATTAAAGTGGATTTTCTACAAAATGTGTTAAGCAAACGAATCATTTAAATGTTTTAATAAGATAAACAATAGGCCCCCGTATAAAAATGTGGGCATTATTTTCAGAGTCCTCGTTAAAACTAAACTGCAACAGTATCAGGAGGAACAAATGGTTAAAAATCTTTGCACAAAATGTACATAATGTACCTCTTACTCTGCCAACAAAGCTTTCAAACAAAAACCTCCAAAAAAAAGACAAGCTTTAGGAATAAGTATTGCAAGTTTTTATTCTAAAATAGGATTTCAAGGAGAATTTTATACCAAAATCATGTTTACAAAATATTTTTGTACAACAATATGCACAGAAGGCTCACATGATCTCTTAGAGACATTCATTTTGACAATTCCAGGGATTTACAAGTCTCTAATAATAATAATAATAATAATAATAATAATAATAATAATAAAACAGCATTTATATAGCGCAATATGAATCAAAGATTCCTCAAAGGGCTTAACAATAGAACAAGAAACAGTAAAATAAAAATAATCCCAATTTAAAAACCTAATTAGTAATTATACACAGTTACAACACACAATTACTTTACATCAAAGGGACATTACTTTTCACAGTACAGGGCCCAATCATGCATGTATTAAGACGGATAAGACTGATTGTTTCAAAACACTAAGATGCATAAATTTATTTATCATCAGTGTTGTTTCTCAGGATGTAAATTATCTCAGGATATTTGATACCAATACACAACTTCAATTAACTTGTATATTTTGTAAAGTTCATATAACTGGCTTTGTTAAAGGGAAGATACAACATTTGCAAACATCAAGAAACGAAATGATCAAATTATAACAAAATATCTTACTGGACTGTATGACCGGTTAAAGCAAATTGTAAAATTGTGGCTCCTTGTGTGCTGACATTTTCAAGAAAACTTGTATTTTTCCAACGCTGGTCGGCCGACCATCGTTGGAGAAAACTTTTTTTTTTTCCTCAAAAACTGCTCCTAATTTTTCATCTTTAGTCAATCTGCATTAACTTTGCAATTGATTACACATCTGTGAAGGGGTACAAGCCTGCTAGACTGATTCTCTCACCCTACAATTCCCAATGTCTATAAGTTGCAACGTCTCATCTTAAGTGGGGTCAGAGAACCAGACAACCGGGTTGATTTTCTTGGATTTTCCAGCATCTCCGAACTCAAAACGTGAAACAAGCTAGTTTAACAATATTTTCTATAGCACACTAATCCTCCAAATGAATTTATTTTTGAAAATTGCAGCAAAAGCAAATGTTGTATATTCCCTTTAATGTAAACGATTACCAATAATCCAATAAAATGTTTAAAACGGGTTATGGTTCTTTAACGCTGACTTGTAAACTGGTCAATCATAAGTCAATCACAAGTCAATCACAAGTCACGTTTCAAGTAACTGGATGAACAATGATAAAGGGACGACCAATCGACCATGACACTGTTCATTTGAAAAGATTGCAACGTGAATTGAGATTTTCAGGAAAATGCCATTCAGTTTAGACATCTTCTGTTAAATGTGAACCCAAACATCTGCTCATTGAAAACTTGTGCGAAACGTTTGCTCATTGGTGTACTGCCATGTAGAAGACAATGAATCACCAAAGAAAAGAAATTTACAACAGCAAAGGTTCCCAGGGGCGGATCCAGGAATTTTTGCAGGGGGGGGGGTTTCATCAGCTTATGAATATAGAAATTTGCATTAGCATAAAAAGCAAAAAGGCACCAAAACCTTTTTGAAAATGTAAAAACGAAAATTCAAAATAAAATTAATGGGACACTAAGTTGCATTAAAAAAAACAACATATGGGTCGGTCAATTAATTTCTGCTCAGCCAAGCTAGCAAATTCTTGATTACCATTGGTCGCTAACTTGCTTTTATCACCATTATCACCTTTTATTTACCAGCAGCTTTCTCAAGACCAAAAATGGTGTTTCCTTGAAATCCGACGTTGTCTTTGGCCAGGTTCGTAAAGGTTATGTACATCCTGGGAACAAAACACAAGAAATGAATTAAAGTGCATATTCATGTCAAATACACTCCACACATTACAGAACCCCCACCCCCTTTTCTGATGACTTGTGATATGACTTTTGATATAGGACTTGCGAATGACTTAATTGTGATATGATTTATGATGTGAATGGTGATATGACTTATGATGTGACTAGTGCTATGACTTGTGATATAGCTTGCGATTGACTTGTAATATGACTTTCGAATTGACTTGTGAATGACTTGTGATATGACTGGTGATATGATTTGTGATATAGCTTGCGATTGACTTGTGATATGACTTTCGAATTGACTTTTGATATGACTTGTGAATGACTTGTGATATGACTTGTGATATGACTTGCGATTGCTCTGCGATATGACTCACGATATGACTTGTGATATGACTTATGATACGACATGTGAATAACTTGTGATTTGACTGGTAATTTGACTTGTGATATGACTTGTATTATGACTTTTAATTTGACTGGTAATTTGACTTGTGATATGACTTGTAAATGACTTTTAATTTGACTGGTAATACGACTTGCGATATGAATTGATTGAAATATGACTTGTGATATGACTTGTGATATGACTTGTGATATGACTGGTGATATGAATTGTGATATGACTTGTGGATGACTTGTGATATGGCTTGTGATATGACTTGTGATATGACTTGTGATTTGAATTGTGATATGAATTAAGACTGACTGGTGATATGATGTGTGATATGACTTGTGATACAACATGTGAATAACTTGTGATTTGACTGGTAATATGACTTGTGATATGACTGGTGATATGATGGTCATATGATTTGTGATATGACTTGTGATAATATGACTTGTGAATGACTTGTGATATAACTTGTGATATGACTTGTGATATGACATGTAAATGACTTGTGATATGACATGTAAATGACTTGTGATATGACATGTAAATGACTTGTGATATGACATGTAAATGACTTGTGATATGACTTGTGATTGACTTGCGATATGACTTGCGATATGACTTGCGATATGACTTGTAATATATGATTCATGACGTGACTTTGTGACGTGACTTGTGATGTGACTTGCGATATGACTTGTGATTTGACTTGTGATATGAATTAAGACTGACTGGTGATATGATGTGTGATATGACTTGTGATACAACATGTGAATAACTTGTGATTTGACTGGTAATATGATTTGTGATATGACTTGTGATATGACGGTAATATGACTGTTAATATGACTTGTGATATGAATTGTGATATGACTTGTGACATGACTTGTAAATGACTTGTGATATAACTTGTGATATGATTGGTGATATGACTTGTGATATGACATGTAAATGACTTGTGATATGACTTATGATTGACTTGCAATATAACTTGTGATATGACTTGTGAAATGACTTGTATATGACATGTGATATGACTTGCGATTGACTTGCGATATGACTTGCGATATGACTTGTGATATGACATGTGATATGACTTGCGATTGACTTGCGATATGACTTGTGATATGACTTGTGATATGTCTTGTGATATGAGACTTGCGATATGACTGGTGACGTCAGGATATTTGACTTGTGATTTGACCTGTAATTTAACACTGGCGCCCTCTACCGGCATGTGTAAAGCCAATTTAGAGAAACGCTGGCAAGATTCTTTTTACTTCCTTTTCATAAAAAGAAATAATATACACACCTGTCGGGTTTGACGCCAAGCTTGCCCAGAACTTCTGTTATGACTTTGGCATACTTGATGTTCTCATTCTGTGAAATCTTGCCAATACTCTTCATACTGACAAGGGCGCACGGGTCGGTGGAACCCCCAAATGCCATGAGCTGTCCTGCGTTCAAACGCACTGCAACTTGCTACAATAGGGTGGGAAATACAGGAACACATAACTGCTAAAAAGATTGGAGACCTGTTTTTTTTTTGCCAGTTAGGTTTAGCCATTACACATATTATATAAAACATTTAAAATACAACATCTTTGAAAGAGAGTGTTCAGTGCGGGACATAATCAGGACTGCCTTTGAAATAACATGCAGATACAACAGTGTCAAAATTCCAAGTTGCCTTCATGTTGAGTTTGACAATTTTAACAACAAAGAAGGGGAAATGCTATACACTGGGGATAAAGGGTAAAAGAGTTGTCCCCCCCCCAAACCCCCCCCCCCAGATTAAATGTTTTGATGTTATTATAGCACTCTTGCTCATGCATTCAGCTGTGAAACTTTGAAAAAGTGACTATTTGGAAAACGTTTGCTCTTCAAAACTACCACCCTTACCTGCACTGGCTTGCCAATCATCTCGGAGATAGTTTTAGAAGTGTCCACCACAAAGTTTGATGGAATATTTGCTACCTTAGCATTGGTGTTGATCTCGAACATCGGCATCTTGACAATTTTGGACGATTCTAGAGAAGCCAGAAAGAGTTTTAAATGAGTCAGATTTAAATAAGAAAGAAGTTGAGTCAAACCTTGGCAGCTGTTATGCCCGAACTACATGTATAACAATGGTTCCACATTTCAGGGACCAAAAAAATCCTTGATTTAAATCCACTAGTACACTGTACGGACCCAAAAATCCCTACTTTTAAATCCACTAGTAATGTGGTATACTGGGATCACAATTTGCCAATTTGAAGGGGGTGGGGTTTAAACTTTAAATATTTAGGGAGTGTTTTGACATGGAATGACCCCATTGGCCAACTGAAGAGCAGATTTCACAAAATATCACGAGTCTTGGCCATGTTGGCTCTATAGTCTTAGCTTGAGTAACTCCAGCTCCAGTGCTAATCAGGAATTCAACATCATATGAGCTGGGGCTAAAACTATGTTGTAGATACTAGTAAGAGGCCCTAAAAATGGGGACTCTGTATCTGTATCATGTAAATGGTCTTTTTTTCCCTCTATTGATCCAAACCCAGATTCTAGAATTAGTAGACATAGTAGAAGGCACCTCTCATTATTAACAAGCGGTGCCTTTATTCTATTTCTAGAAGTACCATTAAACATATTGACGTATGCTTTTTGGAATCTGGGCTGGGACACTAGAGGGGAAAAGGACCATTTTTGTGATACAGATAAAAAGAGTAATTTTAGGGCCTCTTTTAGTCTTAGAATCATAGTTTTAGCTCCAGCTCTATGTCAAATTCTGGCAGCATTGGATTTGGAGCTGGAGTTAATCAAGCTAAAGTCCCAGCAACTAGGACTCTATGAATCGCCTTTTTTTTAAATTTGGACATGGTCTGGCATGTCTGGGGATTAATAATAGATACTATAGACTAGCCCGATCATGTCCAAATGAAAAAAGGCGATTCGTACTTTAGGCAGGCTAGGCTAGGCCTAGTACTACTACTACGTAGGCCTACTACTACTTATTCCTCCATGGTACTACCATGGAGTATTCCTCCATGGTACTACATTCTAGAATAGAAGGCACCTTTCCATTAGCGGAAAGTAGTCCCAGTAACTAGGACTCTACGAATCGCCTTTTTTAACATTTGGAGATGGTCGGGCGATAGTAGGATTAGGCCGACCATCTCCAAATGTTAAAAAAGGCGATTCGTAGAGTCCTAGTTAAAGCGGAAAGGTGCCTTCTGAAGTAGCAGGCAAGTACATGTAGCTTGAGTAACTCCTGACATGTTCATCAGGAATTCACATCTGCTGGAGTTACTCAAGCTGTAACTTGTAAGGTCCCCCTACCAATAGAAAAAACCATAAATGCAAAATTACGTACCTTCCCCTAGCCAGTTAATACCAAGTATGGCCTACACTTGTTTTGCTCTTTCATTTTTATAGCTCCTTGTATTTTCTGCCTTGTCATGTTGGCAACGCGAACGGGGGGGGGGGATTTTATTTGTGTACAGTGTACACACTGCTACTTAGCGAAAGTTGATGAAGCTGGACTTGTAGTTCTTTTCAGAAAATGGCCCGTGTGTAAGCTAGGTACTAGGTAGCCCAGGATGGACTCCGTTGTGTACACGCAATGCTACGAAGACGTCGTCCAACCTGGGCTAGGTACTAGGTAAATAGCAACAGGTGCCACTGCACTTGCTGGGCACGTGCACATGTCACAACGATCGCGCCATTTGACACGGGATAGTCCATAATTAGACAGTGGGGGAAAATGGTTGTTGAATTTTTAATATTGAATATTTAATTCTATATTTTCAAAGATATTTTCATCAATATTTCCCTTACAATATATAATTCTTATTTTTTTTTTTAAGTCTCAACTTAACAATGAGTAGATGGAAATATGAGGGAATGCATTCGTAACTGTTGTTATTCATTTTCAGCGCACCCCGTTTTTGAATGATAGCTACCTCGAAAGGTCAAGTGTCACGCCTGCAGAATTAGAAATGAGTGACGGTCGAGATGCAGACGGGTTCACGTTAGTGGGCAGAAAAAGGCGAGGGAAAACGCCCACTTTTGCACAAAGTGAGAGAAGTTTTGTCAGGGAGGAAAGCCATGACAACCTCAAGATTGTTCAGAGCATAGAAAGTGGCAGAAACGTTGACAAAGCGGTTGTCGAAAACAAAATTTTACTTGCTAGGTAGGTCGCTTGTTTTGTTATTGTCAGACCCCCGGCCCTAGCCCTAAAGCTACGCGGTCCTATTTCTACGCACTCGCGTGTGACAACGTGCGCGCGTTGCAAGCGTTACCTGCGCATATTATAGAGGGTCGAGGCGTCGAGGATATGCCAACAATAATGACGGGTCACACTAGTAGTACAGCGCAGAGCCTCATTTAACATACTAAAGGCGAGTTGGCCTGAGGGGTAGGGCATAGGGCAATGTAGCTCCATAAATGTGGCCTATTTACTGGACTGCCTCCGTAAACATAGGCCACACATCCACATGTACAAAAACGTGTCGACTTTGCCAAATTTTGATTTTCACATTTAGGCTTACTTTGTAGGGTTTTTTTTGCTTTAGAAGCATTCTCACCCTCTATATTAGCCCGACTGCGTCTGGCCGTACAGTACTATCGCAAGCTCTGTAGTACGGCCAGACGCCCGATGCTTCCACAGAGACTGAATTTTGTTGGCCGCCGATGTAGCGATTTTGCTACATCTTTCAATCGCGATTATCTTTTCATCCAGGACACAAATTTCCAAAGTTAAGATTCGTAGTCGTAGAGCAACTCATACCTTTTCGAAAAAACGTTGTTTGGTCTCAATATTTTCATCCATCTGGCCACAAGACGAATTTCAGTCATCAGATTCCACAAATATCGTCCCCCATGCGATCCCCCATGCGATTTCAAAATGGCGGCCGCGCTGTAATGTATGCAATATGCAGGCCCGCCCGCGCAAACTCATGAATATGCATAAACAGTCTGTGACGTATGACCTCGTGTTTTTGGACGTGCGTGCGGCGGGGCCGTACGTCCAAAAACACGGTCTACGTCACAGACTGTTTATGCATATTCATGAGTTTGTGCGGGCGCGCCTGCATATTGCAACATTACAGCGCGGCCGCCATTTTGAAATCGCATGGGGGATCGCATGGGGGACGATATTTGTGGAATCTGATGACTGAAATTTGTCTTGTGGCCAGATGGATGAAAATATTGAGACCAAACAACGTTTTTTCGAAAAGGTATGAGTTGCTCTACGACTACGAACCTTAACTTTGGAAATGTGTGTCCTGGATGAAAAGATAATCGCGATCGAAAGATGTAGCAAAATCGCTACATCGGCGGCCAACAAAATTCAGTCTCTGTGGAAGCATCGGGCGTCTGGCCGTACTACAGAGCTTGCGATAGTACTGTACGGCCAGACGCAGTCGGGCTACCTCTATATAGGCTAATCAGAAAGTGCTGCCTTTTTCAGATGTCTAATTTTTGTGAAATTTCATGTTGAAATTTTGATACGCAAACGTGTGCAAATGTATCTGGAAATGTCACGAAAAGTGGACATCTGAAAAGGCAGCACTTTCTGATTAGCCTATATAGAGGGTGAGAATGCTTCTAAAGCAAAAAAACCTTACAAAGTAAGCCTAAATGTGAAAATCAAAATTTGGCAAAGTCGACACGTTTTTGTACATGTGGATGTGTGGCCTATGTTTACGGAGGCAGTCCAGTAAATAGGCCACATTTATGGGGCTAAGGGCAATGAACCGAAGGAGTCAGAACTCTTGGTCATGGTTGATTTACATTTTTGACCATTAACAATACATTCCAATCTCTAGGTAAGGTCCATAGCTAGTGTGACCGTAAGCCTGAACCATTCATAGCTCTCAGCAAAAAGTTATGTTGCAACCTGACGCCACTTCCGCGATTGTGTACAAAGTCTATGGAGAGTTAAGAAAATGGAAAGAATGTTGGAACCTGACGCCAAGTTCTGCGATAGTGTGCATGGTCTATGGAGAGTCAAGGAAATTTTCTTAACAAAATTTCCTAACAAAATTGGAAATGTTTTTCAGTCCCAGATTCATGTCTTATCATTTTTGCAATGACTGACCTTCACTGAGATGTGAAGGGAAAAAAACAGCATAAAGTAAAAGTATTACATTAATTTAAGTTATCCTGCCTAAAAAAACAAACATTGATTGACCTTAAGTAGGTTACATCATGTTCTAGAAATGCAGTTTAAGTACTCCTAGAACTATGAGGCTCCACGTAGTGGAGCCTCATAGGTTCAGAAGCCCGCAAAATTGTTGTCAGCACAAAACACTAATTAAGTACAAAAACGTCCATCCCAAGCAGGCCGTTTTCCACAGAACCGCTGCACAGTTTGCCCCTAAACTCCATACAATACCTCATGACATACTCACGTTATGTGCACCCAACAAACATCGGTGGATTCTGTCTGTTTTTCGGCAAAAATGATGAAAAATATGCCCTTTCCGCACTGAGCCAACCTAACACTTGAAACGAGCACGCGTGCAGAATGATCGCAGTTATTTTCGGTTCGATCGCTCGGAGCGCGCCGCGGGGGGTACGTATTTGCACTTGTACGCATGCGCATACTATCGTTCCGCTCCTACACCATACCCCCCGCGGCGCGCTCCGAGCGATCGAACCGAAAATAACTGCGATCATTCTGCACGCGTGCTCGTTTCAAGTGTTAGGTTGGCTCAGTGCAGAAAGGGCATATTTTTCATCATTTTTGCCGAAAAACAGACAGAATCCACCGATGTTTGTTGGGTGCACATAACGTGAGTATGTCATGAGGTATTGTATGGAGTTTAGGGGCAAACTGTGCAGCGGTTCTGTGGAAAACGGCCTGCTTGGGATGGACGTTTTTGTACTTAATTAGTGTTTTGTGCTGACAACAATTTTGCGGGCTTCTGAACCTATGAGGCTCCACTACGTGGAGCCTCATAGTTCTAGGAGTACAGTTTAAGATGTTGCATGTAATTCAAGGGGAAAGGATTTTCATTTTCAGCTGGTTTTTTTTTTATTTTAGTGATTTAATCCAATACTTTAATGATTTCTTTTCGCAGGGACGAATTGCAGATTAGTGAATTTTATAGGATCTTTCGAGGCAAGTATATGTTTTATTTCAAAGATGTGATATGAAATAATAATTCAACAAATCTTAACATCAATAGATTATCTGTCTGTTTACTTTCTTGTTACGAAGCTAGTAATGTGAGTTTGTAGATAAAAAAAGTGTTCATTGTCAAATACATGTAGTGATAAAGAAAGTGTTTTGTTGTAGTATCATGGTACTTGGTTTGCTTGTTAGTTTAAAAAAAATATCAAGTAAAAATTGCCCAACTTGTTCTTTAATTGCTTCAAAAGTGCAGTTTGTTCAAGTGTTTGAAATGAGTAACTTTCTTCACCCTTAGTTTAGTAAACTGCATCACAGTATAATATCTGAAAAGAGAAATCATTATTTCCAATAAGTATGCAAAGCTGTTGTAATAACAAAATATTAAATACTCTTTCTGCTTCCATCCTTTGCCTTGCAGTGTCACTTTTTGAAAGTCTGAAAGAATTGAGCACGGCCCTGACTGAAAAGGGCAATGTGAATATTACAGACGAGAGTCACGAACAAGCAAGCCCTTCGCCAGAAACACAATCTAATGTTTTTCAAGTCCTGGAAAGTTCCCCCAGAAACTTACTAGATGGTGCAGATGTTGGACCGAGAACAACTTCATGTCCAGAATATGGTGAAGATGAACAGCTTTCTATCCGGACAGACTGCAACAAGGATGCCCAGAAATTTTCCTCAAATATTGGTCCGACTTCAAAACTCGAAAGCAGTAGCTCTGAAGACGGATTCTTGGGTGACCTGAGAGATGAGGTCACAAAGGTCAAGGGTCAAGCCAGCGCTGAGGTCACGGGTCAACCCAGTGGTGAGGTCAGGGGTCAAGCCAGTGGTGAGGTCAGGGGTCAAGCCAGTGGTGAGGTCACAGGTCAAGCCAGTGCTGAGGTCTTCGGCCAGCCAGTGCAGATAGTAGTGTGTTATGGACTTGGCAACTTTTCAGACTGTGCTATTGCGAGGTACCAGCTGGCTCTGCTGCTGCTCATTTGTGACAGCCTGAAGGTAAATGCTGTTGGGTACCAGTGTAAAAAAACAAACTTGGTTGTCTTTACAAATTGAAAAGAGGCAGAGAGTTTTTTGTATCAAAGTCATGTCTTTATTATAATTTGTTCACGAATGTCATTTAATTTCCTTGTGACACAAAATTCAAGATTCAATTTTATGAATGCGAAATTGCTTTTATATGTTCAAGGCTGTTAGAAGAAATTGTTATGCCTGAAAAGAAAGGCTGCAATTAAACACTAAAATCTATAACCAACAGGTGAAGTCGTCTAACTGCCATTTGTATGATCCAAGATTCACAGCTGAGGAGATGCAAGTACTGATGAGTCTCGGCCTGAAGATTATCCCACAGAATGAGGTAAGACGTTCAAAATATTGGTGTATATGTACATTGTACAGCAATAATTAGGGTTCCAACAAATCCTGGAAAATCCTTGAATTCCAAGCTATTGTGGAAAGTCATGGAAAACCAACAGAATTTCTTTGAAGATTCCTGTTGGAACCCCGAATCATGTGGCACTTGCGGAAAGAAAGTGTTTTCTTTGGATGAGATGTAATCTAGTTAAAGATCTAGTTTTAGAGAATTGACCACTGTGCTCCATCGAATTATCTATACGGAAATTTACAGGTTCTCCCGAAATAAGAAGTTACTTGTATGTTCTTAAATTTACTTTCTCAAAATGGATGTCGTGTGAGTGCCTTTAGCAAGTGATATTTGACAGATGATGTGTGCTGTAACTTGTCCATCTTAGAGCCCATCTCAAGTGGTATCCGGACAAGTTCAGGACAAGTTGCGGGTAGAAACATTCACTTTGTACGGAAGAAGCTCTGCATTTGTCCCAGACATGTTCCGGGAAAATTTTCATCAGCAGCTGCTTGACTCACCAATACTGATAACTTCATTGAAGGGAAGATAGCGGGGAAGTTGTTCATAATCCTGCAACTTATACCTGATGCAATGTCCACAACTTGTCCAGAATTCGTCCCTGATATGAATTGATCGAGACGCGCCCTAATTGCGTTGTCAAAATTGTGTTCGAAGAAAACTTGCAAGTCGTCATGTTTCGTATTGAGGTAGAGCACCAACCTGTAAATTTCTGTTTCCTCCTTACAATTCAAGTGACCCTCTGCTCATGAAAAAAAATCTGCATTTCACTGGAATTACACACCAACAAATTTCACCCGAAACACATTGGACTTATAAGCTCACACATTTTGCAAAGGCTTCAAGCTACATGTAGGTGTATCTTTCTGTTGAGGTTTTGTCTAGCAAGTAAATTGTGGATCCATTGTGAATGGTAAGGATTTATCTTCTTGCAACTACAAGATATTGAAATATTGTGGCTTATCATCATTTGCAATTCAGCTTCGTGGATTTTTGTGGATTTAGGGCAGTTAAAGTTAAAGGGAATGTACATCATTGGCTTTTGCTGTAATTTTCGGAAATGAACTATTTGAGGGGTTAGTATAATTGATCAAATATTGTTACACTGACATTTTTGAAGTTTTATGTTCGAAAAGGTTGGAAAAACCAAGAAAAACAAAAATGTTCAAGTAGTCTGGTTCCCTGACTCCACAAAAGATAAAATGGATCAATTTATAGATGAGGGAAAATTGTAAGGCAAGGGAACCAGTCTAGCTGGCCTGCACCCGTTCATGAACATGTTACCAATAGCAAACAAAATTTGACTGAAAAAATGGTAAATTTGGAGCAGTAGTTGAAAAATAGTTGGGTTTTTCCAACGCTGGTCGGCCGACCACTGTTGGAAATGTATACAAAAATACCATTTTCTCGTAAATAACTTCACACCAGGTGCCATAATTTTACAAAATGCTTGAGACTGTCATTAACCAACATCCTAGTAAGGTATTTCGTAAAAACTTGGTAGTTTTATTTTTCGATGTTTGCAAATGTTGTATATTCCCTTTAAAGCAAAATTAATAATTTTCGGCCTGAATTACAGGAGTGTAAAAGGACAGCTACTGAGCCAACACTCTTCTACATGCCTCACTGCGGCAAGCCACTGTACAACAACTTGCTATGGGCTAACTGGAGTATAAAGGGACTAGCAAATGTCGTCATCATTGGCAACAGCTTCAACAATATTCAAGAAAGGCAAGAACATTATTCAATAATTTCATTGATCATTCATGCGATACTTTGTGTTGAAAATTTTCCAAGAGTGACAAAATTTGCCAATTTTATTTCCTGAAATTTTAATATTTTCCAATATTCCTAACCTCTGGTATCAATAATTAACCCTAACTCCCTAGGCCTTTTTGCTAGGATGATAGCCTCAATCCTGCAAAATCCTCCAATTGGCCTCGTGAAAAAATAGCATGAGTAGCCTCAATCCTGCAAATTCCGCTCATTATCGCTTGAATATGGTCTGTGGAGGGGTGAATCCTGCATAATCCTGCGGCAGTGACTGTCAATATGTTGAGACTTGGCCAGTGACATCCTGGAGCAGTACGGAGGATTTCAAGCATAATCCAGGACTATGCATGGCTGAGCAAAAACAACACAAGGTCTGGCCCAAGACCTTGACAAAGTGCATCCTACACAATTTATGAAATCAGTAACACACTTTTGCCATGTAACCTCAATCCTCCAAATTCCTCAACTTTGGCAAAGAGGATTTTGAAGGATTCAGGGCAGTTAGGGTTAAAAAAAAACTTGATGTTTTCCTGAATTGTTTTGGCCGCTCGCCAAATTTATTCTGAAATTATATGAAACTGGTCACAGTATTGTCATTGGTTTATCATTCATGTTGATGCAAATCGCAGAAAATGTATTCATTGTACTCAATCCAACATTTTTATTCAAATTTCAGATTGCCAAGCCGAGTGTTGCAAGATTTTAGTTACCTACAACAAGTATCCTTTGAGAAAGCTTTCATTTGAGTGAAGGGTCTGTCTAAAACTTAAGGTCCAAAGTCTGAATTTTTTTACCTCGGAGCATTGTATCATTAAGAATGACTTCAAATGTTATTTTTGTTGGGTAGGTAGTTTGCTATTCATAATTGCCTTTGGAGGACAGCTGCATTAAGGAGTGCATTAAAACTGTATAATCATAGCTGTCGGATGTAACAGGGACAGGATAAAAAGTGGACCTTATATGTATAGAATGACGCTGAAAGAAGTTCAGGATGCTTCTCAGAATTAATACCTCTGTTCTGTTCTCATATTTTTCTGTTTCTTTATTGTATTGAGTCATAATCTCAGGTTGAAACAGCCACCTCAAATAACTCTGATTATTATACATGTACCTCTGTCTTGAATACTGTATTATCATTGGCCTAGAATGATCACGTGTTAAGTTTATAAAAAGTCCTAAAACGTGTGGGATATCATGTACATGCTATGACTAGACTTTGAACGTACGGTACCTACGGTGTGAAACGCCTGTATCGTTGGTACCCACGCTATTTTCACCATGTCTTCACACATGAGTGGGAGCAGACGATCAGCTGTTTCGAGCACGCAACATGCATGTGAGTTGCCGTTCGATTGTCATGATTGTTGTGTTTACTGCTGTTTGTTTTCGTGATTTTAACATCAAAATCCAAAGAATCCAAGACAGAAGTATAGCAAAACAATTGTTGACGGCTGTGATGTGGGATGTGGCGTTTTGAGCACCATCGGGGCGCAAAGCACCCTCAGTTTTGCCTCAGGTGCTTTGCGCCCCTCGGGTGTTCAAAACGTCATATCCCAAATCACAGCAGTCAACAATTGTTAATTATGTATCGGCTACAGTATACATGAACGAAACTATGAAATCACTGAGACTATAACCAATACGATATGGGACAGAGGAGTACCCCGATCTCCCTATACACACTCCAGACTAATTGTTACCTAACACCTCCCCCCTAGCTAGGTATCTCAAAAGAATTCCTGAGATTCCGGTAGCACAATGACTATGCAAAAAAACTGTTTCCTCTAAACTAGGTGTGCTAAACAGAATCCTTGACTGCGTTCCCCAAAGCAGCCTGCACTCTCTTTTAGCTGTTAGCTTAGTTACGTCATCTTTAGATTATTGCGGTACTGTTTGGGGAGGGGGGGGGGGGGGGGACGGTACACTTCTCATGACAATATTCTTAACAAACGTCTGAAAAGAGTGCCGCAGATAATCCTGAAGTGTACATTCTTAAGTCTAGCAAACGTATCGACTGGTGGAGTTAAGTGGATGTTATTCTCTGAAAGAATGGAGTATAAAAAGGCTATTCTTGTTTACAAATGTATTTAAACAAAACGACTCCTTTGTTTATGAAAAATCCGTTCACGCCACTTATTCAGATTCATGAAACTAAGCAATCCACTGCCATGACACTGCAGATTCCTTTTGGGAAAAAAGAATGTTATGCCTCGAGCTTTGCTGTAACAATGATATGGAATAATGTGCATGTACCGGTACAGTTGAGAACTAATGACTTCTCGAACCACGTTCAAATCTGAACTACGTACAACATTCAGTCATTACTATTTCTGCATTTATGCGAGTATTTTTTTTTTCACTGCCTTCACTGACTATACAAATATAAATCTGTGCTGACTTACAGAGTTAACAAACTTGGCTGCCATAGTAATGAGCCGGATGAGAATTTTCCCGTTTTTCTCCCAAAAGGGTTTTTACGGTCCCCCCAGACCCCCCCCCCTACATCAGCGAATGTATAAAGATATATTTTTTCCGATGTCTCAAGAAAGAAATTCTTTGTGTTCACTTGATTCACCTTGGGCCTTTAGAAAAGTCTGTTGGCAATATTGTTTCAAACTGTACATGTTTCTTTGTAATAGTTGTACAGTATTTATAGTACATGTACATGTACTTGCTTTACAATCATGCAGTAATCCCCTATGCTTTTATTTCATTGTGTTGTATTGTATTTGTAATGTTCTGTATTAGTGTGTACAGTCCTTCTGATTTGAGGCGTGCTATCACACCCCCACACCATCGCACACCTAAAAGCTTCCTGAGAAGTGTGAATAATTGCACGCCTAAATTTCCCTGGACCACAGATCACACACCTAGAAAATCACACACCTAGAAAAAAAACACACGCCGAGAAAAATCCAGGTGTGCCTTTTTCCACACGCCTGTGATTTTCAAATCAGAAGGACTGTGTAGTCATTTGTAGTGTATACATACTATACAGGGCCCCAATCCCTCTATCCCATATCATGCTACAAATGACAGAAACAGGCAAATGAGGCTAGGTCCAAAACGACTTTTAAGGGTAAGGCTTCAAATGGTTTTTGAATTGGATACACTTCAGTGAAAATCCATAGCCATAGAAAAGTACTGTTTTAGAGTCACAGCCAAAACATAAGAACCTTTTGAGAATAGCTTTGTATAATGTGTTCCTCAATCTTAGCATTCTTTAACTCTCAACCCCCTCAGATTATACGCCACACAAGGGAAGTCTCGGTCAAAAATAACTTCCGCTTTCCGGACATTTTCAACGACACGTCCATTCACCTCTTCCCGTCGGAGAGGCTGTGGACCCTTCCCAATGCATTCTGGGATAGGGATGATGAGCCACGCTATGATCCCGATACAGCGATTGAGATCATCCTTAGCAAGTGAAACAAACCACCTGAAGTGACTTCTGCTCAGCAACAGGAGGGCACTGACAATGTTTCTGTGCTAACTCAAGCACGTTGTAACTCATGCACATAAAATCCAAGCAGTCCTTTTTACATTGGAGAATGGAGTGCTGCAAGTACATAATAATAATAATAACTGTATTTATATAGCGCTTTTTGCCAGAGGATACAAAGCGCTGGGGGAGAATGCAACCAAAGCCAGGTAAATGAAGTATATGAACATTATGAGACCCGTTATGTAGCACCTTTTTGCTAGGTGCTGCGGCGCATAATTGCTGCCACTGCCAGAAACACCGGGGCAAGCCCCTCCTCTTAGCGACAAGTGTTACTGGGTTCTTTAACGTGCATTACACAACACACGGGACCTACGGCTTTATGTCCCATCCGAAGGACGAAGCAATAATGGTAGAGTGCCTTGCTCAAGAGCACAAGCACCATGTTCCCATGGTCAGGATTTGAACCCGTGTACCACGGCACACGAGTCGAACACCGTAACCATTGGACCACAGCGCCCATGTATGGCATGGGCACTTGTGATTAGTCTAGGACACCCATGCCAGACCAGCTGGACGTCGCATACGTGCGTTTGGGAAAAGTCTCAAATATTGACTTGTATTTCATCCCTGTTTAATGTTATTGACTCTCTACACGAGTACCTCCTCAAGGGTTACAAAGAGATGGAGTTTGGTAATCGCCCAACACCCTATGCAAACCCTAGATTATCGTTACCTAACACATTCCCCCTAGATATCTCAACAGAATTCCTGAGATTCTGGTAACACAATGACCAACAAAAAGGAGAGGGGGGGGGGGGGTTCCCCCCCTTGTCTCATATCGCGCTACTAGAGTTTGAAGGGACGCTTGGATACATTGTCACTTTAGCCTAACGCTCAATGCAGTTGTACACCAGATTAGTGGGACACAATTTGTACACAAACCAGTCTGTGCACACATACTGAAATTTGTATTCTTGTGGAGACATTTCTTTGTTCTCGTGTACTAAAGTTTTCGAGTTTGAAAGTACAGTTTCAAAATGCTCTTATTTTTAAACCAGAATTAATTTCCTTGGCTGAAATTCAGACTTAATATCCCTTTCCTAAAACTCTTCCATTTGCGACACATCAACCCACCTTGGAAATTCCTAGTTTTTGAGTAAAATCCATACTTCGTGAAAACCTTGTGGAGACGTATTCATCTATAGAAATTGCCCTGTGGAGACGTATACAATCTTTTGTTCCCTATTGTGTGCATGTCTCCACAGGGTACGGTGTATCAGATCACACTTTGTGTCCTGAACATGATTATACATGGGTCCATTGTGTGCTATTTTAAGTGCATATTATAGAGTCGAGGCATGGCTGTGCCCTCAACAGTCAGAATTTGAAGACATTTCAACAGGTGAATTTTTAAGGGCATTGTGCCATTATGTTCATCTATGTTCAAGTGCATAAGTTCCCCTCACATGAGGACTCACTGCTACAAACTGGCCATACTTGATTTGTATTTATGCGTCCAAATGTGTATAGCTCATGTGCAGTCAATCAAACACATTTGTGATGCGATCAAGCTCAATGAGTCGTTTGTCGACCCTGGTCAATTTTTTATTATTTTACAGATTTGAAAAGAGCATGATCTTAGCATTACTGCTGTGAATACTGCATGCGGGTACCATCTTTAGTTTGAAAAATTATGGAAGTCGGAACACCAAGAAATGTGACGAAGTGATGTGATAAAGTGGTCCTATTTTGGCCTGAATCTCCCAAATGAAAATTCCCGACAAACGACTCATGTAGCCTGATCGCATCACATTTATAACAAGGTCCTTGGGACTTTGCAAAATAGCTTGTTACATTGTATATACAACAGGTACCTTGCATTATCAGTAATGAAAAAAACAAAGAAAACCAAAGATTTGGGGCCTAACATTTTCCTTGTATAAGCAGCTTGTTGTATTAACAGTGCTCTTCTTTTCATGGTTGGACTGTACTCTTGTAGCACACAGAATTCCTCAAGACTTCCTGCAGAATATAATTGTGTATTGACATCAAATTTCAAGTTATGTTTTTTGAAACATCATCACAGGTATTTATTGCTCAGATTCAAGCTTTTTAACAACCATTTGAAATAAGTGAAATAAATTTGAAAATTCAAGATACACTTCTCATGCTTTCGACTCTTTTTCTTCTAAATTCTTTTTATTTACAAAACAGTTGAGCATATACTGTTTAATTACAAAGGCAGTTTTCTGTACATTGCAAAAAGTAGGAAAAATCACTTGACAAATCACCAGTGGATAAGATGATTAAGATGATTAGAGCAACCCATATTTTGTTCAAACATAAATAGCACCTACCAGATCAATATTGTGCAGCATTTCAAGAAGCAATTTTAACCCTGCGCAGAGTGACCTGCTACCCTTTTGGGTCCCAGGTAACCAATTTTTTTGAAAAAAAAATAAAAATTGAGGGCCAATGACGGTCACCTTCCATCTAATCCTCATTCGACCCTTGCCAAATCAGCTGGTTCAATGAACTTTGCAGCCAGGGCTACACCCAGGCCGTGTCAACAAACTTTCGACCAGGCCTCCTGCCAAGTCTCATTGAAACATCAACAAAGACCTGTAACTTGACACAGCCATCTCCCATCATAACTGCATACCACAGCCACCAGTCAATTATCTTTCCAGCGCACTGTCTGGCAACTGTCTGGACACTGTCTGGCACATGGCTTTTTGTTGTATTGCTATGAATAGGGTCTTGCGTAGTGCGGGAAAGTACCTGCCAGAGGGCAGCAGCTGACCAGTTGTAAAGTTTTTTGTAAACGCTGCGCAGGGTTCAGACAACAGAACCCAGATACTGATCTCTTCAGATAAAAAAAGGTGGTTTTCTTTAAATACCACAATCCACATCAAACTGGTTAGCCAAGTAAAAATGGCATAAGTCAAATTTCACACACAATTAAAGGGCTGGTAAGTGAAAATAGACTTTCAAAAAAGTGATTATAAAATAAGTTGGGCTAAGGAGCATTTCAAAGCTTTTAAAGCTTCGGAATTATTAAACAAGGTGGTTAAACTCAGAACGGCCCTTAAAAAAAACCCAGTATCTTTCCCCGGAAAATTGACCAAAAATAAACCCCCTAAAAATATAACTACAAAATTTTAATTGTCACAAAAAGCAAACAAAATAAATTAAATACTTCACAAAAATTGCTTGTAACAATTTGGAAAGATTTTTATGTAAAGTTTGTGAATGGCAAAAATATGTGCAGTAATGTTATAGTCACGTATGTGCAGTAATGTTATAGTTGCGTGGTATTGATCACAAATCGCTATATAAATCTAGAGTATGGCGTTCCGTATGTGCCATCGGCGTAGCCTTTTTGGGCGTCGCATTTTTAAGCTCTGGCAGGGATCATTTTGATAGATTTCATGCAAGACTTTCATGCGACACGGCCAGAGCTTATTGTGCACTCGCACTTGTTTTTTTTACCATACAGATGTTTTTAAACCATGCACAATGGAACAGAGAGAAACGTACATGTACTTTGCTGCGATATCTGCATGCATGCTACCCAAGCAGGAGAGATACATTCATGTTGTGACCCATTACAACAGGCATGCAACTTTTTCCTCGGATCTGCTGATTTCCTTTGTTTTTTACTTCTCATGAATGCTATTACCAATTGAAAATTACTGTACAAGGTCTTGTGTGGTTTCGGGTTTCCTCATTTTTTCCCCCTAAATTCCCAGTTGCATGTCTGTTAATATATACAAACCAGTAATGTTTTTATGGTTTCTTGCCGATGATGTATTCAAGTGAAACTAGGTTGTTTTTTTTTTTACCAGCTCTTTCAGTACACCGTTAAAATGTGAGTTGATACTAAATTCTGAGGCAGGAAGCAAATTTGTTGATAAAAATTGCAGATTGTATTCAAGTGAAACTAGGTTTTTATTTTTTTTTACCAGCTCTTACAGTACACCGTTAAAATGCCAGTTGATACTAGATTCTGAGGCAGGAAGCAAATTGGTTTTGGCTTGAAATGAATAAACGTCTGTTAAATTGTAGCGTAATAATTTGCCACAAATTTGCTCAGCTTCTCATAAATGTTTACATGATGCTTACAGAGGCTTTACGCTGAAGGTTTCAAAGACCATTCCATCACCCACCAACAAAGACTTAAGCTTACTTGCATCTCAAGTAGCACATTTCACGCGACCCCTATTTTTACCAAGTTTCCATCCAGCTGCAAACCTGCCATTCCAAATTGAAACAACCCCCCCCCCCCCAAAAAAAATACCCCCTACAACCCTCACTCTAAATAAATATAGGTGTGGGCAGTGTTACGTCATGGTCAGCCAAGCTGATGAAAACATATTTTCATCAGCATGTGTGCTTTCATCGGTTGCTATGTGTTTACCATTCAGCACTCCTGATTCAAGAACCATTCAGTGTTATGTAAATGAGTCAGGGAGCAAGATAAGCCCATGTTAAAATCCCCCCCCCCCTCATGGCCACGCCCACTTTGAAGTATTGAGAGCTATTTGATGTTTAGAATTAGCAGGGGTCATAATGTTTCACCATGAGTCCTTGGCGCATATATATATCTATGTACAGATTTTCAGTCACTCTGAAAGATTTACACTGGGTTTTCCCCAGCAAAGATTGAAACATTCCAATACCGAAAAGGTTTTACAAATGTCTGAGATCTGCTATACCAGACCCAGCAAGTATTAAAGGTAAAAGTGTAACTTAAGATATAAAATTATGATCAGTACAATATTCTATCATAAATTAATTTGTTCAGAACCTTATAAATATCCATGAATACATGTACATACCCAACTGAAAATATAAAAACTAAAAGTTTTCCATTTGTATCCTGAGTTCTCAAAATAAAAATTCTGACAACACACTATTATGCTTACAACACTTTCCATTCACGAAGCTATGTACCCAATTTCGCTACGGTTGCAAGCCCGGCCACTCCCATACATATGGCCATTATTGCTCCGACTTCTAATGGATTTGGATACCGTACCATAAGTTGTCCAATAATCCCAGACTAGGCCCAAAAACAAAAGTCTCCGGTTTCTGGTATGCGCGCGCGCGTCGCCATAGCCATGCGCGTCGGTAAAATGAGAAAAATTTTTTTCAATGAAAGATGATGTCTCAAAACCGCCAAACTCACTGGTTTGACTGGAATCCTGCTGCTGCACAATTTTAACGTGTTTTTAGATTGGGTTATGGTCGAGAATAAGGTTTATGTGGCCTCTCTGGACTCCCATATATATTTGCACCAAGTTTAGTCGGGCACCATTTGCAGTCATCAGCCGACATTTGAAGCAAAAAAATCAGGTAAAAAAAAAAAAAAAAGCCGCGTCGCCGCACCACTTTTTGGGCAAGCTCCATACCAGAAACCGGAGACTTTTTTTTTTGGCCCTAGTTGTATCTTTTCTATTTAGTAGACGCAAACCAGTCCACCTCCAAGTTCAATGTACATGTAAGTTACCCTAACAACTGCATAATATTCATTCTGCGTTTTCATGGCCACACATTTTGAATTTTTTCAATTGTGAATTTATCAGGCTATACTAAATTAGCAATGTATTGTACAGAAACGTTAATCATCATCAATAATTGCACATCACTCAACACGTTTTCATATGGTGGGTGTCTCCATATCTCCTTTTCAAAGACATGGTGCATGCAAGAGTACCTGTTTTAATAAGTTGAGGAGGGATATTTCAAACACCACATTCATCTCAAACTTTCAAATTAAATTAGGTTTTGCCCTTAATCAACGTATAAACACTGTATACTCGGTGTGTTACCTCCTGAGCGAAAGTTGGGCAAAATCACTCAGGTGGGACTTGAACCCAAGACCTCCTGCTTTCTAGTGCAGATGTCTTACCACTCGACCACCGAGCTAACGGGATCGGTTGGTTGGTTCGAATCTGATGTACATAGCAGCGGTACTGCATGAAGTATTCATAAGATGGAATTGTGCGTCGGGGTGATGTAAATCAAAATAGGTTTTCCCTTCGACGTATAAATACTGTATACTCAGTGTGTTACCTCCCGAGTGAAAGTTGGAAAGAATCACTCCGGTGGGACTCGAACCCACAACCTCCTGCTTTCTAGTGCAGATGTCTTACCACTCGACCACCGAGCTAACGGGATCGGTTGGTTGGTTCGAATCTAATGTACATAGCAGCGGGTACAGCATTAACTATTCGTAAGATGGAATGTTTGCGTTGGGGTGATTGCGATTGTTTTGAGCATGTTCACGTATGTACTGTACCCCTCCACTTACAGAAACATTTCACCGTCATTGCCTACAGGCGTCAGGCTTTTTAGCATTGAATGATTGGAAACATTCAATCATTTTAGAAGACTGTATAGTCCATAAACCATTGCCTTATTGGTTCTCATCAGAGAAAATGGACCAACATTGAGCCACATTCGCACAGATTCAGGCCATTCAAACCCTGAGGTTTAAAGGGACACTATAGGTCCTGGAACAGCCCAATTGGGCTACAAAACGCACTTTGAACGAGATGCTGTTAATCGGAAATAACATTGAAAAGTAGGATATAAACATCCACACAACTGTCCTTTCAAAACTGGGCGTTTTTGTGTTATTCCTGTATTATGCGTGCGAGAACCTATTTCGGCGTCCACTTTTGCGACCCCATAAATTCGAGCTGTTTGGATGCTAGTTGTGATTTCATTCGTAAAGCATTCGCCTTTTGCGGACGTTGAAGAAACCACTTTTTTTTTGCATTGGTGATTTAGTCACCGCTGTTCCCGAGACGCACAACGTGTATATCGTACACTGAGAACGACACGAAAAACATATTCGTATTCCGTCATGTCCGATGTAAACAAGCGGGGGTTTTTTCGTCTTTTCTCGGGACATTAGGTTGGTTTCATTTCAACCAGATGTTTGAAATAGGCTAAGTAAACAATCCAAAACATATAATTTTCAGGGATTTCAGAACCTAGTGTCCCTTTAAAAGAGTTCAAAAGAGAGGATTTGAGTAACCCTTCATTTCACACTCGGGCTCAATTTCAAGCTGCCAACAACTGAAAAGGACGGTATGATTTCTGTCTTTTTTTAATTCTTTGGTGTTCTGTCACTACAAAAAACCCTGGATGTGATTTTCCATAAAATAGAAGCTTCACATTACCCTAAATACGGTAACTATTACTCTGTAGTGGAATAACGTGTCATATTCATTTTTGTTTTTCCCTACTGAAAACCCAGCCCATCGGTGGAACACGTATGAAAAAGGAAACATCCTAGGCTGGGGCCAGCATTTCTGATAATTCGGCAAAACTGAAGATGTGAAGTTGTGTAGCACACATCTTATATATTTTCTTCAGTCCGAATTGACAGCAATATATCTTAACATTATGAATTGGAATATATACTTGAGTCACTTGGGAGTCGGGATTTCACTTTGCGTACATGTTGCAACGTGATTGGACTGCGATGTCTTGTCTGGTTTCTGTACACCACCACGTGCACTGATAACACATAGATGCAGTCAGCAATGGCGTATCAGTCTAAAATTCTTGCAGGGAGCACAATTTTGCCAGCTTTGATTCCCACATGAGCCTGGTTGCTGGTAGTGGAGTGAGGAGCTGGTCTTCTTTCGTGTCCGTCATCTAGGTTTCAAATGTTCGGCCAGGCTCTTGCACAGTGAACAGCCTTCTCGTTTGCCACCGCTAGATCTTACAGGCAGCACTGCTCACCAAGAAGTGGGCATCTTAGTAGGTGTGGCATGGATTGTACAGATGTTCCACATTCAGATGTTCCGAATCAGCATAGCCCCATTTGCTCATGTTCGTCTTGCATCGGCCCATCCCTGTACGAAGCCTGTTGAGGGACTTCCAGGTCTTCTAGTCGCACGTGGGACCAGGTGGTAGCTGTTCCTTGGTTGGGATTGGCAGCTGCTCGTGGTGGCGGCTCTCACTGCGTTTATTTTCCCACAAGGCTAGTCTAGTTGCTTGAGGAGACTGTGACGGTGGTTGGACTGTGTGAAGGAAGCTTTCCTTGACTTCGGGCGGTTTGGGGCTGGGTGATCATGGAAGTGACAGGGATGGCGGGTGTCCCCAACTTGCCTACTACGTTCAGATCTACTGGCAGCTGATCTACGAACTCTGGTGGAGCAACATACCAGCCAAGCTATCCACATCCGTTGGTTTTAGGCAGCCAGTGATGCATCTACAGCTGTTGTGAAGGGCGGCTGGTGATCTTGGTAAATAGGCTTACAACAGACCTTGTTTTTTTGGCACGGCAGTCAAACTGGGAGATGCACACGGTGTAATCTGAATTCTGAATTGCAAACTTTGAACAGCATTCCTTGGGTCAATTGAGTCATATGCACTAGAAGCTCATAGCATCCATCTTTAATTTTAATAAATTAAAAGAGATCTCGCTAATCTTGGGAGTCATAATCCAAACGTCACCCCCGTCCCAATGAAGGAGGGGGAGGGGCTAATGTTGGGGGAGCCCTTATTGTTCTCCTTCATGGTCTTCAGGTCCGTCTTTGGCAAGTGTTCGAAGAGCGCGGCCCGGTTCTGCACCTCGCCCTTCTTGACCCAGTGGCCGTACATGCCGAACGCGCAGGTGTCGATGACCTTACGAATGGCTTTGACCTTGTAAGGGTTCTGCCGGGCCCGGCTGATGGGGATGGAACGTTGGAGGCTTCCGCGAGACAGGCTGCAGATGACGGACACAGCCAGGACAGCAGCCTATGGGAAAAAGAAGATGGGAGACCAGACCAATATTATCGCAAGTCTTACTAACCTTAACCCTGCTGAATCCAACGGGATGCAACTATGTCATATGGGTCATTCCACCGGGTTGGGGAGCAGTGCATGTTACATCCATATTGGTTATATTATTAAAAGTATCTATGAATGATAAACAATTGCTCAACATAATATTTCTCTTAGGGTGTTTCAATACTTGAGAAAGTTTGAAATCATTTGAAAGTACTTTGACAAAAATATGAGCAAAAATGTATTAATTCTGACGTAACATTGACACCGTGTCAATGTTACATCCAAATATTCTTTTTTTGCCATTTTTTACACGTATGTAAAATATTACCCAAATTGACATTGCATATTTACAAATGGACATCTAAGCACCAAGAAAAGCTTTTGTTTTGGTATAGTCAGGGTTCAAATATAGCAGAAACAATACCTCAAGTGTGGATGTAACGGTGTAAATATCACTCAATGGAAGTGTGACATTTGGGTTTTACACCGTGTCAATGCTACGTCCACACAACTAAGCTATCATTTCTGCTCCATTTGATACCTGACTACCGTTACAAAAGCTTTTCTTATTGTGTTGCATCTATAGTAAGAAGTACACAAAGTAAATTTGGGTAATGTTTCACAGAAATTTTAACTGAACTACATTATAACGCCATGTTGGACTCCGTTGGATTCAGCAGACAACTGAAAATAAGGCACAGTGGATTGAACAGGAATCTCCGGTTGGACTCTGTTGGATTTAGCAGGGTAGTCCTGAGGAACTACTAGGGGGTTAGGGATAGTCCCAATTAAGACTTGGGATCTTAAATCTCTGACATGCAAATCAGGCATGCAACTGGGCATTTAGAAACAACAAGGAAATGCCAAACCACACAAGACTTTGTGAGAAGTAAACAATGAAGGAAATCAGCGCATCCGAGGAAAAGTTGCAGCCAAAAATAAGAAGAGGCAGAGCCCAAGCTTTTGAAATTGTACTGGTTGCCACGTTTCATAGCTACCAAAATCAGATTCTATCTTCTCTGTAGTTTGACTGACCTCTCATACGTAAAACATGTAGAACACACAGACTCTATCCTTGTGTAAATATTTCACCCATGTCAAAATTCATGGAGACCAATTAAGACACACTGGCTGTTCTTTGATTCTGTTTCTGAGTGAAAGAATTATAAGCCAGCGCATCATGACAGCTTTTCTCCCTGATAAAGTCTCAACACAAGGTCAATTATTCTAACACACTGCATTAATTGCACATCAATACAAAGTTGAAAACTTAATCAGTCAGACCACAGAAAGGAGGAACTATCACTGCAAGTAAAGTCTCAAAAGCTGTGAGGCTATTTTCCCTAGTCTCATGACTTGAATGTTGCAGTCACAAATCGTCAAGTGTCATCTTTTCAAAATTATTTTAAAAACTTTTTGAGAAAAAAAAACCTAAACAAATACATGTTTACTCGCACAAAAACATCACGGCACAAAATACAATTTTAAGTAAATAAACATCATTAAAAAAAAAAAGACATACAAAGATTTCAGATGGAAAAAAAATAAGTCCAGTGACACAGATGTCATTAATTATTTCGGAGACATCAGTTTTATTAAAAATTCCACATTGAACAACGCCGTCTCTAACTTCAATCATATGCCTATAAGTGTACCCCATGTCCTATGTAAATAATGGCAAACTTTTCCTGATGGAAGTGGTTTGTACTATGCAGTTAGTTTACATCCCTCTACACCAATCAGAATCTCTAATAAACTCTTAAGAAGAAAACTACAAGCTGATCAAACCACCATGCTCATTAAATAAACAACTTTTTTTAAAGAATGGTAGAAAATCTTACCCTGAACTTCTTCCGCGGCGTGAACACAATTTTAGGCGAGTCCGAGATTTGGAAGAATTGATGCTGCAGCGCCTCTTTTGCCGTCAACCTCTCTGAGGGATCGACAACTAGAAGGTTTCTTATCTAGAAATAAAACAAGGTATAATTTTTTTGCAAATTTACCGTAACTTCAGAATTTGTTGGCAAAATGGACCAATGTACCACTCAGATCGATTCGGAATACTGCTGCAAATTGTCCTTATGATCTCTTAAAGTTATAGTCCATCATTTGTAATTTGTGCATTTTGTTCGTTTGAAGCAACAAAAGTGCTCAAAATCTAAAGAAGGGTACTGAACAACTAACCTGATAAAGTTTCAGCTCAGCTTCAGCTGTATATTCCGAGAAAGACAGCATTCTAGGATCTCAATTTCAAATCAAAAGTTGCTGAATCATGTTTTGAATTGCGCCTGAATTCAGCGTCCAAGGCACGTTCTCGCTGAGCCGAATGCAGCTACGCGATGTCGCGCACTGATCTGACGAATTATAGCAACCGGGGGTGCGTGTGCGTCGTGCCAATGCTTGCGCGCACTTCGCCGAATAACAAAACGAACTACTAATTTAAATTTTCCTACGGTGCGTCTTAAGAAGCACCGTTGGAAAGGCCTTCTTTTGTTGATTACTTCAAAATGACAGCTTGCCAGAAAGAATAATTTCACAGGGAGTTTAGTCCCCTTACTATCTTTCAACCAAGTATGTTTTTCAACAATAATTACGCAAGCTACTTTTCGGATAGCTGCAAATGAGGACTATAGCTTTAAATGGAATCAAATTAAGTTAAACATTGACATGTGTACAATTTGAAGCTGCATGCTCTTGGACAACATGGCATAACAACCAATAGAATTTTTAGAAGCTTAGGGGTATTGTCTGTCCTCGTATGTAATAATAACGCTAGGCATGCAACTGGAAATTTAGGAAAAAAACCAAGGAAATTCCAAACCACGCAAGACTTTGTACAGTGTTTTTCAATTTGTATTGGCATTCATGAAAACTTAAAAACAAGGAAATCAGCGGATCCGAGGAAAAGTTGCACGCCTGTCATGCATATTAATAAAGCGTTTGTACATGTATCCATCGATTGGTGCTCAAGCCGCTACATAATTATTACCCTGCTCATTGGGCTAATGAAACATTCCAAATACCATCTCAGCTCCCTGGAGAGTATACAGCTCGATGCTGCCATTTTGGCGCAAAGCAGCTACAATCAACCACAATAACCATCTCTGCCCTCACAGGTGCCCATTTACTCCTGGGTGGAGAGAAGCAATGAGTGACAAAGTGCCTTGCCTGAGGACACACGCACTACAACCCCAGGCTGGACTCGAACCCACAACCTGCAGAATTACCCGCAGACCATGAACTCAATGCTCCAGACCACAAGGGCAATGTTGACCATGCTGGAATAGTTGAGGCACCACTCTGTGACCTCTACTCATCAAGGGTGTTTTTATGTTTAATAATAAAAAAGCATAGAAAGAGTCCTAACAAGAATTGTAAATGTCTTAAGGCCATAACCCTAACCGAACTCAACCTATCAAAGTTCAACAGCAGGTTTTGTTTAAAGGGAATGTACATCATTGGCTTTTGCTGTAATTTTCAGAAATGAACTATTTGAGGGGTTAGTATAATAGATCAAATATTGTTACACTGACATGTTTGAAGTTTTGTGTTCGAAAATGCTGGAAAAACCAAGAAAAACATAAATGTTCAAGTAGTCTGGTTCCTTGACTCCACTAAAGATAAAATGGATCAATTTATAGATGCCGAAAAATTGTAAGGTAAGGGAACCAGTCCAGCTGGCCTGCACCCATTCATGAACATGTAGCCAATAGCAAACTAAATTTGGACTGGAAAAAAAGTGTAAAGTTGGAGCAGTAGTTGAAAAATAGTTAGGTTTTTCCAACGGTGGTCGGCCGACCACCGTTGGAAATGTTTACAAAAATACCATTTTCTTGAAAATGACTTCACACCAGGCGCCATTATTTTACAGGATGCTTTAGACTGTCATTTACCAACATCCTAGTAAGGTGTTTTGTAAAAACTTGGTTGTTTTATTTTTCGGTGTTTGCCAATGTTGTATATTCCCTTTAAATCTATTGGGATAGGTACAGTACCCCTAAACTGATGGTCTTTTACACTGGGGTTGGCATACCACCAGAAACTAAGTCCAACAGTGTGTGTGTACAATTTCCCATGTGGTTGTTGGAATTTGCCAGAATGGGTATGGTTCCTAGTAAATTAGGCTGGGGAGTTTGGGTTAAAGCCCTTGGCTACAGCTGGGATAACACACGCCGCTGCAGCCGCTAGCCAGTGGCTTCCATAGGCGTGGGTGTTATTCCCTGCTGAAGCCAAGTGTTTTCAGACACGGCCTTAGAGTTATGACTTACAGTTTACCGTCATTGCCAAATCTCATTAAGGCCGTGTCTGAAACGGGCTTCCAGAGCTACGGCTACGTCTATTGTCAGCGTATTTTCAATGGGCGCAGACCTAGACCTAGCTCTAGACAGCTGATTCGGATGCAGCCTAAGATTGACTGGTGGAGGGGGAGCTTACCAAGTCTTTAGCTGTTTCACTGACGTCCTCCCACTCTGGACTGCCAAACGAGTACCGCCCCTCCATGATGCTTCGCAGCATGATCACTTGACGTCGATGCCAGAACGGCGGACATCCAACTAGACTGGATGAAAAACACGGCAGGGATTCATTTGTATTAGATTTGCTTGTGGATTTATTTACACAAAAGTGATAATTGATTCAAAGTTCTTTATTGCAATTTATGCAATCTGGACATGAAAATGTTAGGAGAAATACGATTCTGCTATGCCAGGGGCAAGAATATGCCAGCTTGTTTGTCAAGAACCCTCAGGTGTCGAGTCTCCGAAAACAACTCTTGAAATTACAAAAAGGGTAGGATGTACATGTTCATAATATGAACTGTTCTTGACAATACAAAGGGCCAGTCATATACATGCAGGCATGCAACTGGGAATTTAGAATAAAAAACGAGGAAACTCCAAACCACACCAGACTTTGTACAGTATTTTTCAATTTGTAATGGCATTCATGAGAAGTAAAAAAAAGAGGAAATCAGCAGATCCGAGGAAAATTTGCTTGCCTGCATATAGAAGTTGCCTTCTCAAGCAACAGTATTTTAATAGACCTAAGATCTAATGACGTCACAATTTGTTGGCTCTCATAGGAGAGTGCATGCATGCACACGTACGCAAAGTGTGTCGTCATTAGGACTATTGAAATGTATTGTCTAAGACTTCACAGAAAGTATCATATGTGAACTGTATGTCAAATAGATACACACATATACTTGCCTGTATGAATTGTTATAGAATTGCAACGGTTTCTTATGATTTAGGTAGGAACGTTAAAGGGAATGTACATCATTGGCTTTTGCTTTAATTTTCAGAAATGAACTATTTGAGGGGTTAGTATAATAGATCAAATTATTGTTACACTGACATGTTTGAAGTTTTGTTTTCGAAAATGCTGGAAAAATCAAGAAAACAAAAATGTTCAAGTATAGTCTGGTTCCCTGACTCCACTGAAGAGGAAATGGATCAATTTACAGATGCCGGAAAATTGTACGGTAAGGGAACCAGTCTAGCTGGCCTGCACCCATGCATGAACATGAAACCAATAGCAAACAAAATTTGGACTTTAGAAAATGGTAAATTTGGAGCAGTAGTGAAAAATAATTAGGTTTTTCCTATTGTGGTCGGCCGACCATCGCTGGAAATGTATACAAAAATAGAACTTTCTTGAAAATGACTTCACACCAGGTGCCATAATTTTACAGGATGCTTTAGACTGTCATTTACCAACATCCTGTAAGGTATTTCGTAAAAACTTGGCCGTTTTATTTTTTCTATGTTTGCAAATGTTGTATTTTCCCTTTAAGTATGACTAGAATTTTGCACCAAATTCAAACTCGGTCAGGCTAGGGTCCACGGTCCTTGCCTTCCTTCTCTGTGACCCGGGTTCAAATCCCACCAAACTCATCATGTGGATAAGGTTTTGTTGCTACCTCATGCAATGGGTTCTCCCACAGATAATTTTTACTTTTTGGTGACCATTTGTTCATTGTCATCACTGCAGCTGTCTCTTTGTTTAAAATGCCTTGTTTTCGATACCAGAAATAAATAGCGTTAACAATGACAGCACTCACAGTGTGTACATGATGACCCCACAGGCCCAGAGGTCAATCTCCTTTCCGTAACCTTTGACACAGTCTAGGTTCATACTGCACTTTAACGTCTCGGGTGCCATGTAGCCAGGAGTACCACATAACTCTGGAAAATTGAAAGAAAATCATACACAAATCCACAGTATTAACAAAAATTTAGGGTTTGAACGATTCAAAAGCTGCAATGTGTTTTTATCCATCAGATTTAAAGGGCCCATGTAATGAATTTTCTTTTTTAATGCAATCCCTTTAGTGCACCTTTATGTCCCATAATTTATTTTTATTGTCAATCTTCATTTGTGATGCGATCACGCTAAATGAGTTGTTTGTCGGGAACTTTCATTTAGAGATTCAGGCCTAAATAAATAGGGCCACTTTATCACATCACTTCATCACATCTCTTGGTGTTCTGACTTCCATCATTTCTGAACTAAAGATGGTACCAGCATGCGATTTTCACAGCAGTAATGCTGCTCTTGAGATTGTGCTCTTTTCAAATCTGTAACAAAAAAAATTGACCAAGGTCGACAAACAACTCATTTAGCTTGATGGCATCACATTTTTTTCATTTTCAAGGGTGTTTTGATGCCTTTTTGGTATATGCTGATACGATTTCCATATTACATGTGCAAAACTGGAAAGAAATTTCAGTGTTACAGCTGCTCCGTCATCAGAATTGTTGATGCCCTAATCATAGAATATTTTATTATAGGTAAAAAAGCTGACTTAACAATTTTAACCAAAAAAAGATGTCATGGTTTTCAAACATTTCGGAGGAATGGACATTTGTACAAAATAAGTCCCAGTGTAAACTTCATGTCATGGACCCTTTAAACGGAACTGTGTATATGAAAACAGGCGATGTAGGAAGATTCAAAACTTGAAAACCAATCCCAAAGAAAGATTTCAGAAGAAGCTTTATTTTGGGAGATGATAAGTGCATTTCCATTTGTTACTGGACTTGAGGTTGACTTGTGGTTGACATTTATGTGGCCGTGACGGGGACAGGCCCTGATTAAGTGTTTTGTAGGCCCTAGGCACAAGTGTTCTGTAGGCTCCGCCCTAGGCATCGGCACCAAATTCATGTTGATCCTATAAAGTACAAATAAAGCACTGTACAAATCAAGCCAGTCCAAACTTGGGTTGTTACATACATGTGTATCTTGATCAGAACTAGTGCGAGTGCGAAGCCTAAACAGCGTTGGGTTCGGGGCCCGTTTAAGGGGCCATAAAAAAATGGATTCCAGATGCTCTGTGGTGCGATCTGAGGCAGGACCACTTTAACCAGTTAAAACCTAAAGATCATCATTCAAACATTTTCGAGTTTGGAGTCATTGAATAAGGCTGGGCCCAGTACAGTGCCTACAGTGCCTATTGGATAATCTGGGCCTAGGGACGTAGTGAGACTTGTGAAAATTCTAGACTTGAAAACCAGCTTCTACTATGTGTGAAATGACGTTCACAATGTGCAGTGGTAAATATCTCTTGTACTGAATACTGGAAGAGATGTTTCAGAACATTTAACATTTGGGAGATGATTTCTTAATGTAGTGGATACAAGGGCGCCCTCGCTTGCAGGAATTGTTTCGCGCGCTTTAGAACAGCAAGCACATTTTCCATGTACCTTTTCACAACTACTGGTCTCACTTTCATCGGTCTTGTCTTGTATTTGAACCGGGCAGTTTGGAGAAAGACCTACTGTAGTATTATCATTGAATACCCTGGAGTGGGTGAGTTGAGACACAAATTATAAGTCATTTGTTTTGTGTGATTTTACGACTCGTTTTACCTCGTCGAAATGTACATTAACTGTGCATAATGAGTGTGTACGTTGCATTTCGTTTAGTATGTGTAGTGCTATGCACAGTTATACATGCATTGAAGTAGACATGCTGCACATGTATTGTACTCGCATTGTAATCACATGTATTGTATGCACATGTGCAGTATAATTGTGACCTGTTCTGTCAAAAGCAGACGCTTCTGGGCGGAGTTGAAATTGAGATAGGGCCAAAAAACGCTGTGGGGGTGATTTTTATCGATTTTCAAATTTTTGCATATTTGTAATCCTGAACATGTCTAAAATATATTATAAAAGTTTGAAACCCTAATTTGAACTCTACATATACTATTTTTGATGATTTTTATAAGGTATATCAGTTAAAGAAATAACTGTTTTGTGACGTTCATTTTCTCCGTTTTCTACTTTTCGACACAATGAACTTCAAAATAGCATAACTTTGCGCAGGAATGACCGGTTTCAAAAATTAAACCACCTATTAAAAGGAAAAAGAACATATGTTAACAATATGTAAAAATATCATTTTCGACCTTATGCCCAGAAAAGTCTGATTTTGACAGAACAGGTCACAATTATCCATGTAGGGTACATGTACATGTATTTGTGAATCTTTTATTTATTTATCTAGGGTGTCTTTTCAAGAGGTTAGAGGTGTCTTATTGGAGTCTTTTTGAGTGGAATTTTGTTGGGAGATGTACACATGACAGAATAAATTGAGTTGCTGAAACTGAGTGAGTCAGAGTTTTCTGTGGGTGTCGCATCAGCCTACCTCTCTACCGTCGCCTGACCAGGGATCCAGATCCCTACCCCCCGTTGCGGTACACACATCGACAAACACAGGAGCTACGCAAGTAGTGACCCCCACATTAACCCTAACTCCCTCTAGGGGGTGTGCAAAATCGTATTGAAATTGGACGGAGGATTCAGGACTGTTATTAGGGGTGTGTACCTGTCAGTGGTTTCTTTTCATTGATGACAGCAGCCATGCCAAAGTCTGATATCTTCACTATCAGATTTTCCTTCAGTAAAATATTCTCTGGCTGTGGAACATAAAAATAAAGAAAAATAGATTAACGCAATTAACTCTTTCAGTGCCCGCGAAATTTGAAAAGTTTAACCCTAAAGTGCCCAACTTCGAGCGTTTTTGTTAATTGTTCGAAATTCTGTAAAAAAAAAAAGTAATTAATATACCTGAAAAAAATCACTGCAAAGTTCTGTTTTAAACTGCTTTAACTTAACGATTATGGATGCTATAAATAGATACACATTCATGCTTACATGAGCCACTGAATTCAATTGATGTGCCCTCTTAGATCCAATGAGTACAACTCTACCAACCCTAACCCCCCCCCCCCAGTAGTTCCTGATAGGACCACCCTGCTAAATCCAACAGAGTCCAACCGGAGTTTCCTGCTCAATCCACTGTGCCTTATTCTCAGTTGTCTGCTGAATCCAACGGAGTCCAACTTGGCGTTATAATGCGGTTCAGTTGCCTGCTGAATCCAACATTTTGCATCAGGAATATACAAAGGGGTCTCCTGCTCAATCCAACAGGCTCCATCGGGTATATGACATAGTTAGACCCTGTTGGATTCAGCAGGGTTAGGGTGGTTTAGGGTAGACTATAAACTAATTTGGCAAACAAAATGAGAAGCCATGTTGAGGTTGAATCACGTCTGCGCGCATGCTGCATGCATGCATTCTTAAAGACGAGGCACGCTTTCTTAGAGACAATACGCGTGCGCATTTCGGTAACCCTATTGGTCAATGGAGCCCGGAGTGCATGCGTAATACCTGAGCGCGACTCGCGCAAGGCTGGTTCCACCTCAGAAAATGGCTGTCGCCAAGTTAGTCTTTTAAAAAAAGTTTACCTTGATATCTCTGTGGACTATGCCATGGTCATGGATGAATTGTATAGCAACTAGAATCTGTCTCATGATATTCCTGAAAATGGCAAACAAAACAAAAAGATCTTCGTTTCATACAATGATAACAAATAAACACAGAATCCATAGGAAGTTGGCTGGAGACTTTAGGGAAGACCGCAAACTTAATCAAGCAGTAGACTCTAGGTTGAACCCTGAGGTACCCCATGAAACCTTGTAAAACCTCAAGTTACTGTCTGTTTAATTTTGCATTCTCCCCTTGCCTTATTGAATGTGGACAGGCAAAATTGTCCCAAGTTCTAAGACTTCATTTGTTTCTATGTCAAAAAAACACTTACTCCTTTCCTTTTCTGACAAACAAGGCTGACTGGCAAGACTAACACAAGTTGGAGTCAGTATTGGGGTCAGTATTTCTGCATGCAGTAGTGTCGTAGCAATGTAAACAACTTAACTAGTAATAAAGTTGAGTGGCATCACCAGACCAATTTAAAAGGGTGGGGTGGGGGAGGGTTTGAGAAAAATTTGCCAGGTAGCCAGGAATTGTTTTTTGATAGGTAACACGGACACCTCAAAATCAGAAGGTGGGGCCAGGTGGGGCCGGGGGGGCCGGGGGGGGGGGGGGGGGGGGGGGATAGGAGGGGCAAGCTGAAAAACACCATCTGTCCAAATACATTGGGAGCACTGTTCAAAACAAATGATCTTGCATGTTATCGCTAAACACAATTTTGCTGAGAGCACTATAATTTTACCGACTAAAACAACTAATCGGGAGGGGGGGGGGAGTTTAGATGACACCCCTCCATGTCCCTCCACCTTGTAGCGACACCCATGAATGTAGGTTGACCCTGGCTGAATATTCATCAAAGCAAGAAGCTGTGTGAGCTACCTTCCACACTTGTCCGACTCTGGACTGTCAGTCAGATGTTCAGTCGTGTAAACAGAATTGTCTTAACATTCACATTATGCAAGCTGGCCTAAGCACACGATAAACAGTACAAACTTTTGACGCAAAAGTCACAAATTTCTTACCTAGTTTTCTTTTCAGAAAGTGTGACGAATTTGGTGAGATAGTCAAACAGCTCACCCTCGGGACACCTGACAAAAATGAATGAAAACGCAAATCAAAATTCTCAGAATAAGATTTTGAAAGCACATATTGTGTAGTTCACCAAACGAATTCAAAAAGGAAATTAAGGCAAAGGATGCGTACCATCTTTTGAGAAGTTCTGTCAGGAGGAATTAATTGAAATAGCCTTATAGAGTACTGAAGTGTGACGTCATTTAGAACCGGGAAGTGTAGAGAAAACGAATGGAGCGCGCGCGCGTGTTGGTTCACAGGCTGAATGACGCGCTAATGCCTTTTACACACATAGTTGTGCGCGTGATGTGTTCACTTCAGTACTCTATACAAGTGGATTATCAGGGTCCTCTTATGCTACACAGACTTTCAAATTATTCTTGCTCATCCCCGTAATTATACAAACTAATAAAGACACATTCTGTGCCAGTCAAGTTTCATTTTGCTCACTATAAAATATTTTTATCAAAGCATTTGTAAGGATGAAATACATGTACTCACAGTTCGAATACCATGAAGAAGTAAGATGGAGTCTCGATGAAGTCAAACATTTCAACTACAAGCAACAATCAGAAATGAAATCAAAGTTAAAGTGAGTTCAGTCCAATCCCATCCTCTTCCAGTGACTGTGCAAACGGTTATATTTTGTTTACCTAGTATATAATCATAACAACTACTGAGTTTATCCTGCATGACATCATCATAACTAGAATCATGTGCGTACTGTTTATATTAATCATCATCAGCATCATTTCCTGTGCTATCGTACTTCCTTGTGTTTACATCACAACTGTTATGCCTTGTACGCCAATGGACATATCCCAAATTCAAAACCAAATAAGGGTACAACATGTATGGGAATGACCCTAACCGCCCTGAATCCTTCAAAATCCTCTTTGCCAAAGTGGAGGAATTTGGAGGGTTGAGGTTACATGGCAAAAGTGCGTAACTGATTTCATAGGATGCACTTTGTCAAGGTCTTGGGCCGGACCTTGTGTTGTTTTTGCTTGGCCATGCATAAATATAGGCCTGGATTATGCTTGATTGAAATCCTCTGTACTGCTCAAGGATGTCACTGACCAAGCCTCAACATATATTGACAGTCACTGCCGCAGGATTTTGCAGGATTCAGGCAGTGGTCACCCCTCCATGGACCATATTCAAGAAATAATGGAGGAATTTGCAGGATTGAGGCTATATGCTATTTTTCCATGAGGCCAATTGGAGGATTTTGCAGGATTGAGGCTACATCCTAGCAAAAAGGCCAAGGGAGTTAGGGTTAAATCGCTGGTGTAGTCGTGGCGTCATTCAGAGGTCAACTCAGTGCAAGCATGGTTGCTGGTTCGCGCGCACTGCAATGGCCCAGTGAACACCGTGGCTTCGCTATGGCTGTTGTGAATCCATTTCATAATTGCCTTGATTCTCCTCTCTGAAGCCAATATAAGTACAACTGTGGTTGTAACTAGTGTGGCGACAATCTGCTGAAAGACAGTGAACCATTTTCAGGTACTAATTTGTGAAAATGCTCTGTAAAAGTAGGATGTCAAATTGCTGTCTGTTATCGTGTGTGTTAAACGCATGTGTTAACCCTGCGCAGCGTTTACAAGAAATTTTTATCCGAAGTCGCCAACTGCGTACCTTTGGGACGCAGGTACTTCCCTCACTACGCAAGACCCTATCCATGTCAAAACAACAAAAAGCCACGTGCCAGACTGTGTCCAGGCATTTGCCAGACAGGGCACTTAAAAGATAATTGACTGGTGGCTGCGGTTTGCAGCTATGAAGGGAGATGGCTGTGTCAAGTTACAGGTGTTTATATATGTTTCAATGAGACTTGGCAGGAGGCCTGGTCCCAAGGTTGTTGACACTGCTCGGGTGAAACCCTGGCTGCAAAGTTCATTGAACCAGCTGATTTGGCATGGGTTGAATGAAGATTAGATGGAAGGTGAACGTCATTGACCCTCAATTTTTTTTTTTCCCAAAAAATTCGGTCACCTGCGTACCCGGGGTACGCAGGTCACTCCGCGCAGGGTTAAGAAATGTGTGTGAACTGTTGTCGAGGAAGTGAGCTTGACTTGGGGAGGAGGTGACGTCACACTTTCTCAGCACATACGCCTACATGACCAAGTTTTGCACGTGATCAAGCTGAAGGATTTCTATGCGATATCCTGGACCATGGTATGTGCACCTTGCATGTCAACGGATGGGTTTTATTTGTGTTTTGGGTACAAACTTTGGCTAATGATGACTAATCCTGTTCACAAAATACTGTGAAGGATATGAAAGCAGTGGGTAGCCCACCACCATTGTCAATAATTGTAAATTGAAGAGTAATGATCTCACTGCAAAAACTATTCGGGATGGGGAGGAGAAGGGTGACCAATCGATACAGCAGTATTACCAGAAATGAAAAAGAAACAAACCAAATATTTCATAAGGCCTTTTCACACTAGACAAATCTCAGGGTCAACGCGAGGTTGAGGTAAAGAGTTGAAAATATGCAGCGTTTCACACTTGACCATTTTTATTCCCATGCCAACCCTGCGTCAACCCTGAGATCGATTGATCCCCCCGGGTTGAACTCAACCCTGGTCTGATTTTCAACCCAGGTTGAAAGTCTCGCTTGGGTTCAAAACAGCACTAACTGAACAAAATAAGCTCGGTTTGCACGAAACAAGTTTGAAAAAATGCGGGGTTGAACGCAGGGTTGACAAATCAAAACTCTACCCCGGGACGGCACTGGGTTCGCCCAGGGTTGAGTTCAACTCGGGTTGAGAGGCTCTAGTGTGAAAAGGCCTTATTGTAGACCCTAAAATGTCAGGTCTACCCCTGCCACTATCTCAATGCAGCCAGAAGAGGGCGCCCAAATCGTGTTTGAATGGGTATTAAAGGCATTATTGGGCCAGGAAAATAATGGCCCACAACTGATTTTATCCAGGAATAAACTCTGAACAGTCTGGGCTATTTGCCTGCCACTGCCTAAATACAGCCACTAGAGGGCGCTCTGACTTAGCAATGACTTCTTACTGATGTTGGTGTGTTTGGGCGGGCCAGACAGCTGTCGTAGGATGGCCACCTCATTTTCGTACTCCTCTTTAACGGCCTGGGACTCGGTCTGGGTGATGTCGATGATCTTGACAGCGTAGAACTGGCCGGTGTCCCGTTGGATGCACTTACGGACAGTGCTACTGACGCCCCTGTATAGAGATTCACAAATAGGACATACTTAGAACGATTAAGGTCAGCAGTGGAGGAAAGGATTCTGCAAAGTGGAAAAGGGTGTTCACCGCAGACAAAACATACAGTACCTAGAAAGATGTGCATTGACTGTCTGTCCTGTCTTTTTGTAGCAATTTTTTTTCCGATTCTTCCGGTTCACCGGATCATCGGACGTACATATCGGACAGGTGTGCGCTGAAAATAGGACCGTATACCGGGCGACCGGATGAAATCAAACATGTTTGATTTTTTGCATCCGATTTCACCGGATCAGATGTCAGCGGAAGGGTGTGCGGGCAGCACTCCGATTTCACTGGACGCGATATATATTCATGTTAACCAATCAGATTCACGAAGGAAGTCACATGATTCAAAATTTGACGGCTGCCATTTTGTCATCATGTGACTGATCGTCATGTGACTGATCATCATGTGACTGATCATGTGACTGATTATAGAATGAAATCAGGCATGTGTGTGGGTAAACGTTGTGTGCAGCCTCCAGCTCTTTCCTGGTTATTAATGTTGCAACATGGAGGAAGGAAAACAGAAGTATAGGAGTGCATGCAAACTGAAATGCAGTGTAGAAAGTTGTCTTCGATTTCCTTATTACTAATTCAAATTATTACAATGTGTCTCAAGGAAATTATCATTTTCTCCACTCACCTGCCGAGCAATTTCTTGGTGACATACTGGCTGTGGAAGACATCGCCATACTGCGCGCCCAGGAGGATATCTGCATCCGTCTCGTCCATCGTCATCCTTGCTCAATCTTAGAGTTGAAAGCCTCGGACGGTGATGACAATACGCCTACATGGCCACATCTCATTCCAAGATTCTTTAATATCCGAGTTCTGCTTTAAGAGTATCAGGATTGGAAAGCTACTAGGGAAGGCTGTCTCCATGACAACCGGTTGTCATAGTGACAGGGCATCAGAGTAGTAGTACATCACAGAATTGGGGATTTGATCCACTGATCAGTCCTTTAGACAAGTAAACCGGTCCAGCTTGTGTGTAACTGGCAGCATAGGTGGTGTTGCAGTTTCTCCAACTTTTCTGTAGGATGCATGACAAGAAAATTTAGCACACATTATGCACGCAATTTTTACCATTAGGCCCTTATCCTCCCAGATCTCCATCACGACGCCTTTGAGGATTTTGAAGGTTTCAGGAAGATACAGCCCAGCTACTATCAGATTTACCTAAGTACTTTGCATGGAACTTAAAAAGTTACATACAAATAATGTGCCAATAACCTTTTCTGCACAGAAGTAGATTTTCGAGGATGCACGGAGCTGAGGTTAAAAAAATGCTTTGTGTTTTCAGGGTTTAACAAATTTAGTTGAGTGCTACTACTTTTAGGTTTTTTTTTCAATGGGCAATATAATGTTTTCTGGGTCGAGAGTCTAAAATTAGCACACCTAATCACAAATTGCCTTTGGAAATTAATATAGTACAGTATCTGATGCTGTATTTTTTCACCATACATAACCTCAACGCTGGTGGTCATTCATCACAGATATGATTCAACAAATGAAAGATACAATTCCTTCATCACAGATATAATTAAACAAATGAAAAATAACATTGCAACTGAATAACATTTCCCAATTGGACAAAAACTCACAATTGACTTTGTGCACAGCAAAAAGATTCAACATTCTTTCCAAAAATATACTTGATAATCAGCACATTATGTATTTTTAGCGGATCCGTTTTTTGTGTGACATTCTCTATCAGGAAATAAGAAAGCCAAAGCTCACCATTGGCATAACTCAAAGGTCATGTAAACACACCGCAAACAGCATCACACATAATAATCAGCAACAGATGTGGAGAGAATGTAGTATCCTGACGCCTTTTTAAATTTTAGCGTTGTGTATAAAGTCTATGGCGCATCAAGACAAATTTATTTCAAGTATTTCCTAACAACATTGGAAATCTTTCTCAGTCCCAGATTCATGTCTTTTCAACATATTTGCAAAAACTAACCTTTACTGAGATGATATATGAAGAAAAAAGTGGCGTCAGGATATGCAACATTCTTTCCACAGATATCTCAAGGCTCAAGATAAGTATATACATGCACATAAACAACCTGCTCTCTTTTGTATTCCTTTTAATCGCCAAAGTCTCAGACTCGCAATGCAAACACAAAGCATTTGAAATCTAAGACAGATTGAGTTACTAAAACTCTCCCAGCTAGAACAATCATACAAAATCAAGCTGGATTTAGCAACTATTGTTTAAAGCACTTTGGTTATTATACACAACTTCAAAACAGTTTGTCTCCATTTTTCACCTAAGGAATACAAGCAATACATCTCAATGAGCTAAGAACCCAGTTCTGTTTTTAATTAAGATGAGCACGGACTTACCACAGTAGCACACCCAACATGCACGAGTCCATATCAGATAAATTCAATCATGACTATGACCACAGAGAAAGAAATACATTTGCCCAATTCTGATCAAATTTCCAGAGATTCACATTCACACGTCCAATGCAATACAACTGTCCAATATGATAATTCCAACAACACAACAAACATCACCAGACATGCCAATTCAGCAGCTTCCACCTATTACATAACAGGCTGTCCTTATTAGCATATAACTGTGATATGACTGGTCAGAACCTTGCTCATTTGCATGTAGCTGACCAATGCAGCTCAGCCATTGGTCTGTCTCAGGCTGGCCTGTGGCATACCTTAGGACACACCCCTACTATGTATGTTTTTCAGGTTACACAACAATGGGGACTGTGCACATGGCCAGACATGTGCAACTGATTGTACATGTACATGTACATGTGGCCATATCATATCGCTGTGTGATGTGGCACAATGTGTCTATCACCTGCGCTTCAGCTGAGCCGAAGGAGGTTTTGTCATGAATTAGAGACTGTCTGGATATAGTGTCCCACTGTCCCTGAAATTCAGGGATGTCTGAGAAATGGAAACAGTAGAGTAACAGATTTCAGTCAAGAAAATTCATATAAAAACAGAATGACTTTGACATGTTGGGTTCAATGACCTAATTAATAAACAGGTTACTTTCATTACATTACTCGAAAATCAGGCACAGTGATGATCAGAATTGATTAGTCCAAATATTTTGAATATCTTGTAATTTGTAGACAACGAGAGATTCCAGATGGAACATACATTAAACCATAGAGCAAGAAACTTTCTTGCTCTATGATTAAACATTGCATGCTCCAGTACTGGTCTGAAAATACAGCAATATAATCACCACACTAGGACACCTATGTGTAAAACATTGCACATTTTGGAAGAGAATTAATATTTGTCCATAACTAATACATGTACCAAGTTATGGTTTCGAAATGAATGGAATTTTAATATTAGTGTCTACAATTTAAGTACAAGAATAGAAAATAAAATGAGGAAAAGGACTATAAATAATCCAACAAACTCTCTTTAATTTAAAACCTACTTTGACATATTCAAGTAGACTAGTTCAGGAACTTCTTAAAAAATAAGATGATTAGATGTTTACGTTGGGCGCATTCGGTCGATGTGCGCCATCGGTCGATTGCGTTGCGCTATCGGTCGATCATGACGCTATCACTCAGTCGATCCCGCTGCCACCAGTACAACACCATTTCTTTCTAATTTACAATTCTGGAGGATTTTTTAATTTAATGTTAAGTAAAGTCTGAGATATCCTACAGAATCAACCGATTGTGCCCAACATATACAAACAAATAAGGAAGATATTTATAATAGGCCTACAACAACACAAATTCATAATACAAAGAAATGATTTTTCTTTCAGGTTTTAGCAAAATCAGCACAAATAAACATCCATGACAACAGAGGACTGACACTGAGTGACAGTGACATTTTCACTAGTTTCAGTTTCACTAGCTGGTCTCTGCGTCTTTTGGTGTTGGTAGAACCATCTGAGAACTAGACCCATTACCATTAACCATGCTAACATAACAAGCTTGTACGACAGACCACATCCCAAATGTCAACATGTATTCTACATTCTAGCGCCCCAGTTAGTACTAGTATCTGAGAACCATAATTTCTTTCAAATCTTTGGAGGGTTTCAAGGTAAACACCTTCCCATTGCGCCCATATAGTCCATGCTCCATACTATTACTAATGCCATGGTACAGTTAGTCTGTATGCTAATTTTTAAAGGCCAAATTCCAATAACCGGATGAACCAGCGCGTAGTTTCCTTGATGACTCCGATGTACCTATTCAATTTGTCAATTTAAGTCTAATTAAACGCAATGAAAATTAACACAAACTGACCAAATAGCACATGCCAGTACGTGAAGCTGAGACGTGGTCGTCTTCAAAGACTCCTCGACATTGCTATCTACATCTCAATTTGATTTACTACTTTATTTTTCTAAATTTATTCGACAGTCGCCGACGTATTAATTTCCTCATTTGTCATGTTTGTGTGTGAATGGTGTTTAATGCAATGTGTTACGTTACGCACGGTACGGGTCACAGTTCATCGAACTTTTCCTTTTCAACCTCGTTTCTATGTTTACAAGATAGATATACACAATGCCCCGAGAACAAGAAAATGGAAATGTCAAGTGTCTGGACGACGGTAACCCAATCTGAACGTAATATCTGCATGGGACCCGACTACTCAAGTGATATTGCTTTATTTGCTTACATCGCCGCTGCGCTTCGACCACTTTTTTACGTTAAACTTTTCTGGTATTTAAACGGGTTTACCTTTGTTATTTTCAACGAACGCTTGGCAGTAGTTTGGCATAAGCAGAATATATCATATATTGGACATAAAGATTCTTTTTTTTCTCTTGTCCAAGTTTTATAAATCAGTTGGTGAAAAGGAGGTCACGTAAAAAGTGGCTAGCGAGCGTATAAACTTGCATTACCCTCCGCACAGCGCACCGCACCGCCCTGCCCCGCCGCCCCGCCGCACGCCGCACGCACCGCCGCCCCGCGCACCGATACCGACGCCCCACCGCACCGTACGCCGCACCGATCAGTGGCACTGTCACATGACACAGTCCACTCACGTGACAAGGCACGGTGTTTGTTTATGTTGTTTACGAGGACAGGCCTGCTTATACCTCGTTTACTGATCCAATTTAAATCGGTGGCATCGAGAATAAGTCAGAGCAGGAGGATGGCAGGTAACTTACATGAACTTTTGCAATTTTATAGGCCTAGGGCCTATGTTAATCATGTTATTTTTGATGTATCAAACAAAATCACAAATATGAGAGAAATTAAGTTAAAATTAACAATTTTGCCCCATGTTTATGTTGGGCGCAATCGGTCAGTCTGCGAGATGGGTCGATCGCACTGTGCTGTCGGTCGATCGCACTGTGCTGTCGGTCAATCATGATGTACATCTTGGACTTTAGTAATACCAGTACCTTTTAAAAAAATCATCCTGAGCCGTTAATTAGAAAGGAAAGGTGTTCAACTGGTTGCAGCACAATCAACCAATGCAGTCATGATCGACCGATAGCGGAGCGCGATCGGCCGATCGTGCGCCTATCAAATGTTTCCCCTCCCCCCCCCCCCCTCGCTGCCCCAGGGTTGGGATTTTGGTCTCTCAAAAACATTGTTACCATAGCCCATAGGGTACTACATGGAAAGGCAATCACTAGTGCAAGTAAGTGTCAGAGATTGTCACTTAAATTTCGCCTGAGGGGTGGGGATTTTGTCACTTCAAAAGTTACAATCCCCACGTCTTGTGTGGGGAAGCCCGGGGTGAAGGGAGAAACAATTGATAGGCACATTAGGCCTATACATGTATTCTGTTAAACTTAAAGTGTTATTGTATTTTTTCAAAACAAAATGGCATCATGATACTGCTGATGATACATGGTGGCAATCAGAGTCATTTGAAGAATTGAGGATGGTTCCTAGCAAAGGGTTAGGGTTTATACCTAAACAACAGAGCTGTTCAGGCAAACACAAACAAAAACAAAACAAACAAAATATGGGCAGGCATAAACTTGTCCGGCAATTCATATTGTCATATTGTGTGTTTTAAAACATTGATACTATCATGCTGTTAACAGAAGTCGACTTTTTTATCCTTCGCAACCAGAATTGACATCAGCACAAGTGGAAGCTTTCAAAACGGGCTTTGAGTCTGACCCCAAGAACAAGTTGGCACAAAATGTAGCCTGGAAGTTTGACCCACTGGAGGTGTGTGTGGATCCCAGGCTTCTGCAGGAGGCTCATCATGCCTTCAAACACAAGGTTTGTAGACCCCCCCCCCCCTTTTAAAACATTCAAACAGTCGAGCACAAAGCTGCCATCAAACAGTGGCCCTGGCCTCGTGGTCTGGAGCAGTGAACTTGTGGTTCGTGGGTATTTCTGCAGGTTGTGGGTTCGATTCCCACCTGGGTTTGTGGTGCGTATGCCATTGGGCAAGGCACTTTGTCACTCATTGCTTCTCCCCACCCAGGAGTAAATGGGTACCTGTGAGAGCAGAGATGGTTATGGTGATTGATTCTACCTTGCTTGTGCCTAACAGGCAGCATGGAGCTGTATACTCCCCAGGGAGCTGAGATGGTATTTGGAATGTTTCATTGATCGGGGTAAGGCCAACAAACAAAAATAGTCGGTCTCTGGTCAGACCGAAGTTCCGGAATTCATGCGGGCGACGCGTTTTTTTTATATTTACTTTTTGGTGGCTTTTTTTTTTTCAAGCTTGTATTGTACAGACAAGGTGGGTACTATTTTGCTTTTTTGTGTCCTCATTATACATTGGTGTCCTCCATAATTTGCCTTGGTGCCCTTTATCATTTGCCTTGGTGCAATTTCCCCATTCCTTGGTGCTCCTTGGTACAAAAATTTGAGGAGGCGCGGCAATAGAGGGCGCTGTTGTAGCTTCCGTGTTAATTTGGAAAAAAAAAAAAAAGGTTGACGCGCATGATTAAAATCGACGCACGCGCAGAGACTGAGTATTTTTTGGGGGGGCCTAATAATAATGTAAAGCGCTGTGATCGTGGTTAAAAGCAATATAAAAAGAACCTGTTATTATTGTTATTATTATATAATATGTGAGATTCACCCTTGGAAATGTATAAAAATTGTCTTATGTTATAGATTCCAGATGCCAAGCCAATGACTAACCAGAAGAACAGCGGTCGGTGCTGGATCTTTGCTTGTCTCAACGTTATCAGGATCCCCATGATGAAGAAATTCAACGTGGAGGACCTAGAGTTCAGCCAGTCCTTCCTCTTCTTCTGGGACAAGGTAGAAGATTGTTCCACCTTGCAATTTATTCTTTCGCAGTGGCTATTGTTAGGGCAGCCGTAACGCACTTCCCATTTTCTATTGTTACGGTAGACTGCAACTTTTATAAAAACATGAGAAGAAAATATAAAATTAGAAGGAAAAAAGTGAATTTGAACGTTATGAAATTCGGACATTATTTCCCTTTTAAAAAAATCCTCCAAAGCCTCAGGTTAGAAAAGGAAAACGAACCCGCAACCTCGCGGTGCAAAATCCTTCCCTCTATCAACTGAGCTGTCGCAATACTCGCTAAAACGTGGGGAAACAAATAATTATATACCTGCGTGCGTATCAAAAAAATATCGTAGAGGGCGCTAAACAACAGCTGCCATAACGATAGCCTATTCGTTATTCTTTATCTGTGGGATTCAAGTCCAACTAAACAGACACAAGGATATCTCAAAAGTTGACTGGAGTTTTATGTTTTATTTGGCAAATAATGACTTGAATAAAGGGAATATACAACATTTGCTTTTATTGCAATTTCCGGAAATGGATGGATTTCGGGGTTAGTATTTTATAGCAAATGTTGATACGCTGACCTGTTTACAGTTATGTGCTCATAAATGCTGGGAAAACCAAGAAAACGGTGTTGTTTTTGTAGTCTGGCTCCCTAACCCTACCTCTGATGAAATGGAGCAGTTTATAGATTGTCAGGTCAGGGAACCAGACTAGAAGGCGTGCACTTGTTAGTGCATGTGCAACCGATTGCAAACAAAATGTGGACTAACTACATTTGGTAAATTGGGGGCAGTATTAACAAAAAAAGTCAGTTTTTTCCAACGATGGTCGGCTGACCATCGTTGGAAATTGATGCAAAATTCCACTTTTCTTGAAAATGACAGCACACCAGGTGTCATGATTTCACAGGATGGTTGAGACTATTATTCACGAACAGTCCAGTAAGGTATTTCAGACTAGAAGGCTTGCACTTGTTCATGCATGTGCAACGGTTTGCAAACAAAAACACTGAGAAAAGGACGGTAATTTCATTTCCTTATCTCATCCCTAACCCCTTTCTGCTTGCCCCATCTAGGTCGAGAGGATGAACTATTTCCTCCACACCTTTGTGGAGGTCTTCCGCCGCGGCGAGCCAGTAGAGGGCAGGCTTGTCAGCTTCCTGCTTCATGATCCGACCTGCGACGGGGGCCAGTGGGACATGCTGATCAACCTGGTTGACAAGTACGGCCTGGTGCCCAAGAAGTGTTTCCCCGAGTCGCACACATCCTGCGCCTCACGACGGATGAATCTCACTCTCAAGAGCAAGGTCAACCCTAACTCCCTTGGCAATATTTACTGGAAACCTCCCTCCAATGCTTCAAAATCCAGCATTGTGTAAAAAAAAACATAGAGCTATATTAAATTACTAGAGCGCTAACTCAGTGTACAAAGTAATGCCTGCTGGGTGCATCCATGTTTGTACACAAACCTATGGAGAACTAGAAATGTATTTTGTGTATTTGCATATCTGCAATTGTATACCAGTGCGTCATCGAAGCCGATACGCCCAAAACCGAAACACACGATCAGCAAATGAGCGTGTCATTTTGCTCTTCGTAAACAGCGCAACGGTGCGCGTCCCTCCGCTGCAGATGCTTTTCGCCGTGACATTTTTTGAACTGTCATGACGCGCTTAAGTTGTTTGCGTGTCTTCTACTTGCGCGTTGCATTTAGAGTACACTTTTAAAATTCAATCCATCTATTTTGATTGTGTTCTACAAACACGCACATAAATTCAAAATGTCTGCGCCCAGGATAGCTTCAAAGCTTCTCCGCGCACAAGAATGAAGAGTTAGCGCTCTAGTATAAGTTATTTAATATAGCTCTATGAAAAAAACCTATTGGGCATTAAACTGAGGTCTTGCCATGATGACTGACAGCCAGGCAAATGATTCCAACCCCAAACGCAGCCCTTTTCACAACATGAACACATGTGTAGCGTAATTGTGGGTTTGTTGTACCCTCTCCAATATTGCAAAAACATTCAAATCTCCTGATAAATTCTGGAGGATATGGGATGGAAGGTTTCAGCCCCACACCTGGGATGTCATGGGTAACGTTTCACACCTTCTCATCCTGCAGTCAGGATTATGGTTATGTAGATTGATTTTGTTAGTGAAATACTTTTGTTTTAGTGATTTAACTGAGGACTTTTTTTCCTAGGTGCGGGGATATGCTAAAGAACTTCAAGCAATGGTGCATCGCAAAGCCACAGATGAGGAAATTAACAAAGAAATCAATAGGATGGTTGGGGAGGTATGTATCAAGTGTATTTATTGTTTCACTCTGTCAAATCGGTGTACTGTCATTGCCTGGAAGCCACTGGCTAGTGGCTGTAGCCACTTCCCATAGACCCGTGTATTGCTGGCCATAGCCACATGATTCACACACGGCATTTGTTATTTCTGTAACTGTTCCCTTAACCCTAAAGGGGCCGGGGGGGGCGGAATCCGCCCCCCCCCCCTCAACATTTTCCGCGATAGCTTCTAAAAAAAATTTTTTCGCGACCCGAGCTGTTATGACTTTTTAGCCTCGAGCTTTGCGCATCTTTTGATACCAAAAACATAAAAATCGGACCACGGGTTGGCACGTAGCGAAAAAACGCGCCGTGAAAACTGAATTTTCGTATATACGTCGTGTACACCAAGCAGAATTGCAATTCATACATATGAATAATTAATTAGCCATAATTCCAAAACCCTTTGACCTATAGTCATGAAATTTCTTGGGCATGTTTAGGAAGAGTTGCTCTATGCATGTGCTGAGTTTCAAAATTTTCCGTCACTCGATGGCCGAGATCTTAGGGGGGGGGGGCGGAATCCCCCCCCCCCCCCCCCCCCCCCCCCCCCCCCCCCCCCCCCCCCCCCCCCCCCCCCCCCCCCCCCGGCTGAGAGATGGTCAAAATAACCCGGCCCCTTTAGGGTTAAATGTAATAGCCATAGAGTTACATCTACAGCGTGTACCCATAAACATTGCGCACAAAGAAATCGCTGATTTTCTCAAAAGTTGGTCATACTGGCTTATCAAATTTTATAGCATTTTCAAGCCTATGGTCTTGTTTATAATTGGTGAAAAAATCAAGAAAATCCAACGATGCAAACCAGAGATATCTTTGATTTGGTAAGGCTATGTATTTTTCGACTTGCACAATGTAATTTCCACACTAAGTATTTGCTTGTATATATACCAATTATTGGGTTATTGGTATGTCTTACGCAGTGCTTGAAATATTGCATGGCCTTTATGTAAAAAGATTTCATTTGTAAATAAATAAAAGAAGAAACAGCATAGCTAGAGGGTGTTTATTTGATTGTTCCTCGAAGAGGACTATTCAAAAGCATGTGGTAACTGCTCTAAATGCAAATTACTCGAGTGTCAATGTTGTATAGATCCTTTTGACGTTCTTTGTTAACATGCTTAACTCATTGTGCAGGAGGAAAATAATATAGCCTTACAAAATCAACGATATCTCTGGTTTGCATTGATGGATTTTCTTGATATTTTCACCAATTATAAACAAGACCATAGGCTTTAAGATAATACAAAATCTGATTAGCTAGTATGACCACCTTTTGAGCCAATCAGCGACTTTGTTTATGGGGACACGCTGTACAGTACATGCACATAATTGATACTACTTTTTTTAATCGTTGATACTACTATTTTAATCAATTTCTAAAAGCTGTCTTTGATCGATAAAGGGCTTTTAAAAAATAATTTGCAAGTTAGTGATATGATTAAGTTTACACCATCATTCAATCATACTTGGGTATTGTTTTTATAAGTGTCAATCCTTTTATTGATTTATTTACTTTGGGTTAATTCTTGTCTTTGTTAGGTTTACCGTATATGCGCCATATGCTTAGGCACCCCTCCCTCTACCATCACATGGGAATACCATGACAAGAACAAAGCCTATCACAAGATTGGCCCCATCACTCCTAAGGCATTCTATGAGGAATACATCAAACCAGTCTACGATCTGCAAAATAAGGTAAATATAAACAATTCTAATCAATTGAAAACTAGTCTTACTAATAATAATTCTGGTTGTGATACGAACCAAAGTTTGTCAACACTATACATGTAGCCTGACAAAAAAAAAAACATGAGGAGGTTGATAATGAAGAAATGTTCATTAACTTCGTGGGATATCCATGAACTAAAAAACCTAATCCATTGAACAAGAGATGTGGAATAATCACTGAGCGGTGTTTAAGCCTTTAGTCACTGTAGCACCCCAAACTGCCCTGCCTATTACTCACTGTGGCGCCTGAAACCCCCCTGCCAATTACTTACTGTAGCACCTGAAACTGCCCTGCCTGTTACTCACTGTAGCACCGAAATGGTCTGAGCACTCTTATTATGGTTTATTGATTCTTCAGTTATGGGTTAAACAGAGATTAACCCTAACCGCCCTGAATCCTCCAAAATCCTTTTTGCAAATTAGAGGAATTTGCAGGATTGAGGTTACACGGCAAAAGTGGGTTGCTGATTTCGGAGTACGCACTGTGTCAAGGTCTTGGGCCGGACCTTGTGTTGTTTATGCTCAGCCGTGCATAAATTTAGCCCTTGATTATACTTGACATCCTCCGCACTGCTCCAGGATGTCACTGCCTCTGCCTCAGCCTATTGACAGTCATAGCCGGAGGATTTTGCAGGATTCAGGCAGTGGTCACCCCTCCATGGACCATATTCAAGAAATAGCGGAGGAATTTGCAGGATTGAGGCTATATGTTATTTTTCCATGAGGCCAATTGGAGGATTTTGCAGGATTGAGGCTACATCCTAGCAAAAAGGCCTAGGGAGTTAGGGTTAAAACAAGTGTCTGGCTACTGACCAATAGGAATACTGTCCAAGTATGCATTGCCCCAGTCACTACTTTTCTTGTCACACTTTTCTTGTTCACTCCAAATTTTCTGGAAAGGCCCACTTACACCCCTGTTTCTGGTTTTGCTCGTACCACCAATCTATCCAGATACATTTGTAATCTCTAATTTCCGTGACAACTTATTGTAAAGCAAATGTAATGTAGCCCGCTTTAGTGCCATGATCCATTCACATGGGTAGTGCTTACACTAGAGTTGACCCTGCTAACTGGTTGAACAAAATTGATTCAACGAGAGATTTAAAGTAGACGCCACTGCTCCTTTGGATAGGGTAGCACTGTCTCTCTGACCAATTTTTCAGTCTTTGCCTTTCTAACAAGGCCTTTGTACTGACATTTGTTCCCCCAGGTTTGCCTTGTCAATGACCCACGGCCCAGCAGCCCGTACGGCAAGGCCTTAACCGTTGAGTTCCTAGGGAACATGGTCGGTGGACGCAGGACCATCTACAACAACCAGCCTGTGCATGTACTCAAGAAACTCTCGCTAGAGATGATCAAATCAGGAGAGGTACTCGAAATCTCGATTTCTTATTTGAAACGTTCAGTCAAATATTTATTCATCACTTACAAAGCATTTGTGAATTGTGCAAAGTTTTGTGAAGTGAAGTTAAAGGGAATATACATCATTTGCTTTTGCTGTAATTTTCAGAAATGGATGGAATTGGGGGGTTGGAAATATATAGCAAATATAGTTACACTGACTTTTTTGAGGTTTTGGGTTCGAAAAGGCTATAAAAACCAAGAAAAACAATCATTTTCCTGTAGTCTGGTTCCCTGACTCCATTTAAGAAGAAACAGAGCAGTTTACATACATTGGGGAATTGTAAGGTCAGGGAACCAGTCTAGCTGGCTTGTACCCGTTCATAGGTGTGTAATCGATTGCAAACAAGTGCGATGGTTAACTGGGGCCAGTATTTGAAAAAAGCCAGTTTTTTCCAACGCTGATCGGCCGATCAGCGTTGGAAATTGATACAAAAATACCACTTTTCTTGAAAATAACAGTATACCAGGTGCCATGATTTTACAGGATGCTTTACACTGTCATTCACCAACAGTCCAGCAAGGTATTTCAAAAGGATTTGGTAGTTTTATTTTTTGATGTTTGCAAATGTTGTATTTTCCCTTTAAGTCATGATTTCTGTCAAGTTATTTTGAGACAAGGGAAATGTAATGAATGATTATTGAAAATATAACATTTTAAATTCTTAAAAACCTTTTTTCTTTTTGCAAATGTATGATCCAGAAGGAGCAAGCTAAGCCACACCTTAATTGCCAAAGTACAGAATTTTACTTGTTTAGCAATACCATGATGTAAAAGCAGTTACTGTAAGCTAAGTGTATTTCCAATACACTTACTCAGTTTTGGTATAGTGAGTTCTTCTAACAGCCTTAAATGATGCGGAATAAATAACAAGTTCATGATATTTGTTCCGTAATGTTATAATTGTACGTGTAGTACATGCGTTTATATCTGCTTGACATTGTCGTTCACATTAACTGTCTGCACATGTCCGAAATAGTTTTAAGTATAGGGCTTTGCAAGTAACTGTTACAACTTGGGAACAGTCAGAAAGTATATTATTTTGTACTAAAAGTGTATCTTTTTTCTCTGTTTTATTCAGCCTGTGTGGTTTGGCTGTGATGTTGTTAAACATTTCAGTGGCAAAACTGGGCATCTCGACACGAGAATGTAAGTAGACCATGTCTCATTTTCCTCAGCAGCTTTCAGCATAACTCACCACAGTTTTTGGGAGGCACGTTGTGAGGAGGCACAATTCCTGACAGCTCTTTCGGGTTTTTATTTTGTTCTCCACAGACTCAACTACGACCTTGTATTCGGCGTATCGATGCTGGATCTGGACAAATCCGACAGGCTGATCTTTGGGGAATCCCTCATGACCCATGCAATGGCTCTAACGGGGGTCACCACCGAGGTAAATATCAACAGAATATCATCTTTAGGAATAGTTTCGTTGCAGTACCCGCTGCTATATCAGATTCGAACCAGCCAGCCGACCCTGGCAAGCTCAGTTGTCGATTGGTAAGACGTCTGCACTAGAAAGCAGGAGGTCGTGGGTTTGAGTCCCACCTGAGTAGTTGTGAATTTCTTCTCACAATCGCTCGGGACAGCACCGAGCATAAAGTGTGTATAAAAAAATATGTTGGTAAAGGGCAAAACCAAATATTGAATTCTTATACATCGCCCCGGTGCGAATTCCATTTTGGGAATAATATCAACTTCCCAAATGAGGCCACTGTACTGCCCCTAACTGCCCTACCTACATGTAGATGTATTACTCCCTATCCTGCCCATAAGGGTGCAGGCCAGTAAATCGGTCCGAAATTGCCTGCGCCGGCCAAATCACGATTTGCATGCCCTCAAAATCTTCGGTATTTGAGCATGCTGTGGGCCATGAACTTGAGGGTTTGTAAAAAATATGGGTGGAAGCCGTGCACAGGACTGGGAGCTTGCAGTTCTAGGTAATTTTGATGTAATTTGGACCCTAAAAGCGCTCTATTTTGCAATGGAGTGTAGGCATCGTTTTTCAAAATGGCGATGGGCTTCAGGACTATTTTCCAGGGGTGATCATCTTCAGATGGAAATTTCTCCTAAAAGTCATCAGTTGACCCCCCCCCCCGAAAATTGAAAAGAAAATGAAAGATGATGAAATAAGCTTTAATTTGATGTGTGTCTCGAACACCTTGGAGAGTTGTGAGTATTTTTCCCGAATTTTTGAAGTGGGAGCATTTACCATTGGGGTCTATGGAAGTTTATTTACTGGTCTGCTACCATAACCACCCCGGATTCATCAGGCAATTCATACAGGTTATACAATGTTGTACATGCGGTAATAGGTAAATAACAGGTTTTCTCTTCACCAATGTAATGATTCCGCAGAATTTATGCACAGCTATTTTCAAGAGCTTGAGAGAAGAACTTCTCAGGCCCAATCATACATGATCAAAGCGTTTGACAAAGAAAAATAAAGATGTCGAAAACCTGTTACGCATGCGTGTGACCATATTTCCACCAGTGCCTCTGCTCCGCAAGCACAGTCTGTGGTGGCTGACCCAGGCGAGCCCCGAGAATGACGTCAGAGCTAATCGAACGGCACGGGGATAAACCCGAGTCGACCAGTGTGAATTACTCAAACGCACCCAAAACCACAGCTTCCTGTTTATTGTACTGATGCAGATTTCTTGACCACTCGACCATGTGGCACTAAATGTCAATTGTGCGGTACCCAATGCTATATCTGATTCACATCGGAAAGCCTCATAACGAAAACATTAAAAAAGTCATAATTTCTTTTTATTGAGTTCTGATTTTGAGCCCCACATTTTCTGCCCATGTTTATTCAGTCAGTGCAACACCGTGCACATGCAAACAAAATTATTTGACTGTTTGGTACTATTTCTTCACCCAAGGAACCAAAAGAGGGCGACACCACCAGTGACTGTACCACCAAGTGGAGGGTAGAGAACTCCTGGGGTGAAGACAGAGGGGATAAAGGTCAGTAAGGGTCAAAGGTTAAGGGTCAAAGGTTAATGGAGTTGCCATGCTGGTTCAGCAGTAACCAGCACTGATCTCCATGTCAGAAATATGGATAGCAGGCAGGCAAAATCGCCAGTGTCTGCACGAAGGCAATTTTCAAGCATTTCAACTGCATCTATAGGTTTCACAAACTGAAAAACCCTGCCCCTCTCTTTATTTAAAGTTGCCAGAGACACTTTGGAATTTTCGCGAAAATTGAAACTCATCACCTCACAAACTGCCCACTAGTGGTAGCCTTGTTGCCATTTTGCAATAGGCTGGTTCCGCTCTTACGGTATCGTTGTGATTTTGTATTCAGGGGCTGGGAATCCGACCTAGTTGCATTATCTTCCTAGTCCTGCATATAATTTGCATACATTAGGAGGAAATCCTGCTAATGTTTCCTAATATATTGCCCACTACCGTTCCCTGCATTCAAAGGACAATGGTGTCTGGATCCCAGGTTCAAAACCTTCTCCAGTCGGTTTGTTTGATCAACCATGGCCAAGTTCGCGCAAGGACTATAGTTGACCAATGGTTAACTAACGTTTGCCCGAACTCTGTCTAGTCGACGGTGGTTGACTACGCTAGTCGACTATTTGGAACCAGCTTACTGGGGTTGGTTGCTTCGCCGGTAACCAATAGCCGTGCGCATTCATAACGCTAGCAGAGAGCCAGGATCCAGAAGTTTTGCGATGACATTTTGACCAGCGTTTGACTAGAGACGTTCGCACGTTGCTATCAGTGCGCAGGCGTAAGGTACGTCACAAATCAACCACTAGTCGACTAATGGTCCTTGCCCGAACTTGGCCCATGTTTAATAGAGAGCCTAGTCAGTTTCCCTTTGTGGTTTATTTGATAAAAAATAAAGAAGATTTTCTCTTCTGATATTTCATTTATTTTCTTAATCTTGTCTCCAGGCTACCTGCTGATGACAGACGACTGGTTCTCCGAGTTTGTCTACGAGGTCGTCGTGGACAAGAAGTTTGTGTCTCAGGAAGTCATGGAGGTCTTTGATCAGGAGCCGCAGGTTCTACCAGCATGGGATCCCATGGGGGCGCTAGCATAGAGGGCTATGGCTTAGCATAGAGGGCTATGGCTTAGGCCATGTCAGAATCAGATAGTTATGGCTGTGGCTTCTGTTTTTGCCATTGGCGTGCTATGGTGAAAAGCCATAGTCATTGATAACAATGTCTGTTTCAGTGAATAGCCGTAGATATAGACAATCAGACCCATTTCAAACTAATAGAAGTAGAGTAGTGGCTCCATTATCTTTCAGCTGGGGGCGACAGGTGTAGCCCCATCCCTACCTCCCCCTTCACCCATCGAGTACTCCATTTAGCCCCTCGGTATAATTATACTTCTATAACATGTTTTTCTATAAAATGCGTGATATCCATTTTTTTTATGGAAATATTGGCCAAAAAATATGTTGCCCAAGCTTATTTCCCAAATTCTTTTATCTCATAGTAAAATTTACTCAAATTCCAAACAACAAAAATCAAGGTCCTGCAAATTTGATTCTTTTTACATCCACGCACCCACAAATGTTGGTCTCCAACACCTTCCTGGGGCCAATTTCAAAGAGCGGCTTAAGCACAAAATTTGCTTAAGCACAAAATTTGCTTAAGCACAAAATTTGCTTAAGCACAAAAAAATCTTGCTTAATATAATCAGGTTACCGGCCAAAAATCCACTCGATTGTTATGCTAAGTAAACAACAGCTAATTACCAGTCACAAGCAATGTACATCGCATGGAGTTTTGGCGGGTTACGTGATTTTACTTAGCAATGTTTTTTCGTGCTTAAGCAAATTTTGTGCTTAAGCAGCTCTATGAAATTGGTCCCAGGTCTTACGACTCCAGGAATTGTAGATGGCAAGGAGTTTATACAACAAAATAGGCCTGAAATGTAATGATGCTATGTTTTGTTTACATTCATATTTTCTAACGGGAGCCAGGTTAGAGACCAAGGGGTACCCCCCCCCCAACCCCCAGTGTCCCTGTACCCTATGCACACTCTTGACTATTGTTACTGAACACATCTCCCCAGATATCTCAAAAGAATTCTTGAGACTTCGGTAATAATATGTAACCACCAATATTGGTGCTGAAAGTCTACTGTAAATTACAATAGTTGTGTAGCGCTTTGACATTGTTGATATGATGGAAAGCGTTACAATTATACTATTTTTTTTTTTTACATAATAAGCCCGGTTCAGTTGAACATATTTCAACTCGGGCGAATTTCATAGGGAATGTTTCATGACGTCAAATTCGTTTTGCATACGTGTGAAGTATGAATCGGGCTTCACACTGATCATTGGGCCAATGAAACATTCCAAATACAATCTCAGCTCCCTGGGGAGTATGCAGCTCGATGCTGCCATTTCGGCGCAAAGCAGCTAGAATCATTCACAATGACCATCTCTGCCCTCACAGTAAACACGACGACCAACACAAAAGAGGGAGAGTTCTCTCTGTCCCATATTCCCATAAGAAAGCTCGCATGTAAACGAAGCACAACGTCATTGTTTCAAGCCCATAGGTTGTATGCACTCCTTACCATTTACATGTGCAAGCAATTGGACATGCACGTTCTCCACATGCGCAAGGTCTAAGTAAAGACGCATCCCCAAGCAATTTTCAAGTTAAAGCTATAGTCATCATTTGCAGCCATCCGAAAAAGTAACTGGCGTAATTATTGTTGAAAAACATACTTGGTTGAAAGATAGTAAGTGGACTAAACTCCATGTGAAATTATTCTTTCTGGAAAGCTGTCATTTTAAAGTAATCAACGAAAGAAGGCCTTTCCAACGGTGCGTCTTAAGACGCACCGTAGGAAAATTTAAATTAGTAGTTCGTTTTGTTATTCGGCATGACATCGCGTATAGCTGCAATTCAGAACAATTCAAAACATGATTCAGCAACTTTTGATTTAAAATTGAGATCCTAGAATGCTGTTTTTATCGGAATATACAGCTGAAGCTTAGCTGAAACTTCATCAGGTTAGTTGTTCAGTATCCTTCATTAGATTTTGAACACTTTTGTTGCTTCAAACGAACAAAATGCACCAATTACAAATGATTGACTATATCTTTAAACCTCAAAAAATAGATTTGTGTTATAAATTGCTATTTTCCTAGCAATAAAGTTATTCGCTTTTGGATGAGACATCGAACAAAAAAAAAACTAACTACTTTTAGTTATTGAATTATTTCTTAGGCTCTCGCAGGGCGAGTTCATTTGTGCGCAAAGTGAAGTTCTTTTTTTTTTCAGAGGTTCGTAGACGCCCCAACTCGGCATGCAGTAGATTTTTCGTTAAAACATACAAATAGAAAATATGTTTCGTGAAAAAAAAATTCATTTTTTGAAGAGTATCTTAATTTAACAGGATCTATGGAAGAAACGCAGTTTTGTTGAGTGCACACTAGCCCGTTATGTAAGGGAATACAAAGCTGCTGAAAACTGCCGTTTCACAAAATAGCCTGAAACATTGGAATCATATTTCACTGATATTTTGTTATCCTAAGTGAATCTAAATATGCAAACCAACATTTCCTACATTTACCCTCCATTATTAAGCACCATTTTTTACACAGATTTCAGGGAATGCAACGAAATAAAAAAAAAAAGCTGAAGTTTAACATTTATGTTCAAACGATCAGTACTGTATTGTCAGTTTTAGCCGTATTTAAAGGGAATATAAAACATTTGCAAACATCGAAAAATAAAACTATCAAGTTTTTAAGAAATACCTTACTAGGATGTTGGTAAATGACAGTCTAAAGCATCCTGTAAAATTATGGCACCTGGTGTGAAGTCATTTTCAAGAAAATGGTATTTTTGTATACATTTCCAACAGTGGTCGGCCGACCACCATTGGAAAAACCCAACTATATTTCAACTACTGCTCCAAATTTACCCTTTTTCAGTCCAAATTTTTTTTGGTATTGGTTACATGTTCATGAACGGGTGCAGGCCAGCTAGACTGGTTCCCTTACCGTACAATTTTCTGGCAACTATAAATTGATCCATTTCATCTTTAGTGGAGTCAGGGAACCAGACTATTTGAACAATTTTGTTTTTCTTGGTTTTTCCAGCATTTTCGAACATAAAACTTCAAGCATGTCAGTGTAACAATATTTGATATATTATACTAACCCCTCAAATACTCCATTTCTGAAAATTACAGCAAAAGCCAATGATGTACATTCCCTTTAAACCAGATTTCATGTTAATCTCCAGTATTATGAGGAATGTTTTATTGTAACAAAAACATTTGATTGTCTCCAAATTCCATAAATCACAGATCTGTCTGAGGAGTCTAGATTTTGTAGTTTAGAATAAGTTTTAATAAAATTCTGCTTTTACAAATCAAATCGGTCTTTTATCTAATTTCGTTGTATTTACATCAATACCATATAATTATAATGAACAAAAATAATAGCCACTTTTGACTTTTCAGATCTGCCACGAACATGATTTGCAAGCTCAATATATTGGGGTGGATGAACATTTGGGGGAAAGAATGTTGCAACCTGACGCCACTTTTTTTCTTCATATATCATTTCAATGAAGGTCAGTCATTGCAAAAATGTTGATAAGACATGAATCTGGGACTGAGAAAACTTTTCAATTTTGTTAGGAAATACTTGGAAAATTTTCTTGACTCTCCATAGACTTTGTACACAACCGCTGAAGTGGCGTCTGGATACTACATTCTTTCCCATTGGGCTCCAACCGCAGATGATCCATTTATAAATGTCGAATGCCAATAGAAATTCAGCTAACACAAGAGAGATCAGGTTGGCGTAGCGGTACTTTCCTCGGCCGATTTCAAGAAAAACAGTGCATGACTTCGCCATGCATAGGATTTATGCAGATTTGATGCACAGCTGGGCAATAAACTTCAAATTGATTTCACGACACCTGGCGTAGCTGCACAACGTTTTAAACAATTTAAGCATCTTGGACAAGGACAATTTCACCTTTTACGACAGCTGTTTGTGTGTACAATTTCTGTTCAGTCACAAAACAGTTGTCGACCTCCGCCTGCCATTTTAAAACCAATTTTTTTTGTCCAACTTTCTTCGGACTCTTACAGCAACTCTAACAATTCTGCCATGGGTTAAAACAAAGTCATCCATGTCCTTCAAAAACAAATCTGCAGGTTTCTTGTATCAACCTTGATAAGTTGAGCAATTATAGGCTCCACGACGATCACGATTACTCATTTAGTCCATTTTCAGTCGCAGCGGCACAACTTACGCTACCTTAAATGATTGTGTAAGTTATGCCATAATTTGTTGCGTAAGTGGTAGACTTGCACATTGTGAAACTGCCGTGAAGAATGTCGCAACTGAGATGTTGCGCAACTTACGCAATAAAATGAGGCATAAGTTGGGTTACGCCATTGCATAAAGTTTCGTTAAATTGGCTGCTTGAGTCGAATCTCGCCTAGAGGCTAAAATGTGGACTGGGTTTTCAGTCCCAGCATGAATCCAGGGATTTCCCATTGATTTTCATGCCAGGTTTCTCCCATCAATAAAACTATAATTTTCTTCTCATCCTCCACCTACTGGAAATAAATCAAAAGACTTTCATGGGCTATGCTGGCTGAAGTCCAAATAATAAGCCAATTAGGTTGTTAGCAAAATATGAACATCAAAGAACCTGGTCCTTTTGGTCGCTACGAATTAAAAAAAAAAATGATAAATGTTCATACAAGTTGAGTTACTTAAAGATGTGATCCCGGATATCCAGAGACATGAATATTTTAGAGCCTTTGATTTTAGTACATATTGCTACACATGTACTTTGTCTTTATTTACAATAACTTTACCAATGAAGAGCTGTTGGTCTTTGTGAGTTTATAAGGATTCCGAAATTTGATATTTTTTTTTGGTTAATATCCAAGGAAATTTTGACAAAATGTTGAATTTTTTTAATGTCCAAGGAAAATTTGAGAAGACCAGGGCCCAATTCCCTGATTTCTGGAGTATCATTTTCCCATGCTTCACCAATGTTCTGCTTGCCACCTTCCAAAAAAGAAAATTGGTGGGATATCTTTATCCATGTACATTTGTACAGTGTTGTAGTGCTCATACTCGGTACTCGTACTCGAGAACAACTCGAATACTTTTTGAGAATACTTTTACTTGCACTCGTTTATCAAAATACTCAGACATGAATTCATGGTACTCGAGCTCGAGAAGTAGTACGACTCGACTATTCGAAATCGTACTCCATCATCAAAGTACTCAAACTGGGAAAAAAAGTAATTTAGTTTTGAATGAAGAAAAATCTCCTGACTTGGAGATATCTGTTTTATCGATACTTTTACTGAATAGTACCCGGCTGTGGAGAGGATCAATTTCCTTTGTGTTGGTCTGTGCAAAGACTACATGCTTTGTTTTTATATACAACATGGGATCTTATTACTTGAGTTTTTCATTGTTTTCACTTCAGTTCTCCATAAGGGCCCGTGACCATTCAGCCCCGTTATGAAAAGGGCCCCCCAGTAAGCTCGTCCCCTCCCAAGAAGTCCTCTCGTACCGGCCCATACCAGGAGCTGGTCCGGTTGCTAATCAGGAACTCCTCTATCCTGGGGTCTATTGTTTGCAAGTATTGACACATGTAATATATCCCAGAAGAAACCCACTTGTGGTTTTCATCTCTCAGCGCGAAACAATAGAACACTTTCGTCGGCACAGATCAAAACCCCTGCCATGCGGTTTGGCGCACAATGGGACCGTAAATTACCAAGGCGTTTGGAAGGATTTTATCTTTAATCCGGTAAGTCTGCTATTGTTCTGCTCTGGACGTTCTCTGAAGGGCAATAAATTGATGCGCCTGACTGACTTCAAAACTTCTGGTCAGACAGGACCATGTACCGGATGAGACTGGGCTGAAGACCGGACTGGCTTTGGACCGGACGAGGTACCGGGGGGCCCTTTTCATACCAGGGCTGAATGGTCACGGTCCCTAAAGTACTCTCTTTCATACTTGACGTACTTGCACTCGGAGGTCCAAGTACTCGGACTCGGCTTCACAAAACTTGCACTTCAAGGTCCAAGTATTTGGACTCTGGTACCTGTACTCGTTCTCAAGGGGCAAACTTGGTACTTTTGACCCTTTGTACTTTTGTAAAAGTACTCGACTACAACCATACAGCTACATTAAATTATTAGAGCGCTGACTCGTACAAAGTGATGCCTGCTGGGCGCATCCATGTTAGTGCACAAACCTATAGAGAACTCGAAATTGTGTACATTTTTTGTACGGCTATTCGCAAATCTGCGTTTGTATTCTATCAGGTGGTTACCAAAGCCGATACGCCCAAAACCGAAACGCACGATCAGCAAATGAGCGTTTCATTTTGCTCTATGCGCGCAAACAGCGCAATGCGTGCGTGTATCCGCTGCAGATGTTTTTGCCGTGACATTTTTGAACCGTCATCGACGCGCTTAAGTATTTCACGTATGTTCTACTTGCACGTTGCATTTAGAGTATACTTTTAAAATTCAATCCATCTAATTTCATTGGGTTCTACAAACACGCACATGAATTCAAAATGTCTGCGCCCAGAGCTGCTTCAAAGCGTCTCCGCACTCAAGAATGAGGAGTTAGCGCTCCAGTAATTTAATAAAGCTCTATGACTACAACACTCCTTTGTATCAAAACATTTCTGATACTCAAGCTTCTGCTTTAGATGTCACTCACTGGTACAGAAATCCATTGCTAAATATACTAATTCAACAACGCCTTTTTCAATGCAAATATTGAAAGAGAAGCTAACTTGTACACCAGTGGCCCCGAAAACATGAAATTACAAAACTTTATTCATTTCTGTGGCAAGAATAGCTCCTTATCATCTAAGGCGACTCCCAGTGGTCGAGCCGAACTCTTTCTCAGAGAACGTTGGTACGACAAGGTCCTCCATGATGGAACGTAGCCAGTTGTGTCCGTTGATCACCTGGGTCGTGGCTATCAGGTACTCCATGGGTCCTGAGGAGAGAAAAAAATATGTGGAAAACGTGTTGGTTGCCTTATTACATCTTCACTGGCATCAAGTTTGCTTGAAGATAAATTTCTTAGCCCGTTCATGCCTGGTACAAGAAAAATGCATTATGTTCCATGCATACAAATAGGCACTTCATTATTTTGTGCGCCACATGTGCTCATGGGATAATATTTTTTATCGTCAGTTAAACTTGTATCCTCGATCCTGATTGGTCCATGGCAACAACAGTGTGATATGAGGCTGCACTGCACGGTCCATATCGCACCCTGCGTTTTGCGCTATTCCAAGATGTGAGCGACATTCCAGCTGCATGCGCTAAACCGCTCAAAGGTTCGTGTAAAGCGTGCTACAATCCCGGCCAAAATGGTTGGGACACTTGGAAATAACCTTAGCCTTCCACGGTCACCCACTCCCCTGCTCCCCCGATCAATGTTGTTCTCTCCAGCTGATGGAGCACACACCGCGCAATGAGAGACAACATTGACGGGGGGCCGGGGGGTTGGGGGCCCAGCGAGATTTGGCCAGGATTGTAGGTCCAACTTTACTGCGCGTCAAGTTTGCTTGAATTTATTATCACGCTCACGCTCGTGGAACATGGAAAATGTAGTGCGCCTGTGTCCTACATACCACGAGGCCGAAGACACAGATGCACTTCATTATTCCGTGTTCCACTCGCTCTCGCGGGATAACTAATAGTATTAAGTGACACGGTCTGCGGGTAATTCTTCAGGTTGTGGGTTGGAGTCCAGCCTGGGGTTACTGTACACGTGCCATTGGGCAAGGCACCTTGTCACTCATTGCTTCTCTCCACCCAGGAGTAATTGGGTACTTGTGAGGGCAGAGATGGTTATTGTGGTTGATTCTAGCTGCTTTGCTCCGACATGGCAGCATCGAGCTGTATACTCTCCAGGGAGCTGAGATTGTCTTTGGAATGTTTCATTGGCCCAATGAGCAGGGTAATAATGATGTAGCGCCTTGAGCACCAATACTGGTCGATAAGTATGCTTTATAAATACACGTTATTGTTGTAGTATCCATTTCTTGTATTCAATTAAGTTCTTTACACGTGTGCCTATCTAAATGTACTCAATTGTAGTCAATGAGTTGCAACAAATAAGCCATTTGTGAGTAACCTATACCCTTTGGGATTAACATTTCAATAACATCTGGTACACTGACTTGCTCAGAATGCTTGGCACATTTTAACTTTGAATTCTCCAGACCAAAGACACTGTTGCTAATCACATGATTCGGGGCAAGCTCTTGCATAGTTACGTAAGAGACGCTCAGCATCAATACATCGCTCACAATGGGTGAGAATGGCACAAAGACACCAGACCATGCCAGAGCTGGGTGTTGCTATCATAAGGCTTGCCCCGAATCACGTGATGTAGTAACAGTCTCTTTGGTTGAGAGAATGCAAAGTTAACACGTGCAAAGCATTGGATTAAGTCAGCGTTCCAGATTTTATTCAAATTTAACTCGCAAATGGCTTATTGAACAGGTGGTGCTCATACTCAAAACACTCTCCTACTAAAACCTTACCATCATCTTGGTTTGAGAGGAATCTGAGGGCAGCCATCTCAGCGTAGGTCACTCCTCCAATGAAGAAAACCAACGTCACCTTCTGGTTGTCACTTTGACTGTCACCTATCGTCCCTGACAAGTATCGAAAGACAAGTATCATGAGAGTGCTGAAGAAGAGGGCTTGGTTCAAACGCGTCAAACGGAAAAAGAAACCTTAAAATGAACTTCAGTTTAACGGGAATGTACACCATTGGCTTTTGATGTAATTTTCAGAAATGAACTATTTGGGGGGTTAGTATAAAAGATCAAATTTTGTTACACTGACATTTTTGAAGTTTTGTGTTCGAAAAGGTTGGAAAAACCAAGAAAAATGAAAATGTTCAAGTAGTCTGGTTCCCTGACTCCACAAAATGGATCAATTTATAGATGATGGAAAATTGTAAGGCAAGGGAACCAGTCTAGCTGGCCTGCACCCGTTCCTGAACATGTAACCAATAGCAAACAAAATTTGGACTGAAAAAAGTGTAAAGTTGGAGCAGTAGTTGAAAAATAGTTAGGTTTTTCCAACGGTGGTCGGCCGACCACCGTTGGAAATGTATACAAAAATACCATTTTCTTGAAAATGACTTCACACCAGGTGCCATAATTTTGACTGTCATTTACCAACATCCAAGTAAGGAATTTCGTAAAAACTTGATAGTTTTATTTTTCGATGTTTGCAAATGTTGTATATTCCCTTTAAAACCTGAAATGCAAGATTAATACATCAAAGTCAAACTTTCAGATTTCCAATTATCTTTGAAATGTATTTGTAAAAGAGCTATGGGAAAAAAGGGACTGTCATTCAAAATAGTTGATCAATTCACCTGATCCTTTGCCAAAAATCACAACTGGTTAATGTCTGTTCAACTTTCTACATATGTAAGTATGCTTCTAAATCTATAATTGCTCATGGAACAACTACAGTGAAATCTTGATAAGTCAAACCGCAAGGGAACAGGTTCAAAATCTGACTTAAGCAGAGTTGTATATCATTGTTATACTACTGAAAGGAATGGGTTATTTGTTTGACTTGACAATTGTTTTGAGTTATCAGAGTTTGACGTATCGAGATTTCACTGTAAAATGGAGATATTTTTTGTAGCATGAATCAGTAAGAATTATGTGTTGTGAGACTTATCTTGAAAGTTATCGTCGTAGGAGTTTCCTCTTATCTGGCAGGCAGGGAAGTAGGTTTGCATGTACAACATGGACAAATAACTTTTGTGAGTAAGTGTTGGCTCTGAAGAGAGTTGGTGCTGAGGGGAGTCAGGTTGGCGTAGCGGTACTTTCCTCGCCTTCCACCGCTGTGACCCGGGTTCGAATCCCGCCTGGGCCAATATGTGGATTGGTTTTTTTCAGTCCCTGCCTGATTCCGCGGGTTTTCCCCAGAATATTCTTCCGGGCTTTTCCTCCCACCTCGAAAACTGTCAACTCTTCTCAATGTCCCCTCTCTGCAGAATTCTTCAGGCTAGGGAGCTACAGAGCCTAGGTCGCTTTTGAGGAATTGTTAGTTTCAGTACCAGAAATAAATAATAATAATAATAAGGTCTTGACATTTCGAGTCTACAGGACGATGGTGTCCATGGGGTACCCGCGAACCTAACTTCCCTCTCCACCACGCAAAGCTTCAAACAACACTTAAGTGGCATGTTTAGTAATCACTTACTTTTCTTCAGCAGGCCGTATGGTATCTGCTGTGTCTCTTCCACCGTGGGTCCAGGAATGAGTCTCAGTACCTCCTCAATGCTACGCCAGCCGGGCTTGGCCAGGAACTGGGCAAGCCGTACGCTGAGCGGGGCATAGCCACTGTACACGTAGGATATGTCGTGAGGATTCTGGGAGAAAGGATGAGACAGCACAGACAAGAAATAGTCAAGAATTGTAAACGTCTAATTTAAGACAACTATTTACAAGGTTTCTGCACCTTTAGGACAATATAAGTTGATGACTTTTCCATGACTTTACCATGACTTTTCCATGACTTTACCATGACTTTTCCATGACTTTACCATGACTTTTCTATGACTTTTCCATGATTATACCCATAACTTTTCCATGACTTTTCCAAGACTTTTCCATGACTTTACCATGACTTTTCCATGACTTTACCATGACTTTTCCATGACTTTACCATGACTTTTCTATGACTTTTCCATGACTATACCCATGACTTTTCCATGACTTTACCATGACTTTTCCATGACTTTACCATGACTTTTCTATGACTTTTCCATGACTATACCCATGACTTTTCCATGACTTTACCATGACTTTTCCATGACTTTACCATGACTTTTCTATGACTTTTCCATGACTATACCCATGACTTTTCCATGACTTTTCCATGACTTTTCTATGACTTTTCCATGACTTTTCCATGAATTTTTTCATAACCAAATTATGAAAATCCAGGACCTAGTTCAGCAAAATGCAAATCAAAAACTGTAAAACTTGTTCTGTAATACTGAATTACAATACCGGGTGTCAGTTCGTGAAACCGAAATTGTTGATTACGCCGTTTTCACGAACTGACATGCACTTGCGCGTGAGTGTCAGTTTGTGGCGTCAGTGACGAATTCAACAAGGATCCCACAGACTTTTTACACCTGCTGTGTATTCCATCTACCAGGGTTAGGGAAAAGAAAGTTACAGAGTGACGGCCTGAATTAGAGATATGTAGTTTCTTGTTGCCGTCTACCTGTTCATTGACGTCTTCAACAACCAGTCTCAGTGTCTTCCTGATGGTGTTATACGTCTTCTGGCCTTGCACCTTCAACAGTCCAATCTTCTCCAGGTTGTTTAACGACACAATGTGCTCAAAGCCGTACGTCTGTTAGTGAAATCAAATAAGCACTCATTAACCATTTTGCGTCGGATGACGTGTATACACGCAAAGGTTTTGAGGTATTCGGAACAGATGACGGATAAACACACAGGGAGCGAGCCCGGAAATATCTGTCAGTGACCCGCTCGCAGCGAGCGAGGCCGGAAATACGAGTGTGCTGCCCGAGGGTGATGGCTTCAACCCGCCTGGCTTGAGGTCGAGTGAAAAATAATCCGAGCAAGGCCGGAAATACGCCTGGCTTGAGGTCAAGTGAAAAATAAATGAACGAGGCCAAAAATACGCCTGGCTTGAGGTCGAGTGAAAAATAATCCGAACGAGGCCAAAAATACGCCTGGCTTGAGGTCGAGTGAAAAATAAATGAACGAGGCCAAAAATACGCCTGGCTTGAGGTCGAGTGAAAAATAATCCAAGCGAGGCTGGAAATACGAGTGTCCTGCCCGAGGGTGATGGCTTCAACCCGCCTGGCTTGAGGTCGAGTGAAAAATAATCCTGCGCCTCGTTCTGTTCTTGTCAAAATAATCCCGGCGCGAACTGGTGAACAGTCTACCATCGTCATTCCTGGGCCGAGTTATAACTAGGCATTTTAGGTGGCAAGAAAGGGACTACAAAACCAATTTCGTAATTTTGTGAAAACGTTTGAAACCTGTGGCATGATGAAGCTATTAAATGGAGCTGTGTAATATGTGACCCGCTCCACAAAAATGAGTCTGTTGTGGCAAAACTGAAATTTTGAGTTAACTACAGTAATAAAATGGGAATGAAATAAGCTTTCATTTGGTATATCATGGGCCTCTTTAGGACGTTTGGTTGCACTGTTGTGACTTTTTAAATTCTGTCAAGTTTTTGCAAAGCAAGAAATGTCTCAATGAAGAAAAAAGGGTTTAAAAATTACAAATACACTGTAACTAACCAAGAAAAGCACCAAAAATCATAATCTTTTTTGTCTTTTTCTTACAATATTTAAATTTCTGTGTAAGATATCTGAACTAAAACTATCAAACAACCAAAATAAAACAAGAACAAAAAATCCAAATTTTGAGCAAATTTTCACTGTTTCCATTTAAAAGTGGTAAAAGCTGGAATTCAAGCTATGCGACATCAGACTCATTTTTGCAGAGCGGGTCACATATAAACTGTATTTGCAGTCCTCTAAGAGTTTTTGAGAAACTTCCAATGCTTAGTCGGGTGTTTGATCTACAACCACTGCTATAGGTCATGCTGACACTTATATGATCAACCAAATTTCTGGAGTCAACAGGCCAGTTTGAATTTGATAGCTCTTGGGAATCACGTAGCTTACAGTTCTAAAAACAAAATCATGTCAGTGAAAGATAAAACCCATCATTAACTACAACAGCAAAGCTGCCATGGCTTGCTGTCGAAGGCGGGAAGGGAGGCTGAAGGTCGGGTTGGGGCTGGGCATGATGGAAGGGGATCAGGATTCAGGATGATGTGCCATGGTGTAGGGGTCAGTTTTATTCAATGCCTACACAACAAACCTTCCAAAACTGACTGAATCTCACCTGTGTGATTTCCCTTTTGTAGAAGTCGTATATTTTGGGCTTGAAACCGTTGTTTGTCACCGACTGCATGCAGAGCAGTCGCAACACCTGAAGGAAAATTGACAGTTTACAGAATATTTACGTGAGGTTGATCTGACTAGTAAACACAATGTCACCATGTAGGGCTATGTTTTAAACATATGTTTAAAGCTGCATTCCCTGTTCTTTTTTTTTCAAATTTCATCCCGATACATAGATTCCTTTTCTAAATTGCTATCCAGCAATACCAAAGATATTCCATTTTGTATGAGACATTAAAGTAAAAAAAATATCAACAGAAACAAATCAATTTTGTTGAAGAACACGGAGAAAGCAACTTTAAGTGGAAGAACTGTTGCCAATTATTTGGAGCGGTGTGTATGGACATGTTTATTGGGGTGCAAGGGCAGTGAGGTTTGGATGTACGATTTGCTAACATTTTGACTAAGCTCCATTCAGATTTGTTACTTGTTAATTACTCCGTCATTTTGCCTCTTAAGAAGAATTTTTTAAGTTCGCAACGTCAGACCGCATTAATTTCTTACATTTGTATATTTCAGGTCAATCCAATCAGTAAGCATTTTGCAGCAGTCCTATTAATTTTCAGATTTGATACTGTTACTTTCTAAATGGGTTATCCTATAAATTCAGGGTTCTAATTGTGACATTTTTCCTGTCCCTGTTACCTCGGAATTTTGTAATTTGCCATGCATGTATAACGGGCTCTTTGGAGGTCAAGGACCAATACTACAGAATACTACATGTGTTGTCCACACTTGTATGGAAAGAAATAAATGCATACTACAGGTTACTACTCAGTAGTATGTTGTAGCTTTGGGTGAGGTTAGGGTTAGAAACTACTTCAAACTCATTTCTATTTGTTGGGTAGGTCATTCACACAATCGCTCTTGGAGGAAGAATCACAGATGTTAGATGTAACAGGGACAGGAAAAACAAGAGGACCCCAAATTTATAGAATGACCCATATATAGACACATGAATCAGCAAGTAGTTAATCAATGGTTTCCACTCAAATGTATTCTGTGATCCTTTGACTACCTTGATCAGTGGCTCTCTCTTGGCAATGCATTCCTCGATGTAATTATTCACTTTGTCCGTGTCTACTCCATTCATGAACTCTGCACAGAGAGAATAAAAAAACACAGCTGGGATCTCATTCAAACCATGTCTTTCCTTAAAGGGAATGTACAACATTTGCTTTTGCTGCAATTTTCAGAAATAAATGGATTTGGAGGATTAGAATGTTATAGCAAATATTGTTAAAATTACTTGTTTCACGTTTTGGGCTTGTAGATGCTGCAAAAGCCAAGAAAACCAATCATGTTCTTGTAGTCTGGTTCCCTGACCCCACTTAAAATGAAACAGAGCAATTAATACACTTAAAGAATTGTAGGCTCAGAGAATCAGTCTAGCAGGCTTGTACCCCTTCACAGGTGTGTAATCAATTGCAAAAAAAACGTGGAATAACTAATTATGAAAAATTGGGAGCAGTTTTTGAAAAAAAGCTAGTTTTCTCCAACGCTGGTCGGCCGACCAGCGTTGGAAAAATACAATTTTTCTTGAAAATGACAGCACACCAGGAGCCACGATTTTACAGGATGCTTTAGACTGTCAATCCCTAACAGTCCAGTAAGGTATTTCGTCATAATTTGATCATTTTGTTTTATGATGTTTGCAAATGTTGTATCTTCCCTTTAACCCTAAACTCTGCCAGGCACAACACAGACACAGTGCATCGGGTGGAAAAGTGCACTTTGATGCATTCAGCTACCAACACCAGTGCATGAATGGCCAGCTCTGAAACAATGAGAGCTAAGTCCCATGGAACAATGCCACAGTTGTATCCTGCGGCATGCGGTGACCACAGACTCTTGAGGATGTGGCCTTGAGACTTTTGGCCAGATGGATCTTGCTACATTTGGCAGGCTTGTCACTTAATCAAGTGTTGCATGTTGCTACGTTTGGCAGGGTTCTAGCAAACATGCCCTGGAGGGTTAGGGTTAATGGAGAAACACAATCTTACATCTTTAATGCAGGTGTTGGACAAAAGTCACAAAACTATTCCAATTTCAAAAGCCCATTTACATTGTTTGTAAAAGTACCCCAAAAAACCAGGAATATTGAGAAGGTTGCTCACCTTGCTGTGTTTGGAGCGAGTCCATGAATGATTCCAAATCTGTCCGTTCCTTGACCAATTCAGCTATGGAAGTATCTGAGATTATAACAAATCCACATAAACACCTAATTTGACAGTTGCGCATGTAAGCTACAATAGGTAATATTGGCCCTCTTTTGAAGTTCTAACGAGGAACTGATGTCACTGTTGGTAGAGCACTAGAATTTTTTCCCCCAGAGTTTAAAGGCGAGTCAAGCTGTTGCTTAAATTTCTCTGGAACGTGTCCAGGACAAATGCAGCGCTTCTTCCGGACAAAGTGAATGATTCTACCCGCAACTTGTCCGGAACTCATCCCGGATACGAATTGAGATAGGCTCTAATACTATTGCTGGTATAAGGTTCTAAAATTTGTCATGTGATTTAGTTCTCAAGTTGGAAACTCTGGTAAATTGTGACCTGTTCTGTCAAAAACAGACGCTTCTGGGCAGAGGTTGAAATTGAGATAGGGCAAAAAAAACGCCGTGGGGGTGATTTTTTTCGATTTTCTATTTTTTGCATATTTGTAATCTTGAACATGTCCGATAAAAGTTTGAAACCCTAATTTGAACTCTAAATATAGTATTTTTGATGATTTGTATATCAGTTAAAGAAATGTCACTTGAAACAGGTCTTAAAAATAGACCCTAAACTTGAACTGCCATTTTCTCCGTTTGCTACTTTTCGACATGATGAACTTCAAAATAGCATAACTTCGCCCGGGAATGACCGGTTTCAAAAATTAAACCACCTATTAAAAGGAAAATGTTCATATTTTAACAACATGCAAAAATCTCATTTTTGACCTTATGCTCAGAAAAGTCTGATTTTGACTGAACAGGCCAAAATTATGTTTAAGAGTCAGCCACAAATAACTATTACGTCAAAAAATACAAATAATCTGAAAGATACTGCCAAGTTTCTTACGAGTTGCTAGTGAGGCCTTGGCCGCCTGTATGTGTGGTAGCTTGGTGACAAACTGTTTGATGTCCCTCACTGTTTTGGCATCTTTGCGTTCCTAGAAATAAAATACGCAACATCCATAGTAAACTTATAATAATATTTGAAAATCAAATGCACCACAGGCCCCAAATTCATAGCGCTGCTTAACAGTCGATTTTGTGCTAACAGAGCCTCGGTCTATTTCATAGAGACTGTTAGCAGTAAGCACAGCAAAAGCACGCTTAACCCCAGAGGAGAAAGTTGCTTAAATCCGTGATGTAACAACAGAAATCTCCATGCACGGGCAACCGTTAGCACATCCACACAACGAAATAGTGCTTAATAAGCAGTGGCATGATTTTAAGCTCAACCTTTCTGCCTTGAGTTGTTTATACTCAGCCGTGCATAAATTTAGGCCTAGATTATACTTGAAATCCTCCCCACTGCTCCAGGATGTCACTGGCTCTCATTTCTGCTTCAACACATATTGACAGTAACTGCTGGAGAATTCTGCAGGATTGAGGCAGTGGTCACCCCTCCAAGGACCACATTAAAAAAAAACCCAGGATTTTGCAGGATTGAGGCTGTATGCAATTTTTACACACAGGCGGTTGGAGGATTTTGCAGGATTGAGGCTGCATCCTAGCAAAATGCCTAGGGAGTTAGGGCTAAACAGTGCCATAAAATTGGGTCCAGGCATTGTAGAGCACTTTCAGAAATTGGTATAAGCGCTATGGACTCTGCGCGCAAGTGCCCCCTCAACGGTTACAAAGGGAGGGGTTGGGGAGACCACTGGCAGGGACACGTGTACGATTTGCTGATGCCCACACTAACAAAAAAGAAAATGAACTCTATTCACAGCAAACCCACCTCATACTGTGCCGACAGTATCTTGGCCTTTCTGCTAAGCTCCGGCCCGACGGCATTGAAGTTCTTGTCTCGGATGACGGCAAACAGCTCGTCCGATGAGTTGAGTATAATCTTCTTGGGTTCTGTCGGCAACTCTTGCTGGGGTTCGTTTTCGTTCTTGCGGACAAACTTTTCGGGTGGGAGTTTAACGTTGGCTGTTCGGGCACGAGATACGAGACATGTGAAAGATAACGTGAATAACTTTGCAGTTGCAAAAGCATGAAAAACCTGCGACAGGGCGTATAGTAGAATTCTCAAATGTGGTCACAAAGTGAAAATTACTCATGGACGAACACAGGGGCGTCAATCGCTTCTCAAAAGTGGGGGGGGGGGGGGACATCCTTGATCAGAACTGATGCGAGCGCAAAGCACAAAGCCCTTACGGCGTGGGGTCCAAGAACCGATTAAGGGCCTGGAAAAAATTTGGATTCTAGATGCTCTGTGGTGTGATCTGAAGCAATTTCTGACCACTTTCCTTCATGTTTTAACCAATATTTTCCTAGCAAAAAATAATAATTTTAACGCCTTTTTTCGAGGTTGGAGTCATTGGATAAGCTATTAAATTCTCAGCTAAAGGCGTAGGGTTCGGGACCTGAAACATTTTAGATTCTGAATGCTCTGTGGTACGATCTGAGGCAATATCTGACCACTTCAACCAATATTTTCTTGACAAAAGATATGTTGTAGTACCTAATATTGCCCTGTAAATGAGACACAAGTTCAAAAATCTGGGGGGGGGGGGATTTGATATTGTGTCCCCCATCCTTCAAAAAGTAAGGGGGACATGTCCCCCCCCCCCCCATGATTGACATCCATGGACGAACACGACAATGAATCCAAACTGTGCTACTCACTGTTGTGTATTCCATATATCTCGTCAATCAGTCCCTCGTAGGTCAGCTGCGTGGCCAGAGGGGTCAAGAGGTCAACCGTCCGGTCAATCAGTAGGAGGGTATCGATCTGGGGCTGGACTTGCCTCTCGTTGCCCGCCATCTCACGACGCAATCGCAAGATGGTATCGGCAACATGCTGTGTGGTCAGAAAATCAAAACAGAACCTGTAACACATGCAAGAAATGCCTAGCTACAATCTTGTAATGGACTTGTGACGGACTTGTGGTGACTTGTGATAGACTTGTGATGGACTTGTGATAGACTTGTGATGGACTTGTGACGGACTTGTGATGACTTGGGCTTGACTTGTGATGACTTGTGACTTGTTATGACTTGCGATGGACTTGTGATGGACTTGTGATGAACTTGCGATGACCTTGTGATGGCTTGTGATGGACTTGTGCTAGACTTGTGCTGGACTTGTGGTGGACTTGTGATGGACTTGTGATTGAATCAAGAACAATACCAACTATCTCACACATCTAACCTTTGACAATGTCCCCTTGCCATAGATCTTGGGAATGATACCGTACAATGCTTGTATCTTCATCAGAGCCTTGGCCACGTAGAACATTGTGGTCAGGTCATTTTGCAGGTAGCACTCCTGTTGACATGATCACAAATTGGAAGATCAATTATGCTAATTTAAGAGTTTCTAAATTGAAACTCTTTCTAAATCTTTGAACAAACATACATGTTAACTGGTGTTTTGTCTTGAATAAAATTTGAGTTTTTCAAGGAAAAAAGTCATAACAATTACCTCACTGAAGAAAAGCTCCGAACAAATTGGTCGCTGTTTTTAGGACACAATTATACATTGGTGCAAAGGTAAGATGTTGATCAACTTGACCTGACCTTGAATGATTGTTCCATCTCCATGGAGAGTACGTCACTGTCAAACGGCAACAGGTCCAGGGTGTATTCCCCCACAGTGGTCAGTGTGCCGTAAACACCGAGCTCCTGGTGAAATGAGAATACACCAACATCCCGACAAATGAGAAATGCCGATATTTTGTAGCATGGGATTGTTAAGTTGCGTTTCCATGCTATTTGTGAGTTTCATCCCAACAAAATAGATTTCTTTTCTAAACTGCATATTTTTCTAGCAATACAAAAGTGATTCACTTTTGAATCTGACATCAAATGAAAAAAAAATGGCCTTTGTTTTATAGCTACTGAATTATTATTTTACAATTTTTGACTGCCAGACAAAAATTCAAAGGTCCAAAATATTGGTTGATCCCTGCTCGATTTTATTCCTTCCAACCTTCAATGCTGTAATCTTGATTTGAGATATTAAGCCAAAGTCATCGAGGTATAAATTTCAAATCAACAACTTTGCTCCTTTTTCCCCCTCCCACTTAGGTTATTTGAGGTATCCCTAACTGCTTTAAGCACCCTGAATGCAACACACCCAAATGAGAACCCTATGCAACAGAATGCAACACACCCAAAGGAGAACCCTGCCAAATGCAATAGAATGCAACACACCCAAATGAGAACCCTGCCAAATGCAACAGAATGCAACACACCCAAATGAGAACCCTGCCAAATGCAACACACCCAAATGAGAACCCTGCCAAATGCAACAGAATGCAACACACCCAAATGAGAACCCTGCTAAATGCAACAGAATGCAGCACACCCAATTGAGAACCCAGCTTAATGCAACAGAATGCAACACACCCAAATGAGAACCCTGCCAAATGCAACAGAATGTAACACACCCAAATGAAAACCCTGCCAAATGCAACAGAATGCAACACACCCAAATTAGAACCCTGCCAAATGCAACAGAATGCAGCACACCCAAATAAGAACCCTGCCAAATGCAACAGAATGCAACACACCCAAATGAGAACCCTGCTAAATGTAACAGAATGCAACACACCCAAATGAGAACCCTGCCAAATGCAACAGAATGCAACACACCCAAATGAGAACCCTGCCAAATGCAACAGAACGCAACACACCCAAATGAGAACCCTGCCAAATGCAACAGAATGCAACACACCCAAATGAGAACCCTGCTAAATGCAACAGAATGCAACACACCCAAATGAAATCCCTGCCAAATGCAACAGAATGCAACACACCCAAATGAGAATGCTGCTAAATGCAACAGAATGCAACACACCCAAATGAGAACCCTGCTAAATGCAACAGAATGCAACACACCCAAATGAGAACCCTGCCAAATGCAACAGAATGCAACACAACCAAATGAGAACCCTGCCAAATGCAACAGAATGCAACACACCCAAATAAGAACCCTGCTAAATGCAACAGAATGCAGCACACCCAAATGAGAACCCTGCCAAATGCAACAGATTGCAACACACCCACATGAGAACCCTGCCAAATGCAACAGAATGCAACACACCCAAATGAGAACCCTGCCAAATGCAACAGAATGCAGTGAGCTAATACATGCCAGCCTTGGAACCAAAGCTACCCTGCCAAATGCAACGGAATGCAGGGGTGCAATACATCAGATCAGGACACTGCTAAATGCAACAACTTGCAACAACTTTTTACCACTGGTGCATTCTGTTGCATTTAGCAGGGTGCGGGTTAATTTACATTACCCACTTTCAAAACTGTAACCCACTAACAATATTTATACCTGAATCAAATTTGGACGAGAAATAGCGGTCTTGCTCTTTAATCCAGAATCCATGTACTAATCTGATGTTCAGGTAACAATGTAAGGGTGACACCACGCCTACCCCCATTTTTCCCAGCTTGACTCCGCCTCCCCCCCCCCCCCCCCCCTACCTACCGTCAGTTTCTTCTCGCACATGAGGCTTTTCCGAGGCACAAAGAAGATATGGAACTCCATGTGGAATCTCCCCGCCGCCTCCTCGGTGCGCCGGATGGCATCGGCCACGATCTCCATCAGGTCCAGCCGGGGACGGACGAGGAAGATGATGTTCTGAATGATCATGCTCCCCTGCCCCGAGCCGGCCGAGATGGGCAGGCGGCCTGGCCGCAGGGGGAACATCTTGTCCACCTCATGCTCCTGATTAAATAAGGAAAATTTCAGTATGAAAGTGAACAGCAATAATGACACTGGGAATAATAATAATAATAATTTGGGAGGCTAATCATCATTACTCGCAGCTGGTATGCTGAATTGAGAAGGACGCGGCTACAACGTGGTCGGGCCGCTGGCACGTAAAGGCGCCTATGGCTGCCGGCCACATCGACCCATATATGACCACGGAGCACAGCCTGAGATCGAAAGTGTTTGATTTTTCAGGAGGGATGAAAACCGGAAGGCCAGGAGAAAAACCCTCGTGGCACAGGAGAGAACCAATGCACAACTCTACTCACATGCGATCTGCGGCCAGGATTCGAACCATGGTCACCTTGGTGAGAGGCGAGCACTTTTACGCACAAGCCACCCACGCCACCGATAGAGCCTCAATAACCTTATTTAGAGTCCGTCAATGGTCGGTGCCTTGTTTTCCTTGTGATGTCTGATGAACGGTTATAGTTGCATTCCACGTGGTATTTCAAATTTTAACCCCGAAAACAGATTGTTTTTTGTTTTCTTAAAAGTTTGTCACTCATTAATGAGATATCGCACATAAAAAATCCACCAACATTTCGTTGATTTTCTTTACAACATTCAAATGACATGTATTTTTGGTTGAACAATAACTAATTTGGCTCTCACAGGCCAGTTTCATTTGTGTGCAAAATGAAAGCTTTTCTCAAAGTGTTGCACACACCCAAAATCGAAATAAATTTGATCTGATAGGAGAAAAGCATGGGTATACAATCTTAAAACATTTGCATATATGCATGTATGATGTATACGTAAATACCTTGGTGCCTATTATTTTGCACCACAGTCAGTGTGTAAATCTAAGGAGTAACGTTACTTGATAACTATTAAGCCAATCGGACTAACTTACAGGGAAGATCAAATCATCACGGATTCACAGCAACCAATTTATATGATTTTATGAGTCTGAAGACTAAGAGTAATTCCTTTCCTAGTCTCAGTCCAGACAACAATATGGTGAAGTACGGTTTACCTTTAATAGCGAGTACTCAGCTATGAGTCCAAACGGACCTGTCAAGTGGTCATCCCATACAATGGCCTAGCAAAATAAAAGAGACAAATTTACTTTAAATAATTTCCACTGAGGAAAACGGTGATCGTGTAGTGTAGGGCCCCTGTTTTGTTTCGATCAAATTAGAATCAAGAATTTTTTTTATTAAAAAATGACGCTGTCGACCTAAAGCAGACTTCTCTCAATATAATGACACCTTTTTTGATACGGTAATTGTTTTCAACAGTCTGTTGAGTGTTGGGGTAGAAATTACAATTTTCCTACTTCCAGATTTGGAAGTCTGATTTTCCTAAGCAGTTTACGGGCTGGTTGGTGCCGTGCAGCGCGGCGAGACTTGCATGCTCGCGGTACATCAGGCAAATCACCATCTTATTCTTTATGTTGCGTAATTTTGTCGTTGTCATCGTCATATTTTACCCAAAAATTTCCCTCAACAATTCAAAACCCCACCTTTTATCTGTGACATGTCACCAACTATCATAAATCATAGAGCAAGGAGTGGATTTTGTTCCCTTATAATAGCATAGAGCAATAGGAACCGGGCCCGTAGGCTATAGCCTATATTGACGATCGCCAAGAAAATTAGCGTTCAAACCACGCCCCCTTTTTTGCGACCAACTCGAACTAGGGGCGCTAATCGCAAACGACAAGCGCACATTTTCTTCCAAATAAGCCTGATTTTCAATTATACGAATCCTTACTTTACTCCCGACACACTTATCCAGACATTCTAGTAACTCCCTCCTCGCCACCTCCCTCCAAACGGCCAAATTTATGCGACCACCGCTTAAGTGGGTAGCCATTTCTCGTGATATTTTGCATTCGTCTGTCACCTCAACAATCGCCGGTCTGATCCATAGCTTTTTCCTATCGGGTGTCTGGAAACCATAACCAACATCGTTCTGAGAATCAGTAGCCAACTGAGGGCGCTATTTTCTTTAATGCTGCTGCTGATCGTCGACACCATGGGTAGCTGTGTTTATAGTCAGACAGTAATAAAATGGAAAAGTTAAAAAACACTTTAATGACTAAGGTGAAACTTTGCATGCATGAGCTTTCGTAGCAACAACTACATGTACTTCATCAGATGAAGGAGCTACAAAAGCTCGTGCAAAGTTTAACCTTAGTTAGTCATAAAAGTGCTACATTACTTTCCACAAGTCATATACACTCGTATTTAATTAAAAATAGAATTTACCGCGTCTGGTTGTGGTACAATTTCTGTACATTTTTTTATACAGGCCTAATAATGACATTATATAATAATGAAATACATAATAATGACATTGGAAATGGGAAATAACATTTTGTTCTTGGAGACTTAACAATAGTCGTTTGTCGGTTAGCGACGATCCCGTGCCAGCGGGAGCGGGGCTGTAGTATAAACTCCTCCCTCGATCAACATTTTTAACATAGGGGGGGGGGGGGGGGGCGCCAGCACCTCACAAAATGTACTGGTAGTGAGTGCGATATATCCCCCCCCCCCCGCTTTTGACCATTTTTGTGAGGAAAAAAACCTTTTAGAAGACACCCCGCATCCCAAACCCAGGATATACGCACGGAACAATTACCGTACTTTTTGGCTTTGGGCTCGTCCATAATTTTCTTTTACTCTGAGACTTATTTGCTTTTTCTCAGATAAAACCGACGTCATCACATGTCATGTAACGTCACACTAAAAATTGAAGGCCTATATCAGTAGAACCGATTTGTTTGTAACTTGGTATGTACCTGAACCGGGACGTGTTAATACACGATAAATATTGAAGTGACGTCATGATAACGTCGTTTTGTGTCATGTGACGTTTTATTAGCTACATCTATATAACTTTTGGTAGATAACTTTTGGTTATAATTTGGTACCCGGGTATGTACTTAAACTGGTATGTGTTATAGATGAAAATCGACGTGACGTCATGATTACGTAAGCATAATAATGTTGGAAAATCTGTACAACTTATCTGTTTTGTAAATTTTCAACTCTCGTCAGTTGCTCAGGCTCCGTTTCGAACTCACGAAGGGTAGAAAGAGCAAATCATTCGACGCTCAAAATTTGTCCACTGGGTCCGCAATGAAAAAGAAATGACATCCGGTATGAATTAACTTGAAGAAAAAAAAAGGCACGAGAGGGGTTCGAACCCTCGATCTTCTGTTTACGAGACAGACGCCTTACCACTTGGCCACCGCGCCTCACGGTAACAGTAGGACCCATACCCACTCAAACTTGTTTTCAAATGAAATTTTCAGCGCAAAGTCTATACAGCCATTTCTTTGCCGACCCATGGTATACTTTTACCAACCACGGAAGTCAACTTCGCAAAAATAGCGAACAGTTATAAAAATTATTAAAAAAACAAAATAACCAACAAACGTCATCAAAGACTTAATTTTTAAAAATGCTCTTTTGGAGCAAAGTTTGTTGCCAACCACGGTTGTCGAAATCACCTTGTGACAGCCATACAAAATGGCGCTCAAAGTTTATACGAGAGAAAGGTCTATACATCTTTCATGGCGCGTGTGGTTCGTCTCACGGTGTGCATCCTTGATCAGTTTCTCTGTAGCGTTCTCGTCAGCCGGAATAGCTCAGTTGGGAGAGCGTCAGACTGAAGATCTGAAGGTCCCTGGTTCAATCCCGGGTTCCGGCAGTTAAATTGTTTTTTTTTTTTTAATATTAATTCCAATTGATATGTTTGTGCTTATCAATACTCTGAAATACAAAACAAAATTGACACTGGGAGCGGGGAAAATGTTTTTTTTTTTCTTGGAGACATTTTACAATAGTTGTTTGTCGGTTAACGACGATAATAGTGGCGTATCCGGCGGGGGCGGGGCAATTAATCCCCTCACCCTCCCTCGATCGAAATTTCAAATTGCCCTTCTAAATAAGAAACGAAGCGCCATCACCTCACAAAATGTACTGGTAGTACGTTGTAGTACGGCCCCCTCCCCACCCCCGCGTTTGACAATTTTTACGAAAAAAAACACGTGGAATTATACGTTTTTAGAAGACTCCCCCCCCCCCTTAACGCAAAATCTAGAATCCCACTGATCACGGTTTTTTTCTCGCAAATTCCTATAAATGAAAGTCGAAGTACGTGTCCATACAAAAATTTCTGACTTGGTTCTATTTCTCCACACAACTTTTTTTTTAATGAGGCGCACCAGTGCATGCCCCAATTGGTTGTGGACTTGTGGTTCTGCTATTTATAGTAAAAGCCATCCTGTAATCGGTTAGTATCCGAACTCAGACCCATGACCTCGCACCATTATGTGTTACAACACGGACCCCGCCGTCACTGTACCTGGGTCAAAGAATACTTCCATGAGTCCATGACTGCACATTTACTGCATTGCATTGCATTTCTCCACCACATGGGCTTTTAATACTACTTTCACCGTGAGAACAAGTACATAATTTCAGGTTGCAGTTTCCAGCAGCATGATCCGTTCGTTTATTCCCATCACCGCGGCTTCAGCTCTCGGGTTCAAGTGTGTCAACTTGCTGTTTAACTATGACTTTCTTCTGGCCCCGCCGCCTGGGAAATATGCAGGCAAGGAGCGGCACCGATGGCGCAACGCGGCCACCTCGCTGGTCAACGCGGTCATTGTGTCCGGAATTGTTATTTACTGGTAAGGTCATAACTTCATGCCACTCAGTGTGGAATTACATTTGGAGTAGGCCTACTCTCCCTTATTCGATTCCACACGGATATATATTGAGGGTTGAATCAAGGTGTCATGTAGCAATGATTGGAAACCCTTGTCAGTGAGAACTGGAGCAAAATCACAGTGTAGCTAGCTCTAAAATGTTCTGATCACAGAAAAATAACTTACTACCCAGTACCCTGTCAAAATGTCATGATGTGTACTACTCGATGTACCGGTACTAGGCTGCTGATGTGTGATTGTTTGTTTATGCACGGTTTATATGGTGTAGGACATGAACTACATCGTTGTGTATAAGGCAAAGTAAAAAAAAAAAAAAAAAGTTTCTCGTCCCCGCCCGCTTCCTTTTTGGAGGCCGCCTGGATTTTTTAATTATTTTTTGTTGTTGAAAATGCAGTAAAAACACTGAAAAAGTCCACAAATTCATCGGAAATTAAATACTTGCGAAATATGTGAGTCGAAGTTTTCAGTATAGACTCTGTCGGTCACTTTGTACACCACATAATATCGACGTGTGATCGCTACCCCTGCGACAGTTCATGGCGAGTTCACAACAACTCACCCACTTTGTTCCCAGACCAAAAGATTCTGACTATTCATGATGAATCTACGCGCCCATGGAGTCGAGTCTGAGACGTGAGCGTCAGGAATAATTGTCAGGTCTAGGGAACCAGACTACGTACATGTATGTCTATTGATCGTTTTAGAATACAGTCGTTTGAAATTCAACCGGAATCTGTCTGCCGTACTGTATGCGATAAATGCTGACTTCAAAGCCAGAATGCAACCGGTATGAGACTAGCTCACGCTGGAGTATGTGTTTAAAGAATTCGCTCGCGACTTTCGGCGGTTAAAGCAAATGCATCTAAAACTGTTCTTGGTAGACCAATACAACTCTAAAGGACACTGTAAATATGTTCAGTTTTCTTGTCCAACTTGTCTTTCATTTTAAAAGTGTCTTTGAACAATGGAAACACCAACGGTTGCAGGAAATTTTAAAATAGTGGCCATCTTGAAAAAAAAAAAAAAAAAAAGCCCCTCTTCCTCCTATTTTTCAAAAACCCGGACGAGAAACTTTTTTTTTTTTTACTCGGCCTAATTGAGGAAAGGAGTCAAAAATCGAGGACATGCTCCTTACATCAAAACGGTGCATTCAAAGTGTTTCTGCTCTCCGTTTTGTTTATAAGTAGGCCTACACGTAGTGAATACATTCGACTGCTGGAATGTAAAACGAAAACCGGTATTTTGGGTCTTTATCGCCACAAAAATGGGGGGGGGGGTTGATCAAATGACCCATCCCCCGGTCGAAAAGTGGGGGATATAATCCCCCCCCCCCCCGGATTTGCGCCCTTGCTCGTGACTCATGGGCTCTTTACGTATATTTTCCCCTGTTAACTGAGATACCCCTTGGCACTTGCAAAATGCCTTGAAGTACATTGTATTAGCCTGCAGCAGGAGAGGCTTATAGAAATGACCTTTAGTTACCGGGTCTTGGTCGAAAATGAACCTGTATATAGGCCTACGTGTACATCTTATAACATAGGCAAATTCAGAGGCTATGAGTTTCTCATTCGCTCATACACATCGCCTATTATATCCAAGGGATGCTGGTTTGGGCATTATATAGCTAATGGTCTGGTATCCCATTTGTTATGAACAGTTTCTATTTTTGTTGGAACTGAAGGGCTAGCCTGCTTTTATCTGACTGGCTGCGTCACTGACCGGTTGGCTGAGTCCTTATAATGCCATTATGTGCCTGAAACTAAAGGGTCATATTAACCACCTTATACTTTAAGACCTAAAGGCATAAACCAGAAGCTCAACTTAAGGCAAACATAGTCTTGTTCTATTGTTAACCTCGGATCCAAATGTGTAGATCGGGGAGGGACAAAATTAAGGATTTTTAGCGGGCAAAACGCACCTTCTCTCCCCTCCCCGCTTCCGCCGCCTTTGATGAGCAGAACAGCTTTAGCTTCAAATGTAGTCACTATACAGTACACTGTAAAACACCTAGTTAGATTTGACTAAAAAACAGTCGCACTTGCACCCAGCTGACTACAACTAGGGTCAGGTGAGTGCTAGTTTGACTCTTTCTAGGCAAATTTAACTAGAGTGTTTTCAGAATGTAGGGGAATCGAAAACACCGAGTTGATTTTGTGAAAGGTGGAATCAGGACAGCCGTATTCTCATAGATAGATACACTCAACCAAAAAAGAAAGTCTCCCCCTTCCAATATGTTTTTGTCTAACTCAAAAACTACTGAGCACCTCTCGCTCAAATAACGACTAATCAGTACAGAAATTCCTTAGCAATCCAGCCATATTCTTTATTTGGCCCAAAAGAGTGATAATGTGTATGAATTTATGCAATTTATGACAAATGACACCGAAAACAGTTGCACTTTTGTATACGTGCAAGTTGTGGTTCACACTCACCTTGCATGTATACAAAAGTGCAACTTTTTTTGAAGACCGTTTGTTATAAATTGCATAATTTTGTATACACATTGTCACTGTTTTGGGCCAAACAAAGTGTAAGGCTGTATTGCTAAGGAATTTCTGTACCTGATCAGTCATAATTTGAGCAAGATGTGCCCAGTGGTTTTTGAGTTAGACAAAAAAGTATTAAGGGGGGACTTTCTTTTTTGGTTGAGTGTATAACGCGGTGTAACCTGCAATGACAAATGAATGACTTTTAGATCAAGCCAGTCAAATTAAGGGCCAGGTTAAGTTTGTCCAGGCTGTGGTCATTTTATTTTTCTGTATAACCTTAAACCTTGTCTATTCTGCAGTTTGTATAGCCAGCCAGGACTATGGAGCGATCCGGTGAGGCACTACGCCGTGTCAGTCGAAGTTTGCTTCGCAGTAATATCGGGTAGGATTTTTTCCCATACATTAAAAAAAAACCTGCTGTTTGGGCGTGTTAGTTTGGTTTAACATTGCGTTTTAATGTGGTGTAATGCAGTTGTGAGTATTTTCAAAACTCTTGTTGTGAAGCTGAGCAGATGAGTAAGCAGAAAGTTTATTTTTGTTATTTCAGTAATACCTTCCGTAGTTGTGAAACTTTAAAATGCGGGGAGGGGCGTGGAAAGTACCCCCTCATTTAAACCATGAAAATGTGGAACTATAGTCCCGATGATGATATTCAGGGAAACCATATTTTCTTACATATCTGTTTCCTTTTGTGTTCTTTTTTTTCTCAGGGTACTTAATCTATGACACGTACGATCTGCTGACTCACAACCGCTTCGCCAAAGTCTGGGCGCTTTTTGCACACCACAGCATCGTAAGATTTCCAGCTCCGAATACATTGTGTTCATTGGGGCGTTCAAGGGTCACCTTTCCTGACCTTAGTTTCTTTGCAGGGGCGGCGGAACCGGGGGGTGGGGGGGGGGGGGGGGCAGGAGGGGGCACACTTTTCCCCTCCCCCAGATTTTCCCGTGCCAGCAAAAGTGCCCCTGTCGCGGTTATAAATGCGCCCCCTCTACAAAACGCCCCTTAAACGCACACGTATGAAAGCATATATCGCGCTACAACTTATAAATTAGGTCTTGTATATGGCCACAAGTTTTGGTTGAATTTATCAGAAATTCCAACCCAAACAATTGGTTATAGAACAACCCAATTTTGGGTAGTTGCAGTTTTCACCCTTTCTTGGGTAAAATTAACCCAGGCAATTTTCAGTGTAGGCGCTACTGTATACTTATGGGTGCATTGTTCATGATGAATATTAGAAGGACGTTCTCAATTGGGCTCAGTTTTCTGTGTTTCCTGTACCTTTTTCTAAGATGACGTCCACATTCTTTATGATGAGTATCGAACGCCTGGCAATGGGCATCTTGACGATGGGCCTACTGAGCGAAGTGAACGCCATCTTTCTTCACTCCCGCCAACTCCTGCTGATGCATGGAGTCTCCAAACACTCCGTTTTCTTTGGCGTTCACAGACTTTTCAACCTCGTTACCTACATTCTGCTGCGCCTGACGCCGTTGGTGTACGCCACTTATTACTCCTACACTTACCATGGCATGCCGTATTACCTGGATACCCTGGTGCCCTGCATGGCGACGGCCATTACTGTCATCAACTTCGTCCTGCTGTGGAAGTTGATTTGCAGTGACCTTTTGTCGAAGAATGGCAAGGACAAGCACGTCATGGACAACTAGGCCATTTGGCAAAACTTGCTTCTTCTCCCGGCTTTGCCTGCAGGTGCCCTATTTACGGTCACTGTAATATAGTCATGTCAAATGTTCCTTTTTAAAATAGGTTTATTTTATTACTATAGAAACAATAGAAATTATCACATCCTATTATAAAGCAGACGTTTGGAATGTTTCCATTGGACTGCTTCCTGGTCCCTCCATGTCCTTCGGACTTCGAATGTAGGGACTGGTAGTGGGAAATAGATTAGGAATAGGAGGATTGCTTCCCAATGTATACAAATTATATGCAGGACTAGGAAGATATGCCCATAATGCAACTGGGTCTAATTCCTGGCCCCTGAATACAAAATCACAACCATAATGTAAGCGTGGAACCAGCCTATTTCAAAATGGCAACAAGGCTACCACTAATGAGCAGTTAGTGGGGTGAAGGGTTTCGATTTTCGCCGAATTCGAAAGTGTCTCTGGCAAGTGGCAACTGTCAATTAAAGAAAGGGGCACTACCTTTCAATACTATTTTGAAACCAATCGTGCCTATGCAGTTGAAATGCATGGAAATTGCTTACGTGGAGACACTGGCAGTTTTGGCTACTCGTAATGGTATAGAGTGAGTTTTTTTTTATAGCCATGTGTTCAAATGTCCTCCACTCACAAGCTGCCAACATTGTTTAAAAAAAAATACACAATACTGTTGCGCACGCGCAGAGGTGATCCAATCAATGGCTTTCACTGGGAACCAGCTACCGATCCCCATATTACAGGAGCGGGAACCAGTCTATCTTTTCATTTGGTTTGAACTGAAACAAAATACCAACGAGAGGTTGTGAAGTCGGAGAGGAAGTCGTAGCCGAATACGATATCAAAAGAATGGTACTAGGGCCAAGTTCGCGCAAGGACTATAGTTGACCAATGGTTAACTAACGTTTGCCTGAACTCTGTCTAGTCGACGGTGGTTGACTACGTAACGTTAGTCGACTAGGCAGCCTACTGGGGTTGGTTGCTTCGCTGGTAACCAATAGCCGCACGCATTCATAACGCTAGCAGAGAGCCAGGATCCAGAAGTTTTGCGATGACATTTTGACCAGCGTTTGACAAGAGACGTTCGCACGTTGCTATCAGTGCGCAGGCGTAAGGTATGTCACAAATCAACCACTAGTCGACTAATGGTCCTTGCCCGAACTTGGCCATCTTTGACGTATCCAGTGGGGGCGGGGCACTTTGCTCCCCCCCCCCCGTCTGCCCTCCTGTTCTGTTGGAATTTTTCTTGGTGCACTAACTTTGGCTTCTTGAGGCCTAGTAATAAAACAGTGTTGTTTGCAATACATTTGGCAAGTTACGATGTGCTATTCCGTAAAATTTATTGTGTATAATTACGATATAAAACTTGTTGCAATTCACTCTTACCTTCATCACGTATTCCTGATCAATAAAATAGATCCGCGCAAAGATTTGCCATTGACTATTGCTCCGAATGGACTCGTAATAATATAGAAATGGCGACCCGAGCAAGTCCGTGTTAAATTGTTTCTTATTTTGCGTCATTTTTGTTGTCGTCGGCAAAATCATGTAGCTTTCGGCAAAAGTGACTGAATAGCGTCACCTATTATTATGATCGGTGTCCAATACTTGTACCGTTAACCCTAAAAGGGCCGGGTTATTTTGACCATCTCTCAGCCGGGGGGGGGGGGGGCTGATTCCGCCCCCCCCCCCCAAGATCTCGGCCATTGAGTGACGAAAAATTTGAAACTCGGTACATGCATGGAGCAACTCTTCATGAACATACCCAAGAAATTTCAAGACTATAGGTCAAAGGGTTTTGGAATTATGGCTAATTAATTATTCTGTGTACACGACGTATAATTATGGGGAAATTCAGTTTTCACGGCGCCTAGCGTCGGAAAAAAAAATCGCTGCGCGACAACCCCTGGTCTGATTTTTATATTTTTGGTGTCAAAAGATGTGCAAGGCTCGAGGCTAAAAAGTCATAACAGCTCGGGTCGCGAAAAATTTTTTTAAAGGCTATCACGGAAAAAGTCGAGGGGGGAGGCGGATTCCGCCCCCAGCCCCTTTAGGGTTAAACAGCGCCCCTCTGGTATCACCCCAATTCGGAATCTCCAGCAATTGTTGGAACCTGAGATAAAAGTACTGCTTTCTTAAGTACTTCAGGGACGTAATTCCCGGGGTTGGGGAAGTTTTGGGGGGCTCACAATTTTATTTTTTTGCTTTCAAATTCTTGAGAAGTTAAAAAAAAATCAAATATTTTCTTGGAAATGTTTGGCTGCAAAACAAAATTTGATTTTTTTTGGGGGGGGGGGGGGGGGGCCCGACTATTTTGACGTTGGTGGCGCCACTTACACCCCTATTATACCACTCAAAAAAGTCCATATGTATGATTTCACCAAGGTCAAATCGTGGGACTTAAAAAGAATTTACAAAAAAGTGACAACTTCTTCAGGGGGCTCAAGCCCTCCGAGCCCCCCCCCCCCCTCCCCCCATGCACCACTGGGTGGGCTATTGAATCCTCCCCCGCCAACTTTTACATGATGAGAAACAACAAAATGCATATTTGGAGGTATTTATTTCTAACCGCCAATGTAATCAATAGCACTGAAAAAAATGGAGAGAAAAAAAATTGCACAAAAGCTTAATAAAATGCGGCAGTGCAGTTTGATACATAACCGCGAGTATACATAACGATGCGTACATGTATCTGTATAATGAATAGCGCCCTACTTTATTGTAAGGAGGTATCCAGCCCGGCCTTAGTCCCCCCCCCCCCCCCCCCCTTCAAATTTCCAATGCGGCCGGGCAACTTGTTGATCTTAGTCATCATCCCCAATCCCAATGGGCGTCGCAAGGGGGGGGGGGGGGGGGCAAAGGCCCCCAGACCTCCGCCCCCGGAAAAGCAAAAGCAAAATTCCCCAGTCCTTGGGCCACCGGCATTGGAGCGCCTGCCTGAAACCCTCCGATTGAAGCGCTCTCACCAAAAACGTCACACATCACCGGTCATGCATGTCAAAAGGCATAAATTACACAATATCGGGCTCTATAGTAATACATATTCCAATATTCGCTGTGGTGGCAGAGCATGGTCCTGAACATCGAGGGAACACACTCACCACATTACCTGAGAGGAGTTTAACTGCCTACCTGCAAACTGTCCCGAATTCCGTGATTCCTAAGGTCGAGCCATGTCCAGTTTTTTCATGCCCTTGACTATAGTCTCCGCCGCCGGCTACCAGTGTTTCAACTCGGCGCTGGATCTTGGCTATGTGCCGCTACCGCCGGGGAAATACGCCAGCACTGACCGGCATAGATGGAGGAACGCCGCTACCTCGTGCTTCAGTGCGGTCATTTTGTCAGTCTTCGCAGTCTACAGGTATCGTCCAAAGTTTTGGTTTGATCCATTTGATTTATTATTAAGTGGATGCAAGGGGGAGGACAATTATAGCAAGGGTCTTTATATTTAAGACAACTGTGAATGGGGCGTACGTGTTCAGCAATTAAACATGCAGTGTCAGTTTAGCCCAAATTGGGTTGCAATCGGATTATAAGGGGGTCTACCCGATGTTCCCCAATACCAATGTTCCCCGAAATCTTAGGGTTAGGGTTAGGGTAGGGTTAGGGTTAGGGTTATAGGGTAAGGATTTCGGGGAACATAGGTATTGGCATTCCTCCATGGCACCAAGTCAATCCTCATCGTATGTAGCTTCAAGTGATTTCGAAATCCTCGTGCTGGTCCCGAGAGGGCGGGCCAGCAGAGAGTCAACTTTTAACCTCACTGACTGAATCACTGACCCACTATCACTTGTGATTCGGGCAGTGTTATCGTATAGGATTATCCCCGTAGCGTCAATGAATGGGATGAATCCGGCCCATATCTACACAGGCACGAAAAGGCATCCAGTGATTCTAAATTAATTGGATAGAATTGTATGGGCTCTGCATGAGACCAGCTTTACTATAGTCTAGATTTGCCTAGTTTGGAGGCGGCCGAGAGAGACCAATTCCGCAGTGACACAGGCTGGAATAAATATTGTTGCCGTACTTTAAATAACACGCATATAGCGTCAAAATGGCTGCCATCATGCCAGTTAGTGGAACACTGATAAAGAATTTACTATACAAAGGCTCAACCAACGCAAACTGTATTCAACCCAATGTTGGAATGAAAGAGACCTTATACAAAGCTCTGATTGCTCTCGAATGCCATTACTTCTTTAGAATTTTGAATAGATGAAATTTAATCTGCTAAATTTACGAGAAACGAACACAAGTCAGATGTAGAAACTAGTGACCCGCTCTTTTCCTGTATCGTGTAATAAAAAAAAATCCTGTGCATACAAAAATATGTCTGCATACTGAAGGCAGTAAATTGTGAGAGATTACTGTGCCCGGCCTTGCTGCCATTGTATGCCACAGATGGTATTGAAGTTTGCATAATGCCATATGCCCTCGATCAGTTTACGAGCTAGACAGTTTTGGGCATACCGGCATCCGGCTAGTATGGTATGGAAGAGACGTAGTTTAATTGTTGGGTACGGGGAGAGTTCCGTTGGACAACGGGTGATTCTATAAGGTTACACACGGCCCAGTGAGTAGGCCAAAAATCCGTCCGCCGAGCTCATGAACAAAAGTTATTCTCAAATTATTCTTTATTACAGAGTTCTGAGAGCCATGGAATTGTTGAATTGAAGACATGGCACTGCAGCTCTGGCCTGCATGGACTCGGGGCTTCCACTTGTGAGCATTTGGGATGCAGTTGGGTCCGAAAGTGGCGCTATTTTAGCCATGTTGTAGAGGGATCTTCAAAATGGCTACTTTTCCAGTTTGGGAAACATCATTTGTTTTAGGGGTGGTCTTCTTTAATAGAGAATTTCCTCGAGTGTCAACCCGCACAAATTGAAAAGAAAACGAAAGATGACACGTTGATCATCATTTTTTTCTGTGCAGCCTGCACACCTGTGAGACTTCAGAGTGGGGATTTATCACTGGGGCATCTATGCGGGATTTTTATACTGGGGTGCACCCTCAGACTGACCTCCGAAATCCTTTTTCAAAAACTGCCATCTCGATACCATTATTCATTCAGTTTGGTCAGCCATCCGGAATTGTTGCTACAGCCTCATGTATACTACACGGAGATTGCTGAAATCAGTGTGGCTATTGGGACCGGTAAGATAGATTTTGGTCCACAAAAGCCAAATTAAAAACAATTTTGGTCTATTCATTTTGTTCCCATGATTATTAGACACTTTTTTTAGCCTACCGCGTTTGCTAGTGTGTCATATACTACAGGGTGAGTCAAAAAGAGCGAAACCCAAATGCTGTTGTTTTAGTGAAGTTCTACATGACCACTTTCAAAATCTAGGATATGAAAGCCCAATCCATAAGCTTTCTTTTAGTATACAAGAATCATTCAAATCACTCATGTGCTTTTCAAGTTATGGAATTTTAAACACAACCACCGTTTTAAAGTTCTGTCTACGGATCACAAGAAGGTAAGAGTTCTTTCAGCAAAACAAAACCAAATCACATAGGGATGTGTGTGAATTGTTTTCGTTGTGCTGAAAGAACGCACACCTTTTTTGTGATCTGTGGACAGAACTTTAAATGATTTGAGTGAATCTTGTACTAAAAGAAAGCTTATGAATTGGGCTTTCATATCCTAGATTTTGAAAATGCTACATGTAGAACTCCACTAAAATAATGGTCCCGACATTTGGGTGTCGGTTTTTTTACTCACCCTGTATACACACCATTGTTTTGTCACTTTCCCTCATTTATTATTTTGTCAAAAATCGTGTTTGAAACTCAACGAAAATAAAGGCAAATTAATTTGGTCCTTTCGAACACCTTTGTACTGAAACTAACGTCGCCAGAAAAGTGACTGTTTTTTTTTTAATTTATCTTTCCGTTTGTATCTGCCGTCAGGCTATTTCTTATACGACACATGGGATATTCTGAGAAACACGGGTATTTTCAAGAAATGGACGGTCCTCCTGCATCACGTCATTGTAAGTATACCACACCAGGGGTGACTGTCGAATAATGCTAGGGGCTTAAATCGTGGATTTGTGACATCTTTCAAATTCAGACACTTCTGGGCAACGTCGTTAAAAAAGACGGTGCCTGATTTTGGCAGAACACGTCAATATTTTAATATGATTTGGTTTATATATAAATATGAACATTTTCTGAAAACGCCGAATAGTTCAGATAGGAAGTAAAGAGATCCCGTTTTGAACATAAAAAATTACAGTTGGATCATGTTTCGAGTTGATATCATGCCACCAATACATTGTAGTTTGTTTGCGAAGTTAACAACAATGTCCTTATTTAATTCGCTCTGCACGGACATTCTCGTGAAGTACCGTATGTAACAGTGTAAAAACCAGGGCCCAATTTCATAGCGCTGCTTAACAGCCGACTTTGTGCTTACCGAGCCTCCATCTCTTTCATAGGGACTGTTAAGCAGTAAGCACAGCAAAAGCACGCTTAAACCCAGAAGAAAACTTTGCTTAAATCAGTGACGTAACAATAGAAATCTCCATGCGCGCGTAACCGTTAGCATGAAATAGTGCTTAAGCAGCAGCGTGATTTTCTGCTATCGTTAGCACAACTTTTCTGCTTATTGTTAAGCCTTACTGTTAAGCAGTGCTATGAAATTGGGCCTATATGCTTGGGTCACCTGCGTTCATAGCTGAATGAACGCCAATTATATGGGTGCTTTCGAGTACCTCACCCGGATCGACTCACGGTAAAGGCAGACGGGTTAGCCACGACAGCCGGGCTAATCGAACGCTCAACCACTGACCATCATGATCCGTGATCACGTGATGTTCGTAGCCGCGGCCGTAGCCACTGACAATACGCCCTTTTCGGATTGGGTCTTAGTTTGAGATTTGCTGCTTTTCAGTCAATTGCAAAACTCAAAAAGTTGCGCTGGAATTATAGCCTCTACAGTTGCAATGAACTCAATAAATATAGACTTTTGAATTGAGCGCGCCTGCAAATAAATTCCCATAGACACTAGTGCTAAATGTCCATACTTCAAAATTCATTTTAAAATACTCAGAACTCTCACAGGTATTCAAGCTGCACAGAAAAATGATGATCAACATGTCATCTTTCATTTTCTTTTCAATTTTGGGTGGGTTGACCATTGACTTTTTGAGATATTCTCACCCAAATAAGAACACCCCTAAAACGAATGATGTTTCCCAAACTGGAAAAGTAGCCATTTTGAAAAAGAATCCCTCCACAACATGGCTAAATAGCGCCACTTTCGGGCCAGATTGCATCCAAAATGCTCAGAATTGGAAGCTCCAAGTCCAGGCCAGAGGTTCAGTGCCACATGTCTTCAATTCCCCAATTCCATGGTTCTCAGAACTCTCTAATATAGAATATTTTGAGGGTATAACTTTTATTCATGAGCTCGGCGGACAGATTTTTGGCCTATTTACAGGCGTGCACCCGTATGCGTGTGACGCATTTCCACCACTGACTCTGCCTAATGAGCAGGCTCTGTGTGGTGTCTAACCCGGGTGAGTTTAGAATGACGTCAGAGCTAATCGAACGGCACGGGGCTAATCCGAATCGATCCGGTGAGCTACTCGAACGCACCCTATAACTGCCTGCCGAAATTTTTCATATTTTTTGCAGGAATTTAACTTTTTGTCCCTTGTCGGCAAGTTAAATTAGCGTGAGAATATATAAAACTTTATCTGCGAGTGGTGTTTAAAATGATTTTCAGGTGGCTCTTTCATACTACGTGATGTCAACGTGGAAGGCGGAAATGGGTATAGCCATCATCTCACTGCTGCCCGAAATCAGCGCCATTTTTCTGCATTCGCGTCAGGTCCTGCTGATATATGGATTCTCCAAAGACTCCGCCTTCTACCGCGTGCACAGAGTCTTCAACCTCCTGACTGGTATCTCGTGCCGACTGGTGCCCATAGTGTGCGCGTGTTACCTGACGGCGACCGGCAACCACCCTGAGTTACATTCGTTTTTCGTTTTGCTGCTTCCGTTAATGCCGCCCGTTATACTGGCCATTAACTGCACTATGCTATGGCGATTACTTCACAGTGATTTCCTGAGTACTAAGACCCACAAAGTTGACTTTATTATGGAAAACTGATGACACCTGGAAAGTGTTGTGCGCAATTGTATGTCATGCATACACTCTAAAAACAAATTGGTTTAAAAATAACCAAATTTATTTGGTCACGTTACTTTTGGTTATTATATTTGAAAAAAAAAATGAAAATTGCTTGTCATGTTCTACCAATAGTTCTTCAAATGACAAATTTGCGATGGTCCTATAGCCAAATATCTTTCTCATGACATACTCTGACTGTGTGCCAAATGCCATGCGTGTATCACCAAAGACACAATTTCAAAATATTTCCCCTATCTGCCCCACTATAGGCTAATTTGTTATAACCACGGAATGAAATATGCAGTTATTTAAAGTGACTCACGAATTGAAGTGCCGTTTTCTCCAGAGTTGTAATGAGTCACTGTTGTTTGTGACTCGATTCCAGTCGAATCATTTAAAAAGAAAAGTAACTCGAGTCGGTCCGAGTCACTTTAAAGAAGTGACTCGAGACGAGTCGAGTTATTAGGTCAAGAAGGTCGAGTCGAGTCAAATAATTAGCTCGAGTCAATTCGAGTCACAAATATTTGAACACCAAGGGCGGATCCAGAACACAATTTGTTTTTTTTGGGGGGGGGCCAAACAAAAAATTTGGTCCCCCCAAAAAGTGGGTCAAAAAAATTACGGCGTGGGCTCGGGGCCCGCTTAAGGGCCCCTAAATTTTTTTGGATTCTAGATGCTCTGTGGTGCGATCTGAGGCAATTTCTGACCACTTTAACCAATGTTTTTTTAGGAAAAGATGGTGGTGTACTCATTGCCTGCCTTTATTGCGATGTCACATAAATAAAAAAAAATTGGTTTCGTTTGGGGGGGGGGGGGCATGGCCCCCTTTGGGCCCCCCCCCCCCCCCGGATCCGCCCTTGTTGAACACTAGTAACAAGTAAAGATAAAAGAGAAAGTCGTTTGTATCACTGTAACAGTTGACAAGAATTGAAACTTCAGTCTTATAGAATATGGTTTGGCTTCTGGTCTAGATTTTTTTTTCGCTGATCGCTGACATCATCCAAACCAATAATTGCATCATACAAAACTGTTTCTGATTGTTTAAAAGTGGTCACGTTTCTATTTAATTTTTAGAAGAGGGCATAAATGTAGCCGGCGTTCGATTTATGAGCTTTATAAGAAATCGCCCAAAGCCAACGATGAAACAACGAATTCTTGGATTATTTTTGTGCGTTCCAGAACCATGAGGTGGGAGTCTATGACACGTTGTATAATGTACGTGTCATATTAGTGTGAGAAGGTGTGTTTAATGTTTATAGGTTTTAGCTTTAGAATGTTTTAGTGTTTTGAGAAGTCGTGCCTAATTTCCATTTTTGTCCCCCTGGCTGTAAGACGGAGGGGGATATGCAGGGGCGTAGCACGGGCATTTTTATGGGGGGGGGATTTTTTTTGGGGAATGGCCACTTGCACATCCGTTGTGAAATGTAGACAGGTTTTTTTCTCCGGACACTTGGCCTCCGTAAAATAAAAAGGGGGGGGGGGGGTCTGGTACCATTGGCCGAAGGGGGCGCTGTTCAAAACCGACAATTATGCACACAAAGGGCCAATATACATGCATGGTGCTTTTCAGGGCGATACATGTGCGAAATTCTGAAAAAGGCCCCCAAAACGGCAGATGCCACAAAAAAGGGCACCACTTCTTTTTTGAAAAGGGCACTTGTTCAGAAAAAAAGGGCACTTCGTAAGAAGGGGCACTCTTTACAATTAATTGGTGGGGGGGGGATAAGCCCGTTGAAAAAAGGGCATTTGAATGGAAAAAGGCAGTCTTTACAAAATATTGAGGGGGGGGGGGTAAATACCATTCCTTCCCCCACCCCGCTGGCTACGCCTATGAAATGGCGATAGCGTGTTTCTTCTGTGTGTCTGTTTGACCATGTCATGATGGGCGGGTTGGTTATCCCTCAGACTGATGGGACAATGGGGTGTGCGATTTCAATGGGCCCGAGGACCAGGTCCTCTGGAGAATTTCATGTACAAACAAACGGGAAACAAAGAAGGAAACTGAGGATCAGGTCCTCATGACTATAGTAAACATGGGTATATGTCACATGCCGCGACGGATGTCACAACGGGTTTTATTTTTTTTTTTCCAGCTTGGAATATGCTTTATGAAATTCTGAATAAACGAGCACATTTTTAAACAGTATTTAATTACTATTATTTTTCGGTGTGTGTGGGGGGGGGGGGGTGGGAGCTAGACAGACGATATATCAGAATGGCGCAATAAGACCGACAGCGGGCGCCATGATTTTGATCAGTGTTTCAAAATTTCTACGCGAGTCATTTGTATAAACAGTGACCCCACAAATTTTTGTTAAAAACGAGACCGTCTAGTTTAAAAATCGGTTGAATCGTGCGAATATAGCAGAGGATCATCTGCCTAGCTTTTGGGATATTATCTAAGGGCAGATTTGATACATTTATGGTCCTATTTGCACGAGAAAACGTAGGGGTGCCATTGGCAAATTTGGTAGTATGCAGGCTGAGCATTACCGGCACACTCTCGCAAAAAGTGGTCCGGCAGCTTTCTATACAAAACCTCATTGGCCGGGGGTTTTGGGCGTAAACCTTATCAGTCAGCCGATCACGCTCAATTGACTTCGGCAAAACCGCAAGTCCCATCATAAAGAATAAGTTAATCGGACCATTTTTTCCAAGAGTGTGTTTCTAATGTAAGACGAATACCATATAATTCTACTTAATACGAATTATTGATCAGGAAAACGTAAACAGGGAAACAAGTTTTATATGAAGTACACAATACGATTTTGACGAATACCACATCATGACCTGCTCAGTATTGAACACGGCACGTACGAAATAATACTAGGCCTTCGTTGGGGTATACCCTATATGTTCCCCAATCCATGTTCCCCTATACCTATGTTCTCCAATACCTATGTTCCCAAAATCCTTAGGGTTAGGGTTAGGGTTGGGGAACATAGGTATTGGGCAACATAGGTATGCATCCCCTTCATTTACGCCACGAACACGTCGGTGGTTTCAGAGAACATTTTTCCAATAAGAGAGCGGGAATGTTCCCCATCCACATTGGATACATGTATTCTTTAAACATCGGATTCGGCTCCGGCTTCCTCTCTGACCTGACAACCTTTCGTACATTCCTTTTTAATGTTCAGTTCAAAAACCAAAAATGGAAAGATTCCGAACTGATGCTTTATAAAATATTGAACCGTTGACATGAGTGACCCCTTTACCATGCTGCCCCCAGTTCAGTCATGTTCCCTGTATCAAAAAGCAGTACTGAATGATAATGCTTTTGGTGCCAAAGGAGCCAGACTATTTTTCCTTCCAGCCTCTCTTTGGTTACGTAGATTTGAATGGGGAAAATCAAGATGGCCGCAACATGACAATGGTCTATAAAGGCCTAGATGTCCTTGAAGTCCTAATCTTTTCCATCCCTGGCCTTCGACAAAAGATCACTGCGGATCAAACTCCAAAGCTGGAGGACGTCGACGATAGCAACGCCCGTGGTCATGCAGGGCATCACTATCTCCAGGTAATACGGCATTGGCTGGGTGAAGGAGTGGTAAACGGCGAACGCCAACGGTATCAGGCGCAGAACAAAGAAGGTACCGAGGTTGAGAAGCACGTGAACGCCATAGGAAAAGCTGTGTTTGGAGACTCCATGCATCAGCAGGAGTTTGCGGGAGTGAAGGAAGATGGCGTTCACTTCGTTCAGTAGGTTTATTGTCAAGATGCCCATTGCTATGTGCTCGATACTCATCATGAAGAATGTGGAAATCACCTTAGGGAAAGGGGAACAGAAAATATAGAGAATGAAGCCTAATAGAGGTCGTCTGGCATTGCATAATTGTCTACACACTGTTTTGGGCCAAATAAAGAGTATGGCTGCAAAGGAATTTCTGTACTGATTAGTCGTAATTTGAGCAAGAAATGCGCAGTATAGTTTTTGAGTTGGACATGTATCAGTTTACATAAATTTGATGTGTACCAATTTTACATAGGCCATTTTGGTGGTTTTCTTAATAATATCAATGAAACCAAAATATTTCGCAAATTCCAGAACTTTTGCACGTTAAATTTTCTATTCAAGGGTCCCGGAAGCTAGAGTTATACCACGCACGCACAAGCAGCGGCACCCGACTATCCCGCGAACTTCTCTATACGCGCCTAGTAGAAGTAGTAGCACAAATCATCTTTCTACTCCAAACCCGATCGTGTCACTGAATCGGAATAATACGAGATTCCACTAACACACAGAGAAACACCTACACAAAATTAATACGGGGTGAGTCAAAAAAAAAGAAGCGAAACCCAAATGTCGGGACCATTGTTTTAGTGAAGTTCTGCATGTAGCCCTTTCAAAATCTAGGATATGAAAGCCAAATTCATAAGCTTTCTTTTAGTACAAGAATCATTCAAATCACTCATGTACTTTTCAAGTTCTGTCCACGGATCACAAGAAGGCAAGTGTTCTTTCAGCAAAACGAATTGTTTTCGTTTTGCCGAAAGAACGCACACTTTTTTTGTGTGATCCGTGGACAGAACTTTAAAACAGGGGTTGTGTTTAAAATTCCGTAACTTGAAAAATATATGAGTGGTTTGAATGACTCTCGTACTAAAAGAAAGCTTATGAATTGCGCTTTCATATCCTAGATTTTGGAAGTGCTACATGCAGAACTTCACTAAAAAAAAACCCAATAGCCCCGACATTTGGGTTTCGCTTTTTTGACTCGCCCTGTATAGTAATCAAACCGCACATTCTTCTATTCAAAGAGGGTAAGTGCCTAGCAGTCATGTGGTTGCTTAGGCAAAGCGACTGCCGTTGTTAGGCAAAGCTAATCCGATTACGTACTAAGAAGCTATAACAGAGCAGTGAAACTCATGCACCACAAAAAAACATGGCCTTTTTGAACGTTGTGTTTCTCAGAAAATATGCACAGTGTGATTGAAAAATTAAATTATAACGGAAGAAGAAATTCTACACTTTATATCATTGAAAAAATCGCCGTCATCGATGCCGAAACGTCAAAACTGGTTACTGGTATAGCTGACCTTCAAGTCTGGAAGAAATCGTTCGAAAACATCCCCAACTCTCTGTTTTTATATCAATTTCTGGGAATTTCTCAAAATTGTTATTCACGAGTTGTTGAACACTTATATCATCTAAGTATATTTCGAATTTCAGCTTAATCTGTTGTTGCAAACGCTAGTGTTACAGTTTAAACCATCTCCATGGAAAATTTCGACGATGATTTCTGCCGACCCAACCCACATGCATTGTTCAGCAAGCGCCTTAGATTTTCCTCATGGATTTCTATTACTGTTGTTCTTCCTGCGGAAATCGTGTAAGGAAAGAAAAGTTAAGATATAGCATACTTACAATGCCGTGGTGAAAAACAAGCAACCAATCCTTGAATAAGGGATTGTGAGTCAGCAGATCATACGTTTCGTGCATGTAAAACCCTGAGTGAAAAAAAAAAACAAAAAGAAAACACACACGAATATACAGGGTGAGTCAAAACAAAAATGAAACCCAAATGGCAGAACCAATTTTTGAATGAAGTTTTGCCTGTAGCACTTTCAAAATCTAGGATATGAAAGCCCGGCCATTAAGCTTTCTTTTAGTACAAGAATCATTCAAATCACTCATGTACTTTTTTTCACGTTACGGAATTTGAACGCAAACACCGTTTAAAAGTTCTGTCCACACATTCTCAAATTTGTATCCTTGTGGAGACATTTCTTTGTTCTCGTGTAGTAAAGTGTTCAATTTTGAAAGTGAAGTTTCAAAATGCTCTTATTTTAACCAGAATTAGTTTCCTTGGCTGAAATTTGGAATTAATATCCCTTTTCTAAAACTCTTCCATTTGCGACAAATCAACCCGCCTTGGAAATTCCTAGTTTTTGAGTAAAACCCATATATCTATTTCGTGAAAACCTTGTGGAGACCTATTCATCTATAGAAATTGCCCTGTGGAGACCTTTACAATGTTTTGTTCCCTATTGTGTGTGAGTCTCCACAAGGATACGAATTTGTGGTCACGGATCACAAAACACGCGTTCTTTCAGCAAACCGAAGTTCCCTTTGGATGCATGTTCGAGTTTCACAACAACAGAGAAAATTATAGAAATACAACTATATAATTTGCCTTCTCATCTGATCGGGCTCGTCAGCTTCAGAATACATGCTTTGAAAATAATTACAATGTACAACTGCAATATTAAATGCCTTGTTTAAATAGGCCTAAATCAACACACCCCCATGAATGGACAAAATCCTACCGGATAGCACTGCGAAGCAAACTTCGACTGACACGGCGTAGTGCCTCACCGGATCGCTCCATAGTCCTGGCTGGCTATACAAACTATATTGAAAGAGACAAGGACATACATATAAATGGCCACAACTCAAGAAGTTAGACATTAAAGGGCAGTGCTCGTACTTGGTACTTGTACTCGAGTACTACTCGAGTACTTTTTCGGAGTACTCATACTCGTTCTCGTACTCGAATGTCACAGTACTCGTACTCGAAATGACAGTACTCGTACTCGGGCAGCAAAGAACTCGTACTCGACATGTCGAAATTGTACTCGATCATTAAAGTACTCGTACTCGAATAGCAGTACTCTGGGGGGGAAATGTTAAAGCTTCACTTACGATGGCCTTACTTTATCGATACTTTCAGTTTGAAATGGTTGATCATCATGGCTTGTGGAGAAATCGATATTTCCTGATTTTCCTCTGTGCAAGTCCAGACAAACACATTTGAACAGCTAGCCGTGAGTCGGTCTAACTGGGCCTGGGCCAATTGCGCATTCGGAAATGCGAGTACTCGTACTCGTACTCGGAAGTACAAGTACTCGTACTCGTACTCGGCAGTACTCGGTATTCGGGAAAAAATACTCGACTACAACACTGTTAAAGGGCCATGCAATGTAATGTTTTAATGCAGTGAAAATGCACCTTTGTATCCCGTTCAATTTTAGTTTGGCCCTATCAACTAAGGGTCCGCTCATCCCGACGCCTCATAGGTCCGACGCCTCATGGCTCCAACGCCTCATAAGTCCGACAATTAATTTACTTTTATTTCTGTCCATAAGTCCGACGCCTTATAAGTCCGACGCCTCATGAGTCCGACAGCTATACTTATAAATAAGTACAAACATTACGTAAAATGTCAGAATGTTAACGCATCTAATTGTTAAAGTTAGTGATTTATATACATTGACATTGACATTAAGGGATGCACCCCCGCTCGGATTTACGCCCGTACTAGTAGCATCAACACTAGCGCAAAAAACTGCACAGCTATGCACAGTGCGCCTTTCGCAAGTAGACAACCTCGCGGATTTAAACGGTCGTAAACAATGTTTAAAATCTCGTTTTGCCTTGTCGGAATGACCCTTTTCTGGTAACGGTCCATAGGTTCGACGCCTCATAGGTCCGACGCCTCGTTTTTCCGACGTCGGACTTATAAGGCGTGGGACCTAGAGGCGTCGGACTTGTGATACGGCTCCATAAACTAGCACCAGAGAATTAGGGAAAGGCCTACCAGTAAATAACAATTCCGGATATAATGAAATCGCTGACCAGCGCAGTGCCTGCGTTGCGCCATCGATACCGCTCCTTGTCAGCAAACTTCCCAACAGGCGACGGGATCAGAGGTAAGTCATAGTTGAACAGAAAGTTGACACACTGGAACCCGAAAGCCGAAGCCACGCTGATGGGAATATACGAACGGATCATGCTGCTGAAAACTCAGTAACCTGAAATGATATACTTGTTCTCTGTGTGAGCGTAGCCTAGTGTTAAAACCTGTGCTTTGAAAAATGCAATGCAGTCGATCCTTTGAGAAATGCAATGCAGTCGATCAAGTATTCCCTGACAATAACGCTGTTTTGTTATGTTTGTATGGTTTCATTATGCCTGTGAGGTCAGATACTAATTCTATGGCCCGCACCGTATCCAAATGCACGTCCCCGTCAAGGTTGTGGTTCCGGCATGTTTCCTGGCATGTTCACAATTGGAGAAATAAGCTCGGAGGTTAACGCTGAATCAGTTAGTCAGGTGGCTTAATGAAATCACCGTTACTGAGCGGATAAAAGCACCATAGTTAGCATGAGGCTCCCTTGGGTCCTTTTGATTAATGTTAGCCTAGGAGCTAGCCCTCCGGAGTTTTTTTTTTAATTCATGTATAAAAACACCAAATTTCAAGATGGCCGACATCTATTACAAAATATCGCTTTTCTCGAGTCCTGGGAGTCATAAATAGCACTGGGTGGTCACCAAATTTGTAATTTTTAGGTAGTTGAATGTTAATTTGGACATCGTAGTAGCACCAATACATTTGTTTATTTTTTAAATATTATAAATATCATCAATATGCCAATAAAAGACACATCTCCAATAAACACCACGGCCCCTCATCTGGTTAGAAGGGAAATGTTATCACCCAATAACCATGAATAATCGTGAAGCATGCGTTTCAGTAACTAGATAAACACTCATTTTCAAGCAACTACATCACTGCTTTACAGACCTTTATCATGCTGCCGCCATTTCAGTCGTGTTCCCTGTATCCAATAACAGTACTGAATGATAGTGTGTTTTGTGCAAAAAGGAACCAGACTATTTTTCCTTCCAGCCTCGCTTTGGTTACGTTGATTTGAAAGGGAAAAAAAACCAAGATGGCCGCAACATGATAATGGTCTATATTTTTATGTAGGCAGTTTTCAATTGTCCTTACTGTATCTCACATCACGGAGACTAGGCCATTTATTGATTGAATAGAGTTGAGTTGAAATGCAATGTGTAAGAAATTCTCACAGTTTCTTCGAAGTATGTGGCCTTTGTTCTGTGATGTCTAACACAAACTTTACAATGTTATGTGGAATACATTTGCACTTGCAAAGTGGTGAGCAGTCCAGATTTGCTTTGCTGCATTTGCAGTTGGAACCCAGCAAACACATAATGCTGTGATAACATGTTTGTAAAGTCGTACCGATGTTATATCTAATACATTCGAAATAACATTTTAATAACTATATAGAAATATCATGTTATAAACATTTCAATAACGTGATTTAAATGCCCCAAATTTGACGTTTTATCAGGTATGTTAAAGCGATATTATCAAAACGTTATTACCAAATTTTAAAAAAAAAGAGATTTATTGAGGAAATAATTATAATATTATACGATACCATTTTAATAACGTGATTTAAATGCCTCGTATTTGACGTTTTATCAGGTATGTTAAAGCGATATTATCAAAACGTTATTACTAAATGTTTTTAAAAAGATTTATGAATGAAATATCATGTTATGTACAAAACATTTTAATAACGTGATTTAAATGTAGTCTGGTTCCCAGACCTGACAATTATTCCCAACGCTCACGTCTAAATTGTAGGTCAGGCAGCCTCCGTGGCTAAAAATAAACATGACGACATTGATGGCCCTTTTTCAAAGCTCGGCTTCGTTTCCGATTTCGCTTTATCACTTATAGCTTTTAATGTTCTGATAATTTTTTTAAATAAATCACTTGCTTCGTAATATCGTACAGTTATTATAATACAGTTTGATATTTCTGTAAGATAACATTGACTAATGATGATCTGGAATCTTCAAAATTAGGCACCCAAATAGCACTGTTAGCTGGCGGAGCCGAATGAAGACCGAGTTTTGGAAAATCTCGGTAACTGTCGTCAAATTCAAAATAGTACATGACGCAGCAAAAAGTTCGCCCATACGATCCGAGTATACTTGATGCACAAAATCGTTGTTGAATTTCAAGTTTTCTAAATGAAAGCAATGAATATTAATTATCAACTAAATTTTAAAAAAATTAATAAGCTATTAGCAGTTAATTAAAAATATATTATACTCGGAAATACTCGGGCGCTATCCGATTGTCGACGAAATGAATTCGGTTCAGACATTTTCGGAAAAAGAGGAATTCCTCCCGTTTTAGTCACGTGACGTACATAGTAATACAATGTATTACCGGAGGCTACCTGACCTAAGATTCATCAGGAATAGTCAAAATCGTTTGGTCTGGGAACCAGACTAATTTAAATGCCTCAATTTGAATTGGTATTTTTGGTATGTTAAAGCGATATTATCAAAGCGTTTTTGCCAAATGTTTTAAACAGGATTTATGGAGGAAGTGTCATGATATATACACAAACATTTTTACAACGTGATATAAATGTATCACATGTGACGTGTTATCAGGTATGTATAAGCGATATTATCAAAACGTTATTACCAAATGTTTTAAACAGGATTTAGGGAGGAAATATCGTGATATATACAAACACATTTTAATAACGTGTTTGAAATGCCTCATATTTGACGTTTTATCAGGTATGTTAAAGCGATGTTGTCAAAACATTATATACGAATGTTTTCAAAAAAGAGTTATGGAGGAAATATCATGATGTACACAAAAGCATGTTAAAAACGTGATTTAAAGGCCTCAAATTTGACGTTTTATCAGGTAATTAGCCCAAACAACCCAGTGTGTTCAGTGCGAAAAATACACTAGTCCGAACGAAAGTCAACTTTCATGGAATAAAAACAACATACTCTGATGTACATAGCGGCGGTATATGTACATCAGATTCGAACCAGCCAACCGATCCCGTAAGCTCGTTGTTCCAGTGGTAATTAAGACATCTGCACTAGATACTAGGAGGTCGTGGGTTCGAGTCCCACCCGAGTTATTTTTTCCAACTTTCACTCTGGACAACATACTTGTTGTCAAACAATAACCCTGCAACAGTTCTGCTTTCGAGTTATATTCAATTTGTATTGCACTTGTATTCAATTTGTATTCAAGCAACGCGTTGGTTGTTTCTGCGTGTTCAATAGTCAGGAGTATTTTCTGTACAATGGGACGTCTTTATGGCAGGTTTTCTCCACGATAACAAAATAAGGTTTTTGAGTGACTACAACATTGGTTTGTCTTAGTATAGGCCCGATGGACATGGACTCAACAACATTTAACAGGCATTTCAAACCAGTACGATGGCTGTTTCTTGAGTTATTGTTCAAGCAACGCATAGGTTGTTTCATGGTGTTCAATACTCAGGAGTATTTTCTGTACACTGGGACATCTTTGTGTGAGGTTTTCTCCATGATGACAAAATAAGTTTTTTGGGTGACTACAACATGGGTTTGTTTTAATGCATATGTGCTCAACAATAATTAAAAGAAATGTCAAACTAGTACAACAGGTATTTCATGAGTTATTGTGCAAGCAACGCGTAGGTTGTTTCTGCGTGTTCAATAGTCAGGAGTATTTTCTGTACACTGGGACGTCTGTATGGCAGGTTTTTTGCATGATGACAAAATAAGGTTTTTGGGTGACTACAAAATTGGTTTGTCTTAATACTTTATAGACCTAATGGATATGTGTTCAACAATAATTTAAAAATATGTCAAACTAGTACGACAGGTATTTGAGGAGTTATTGTTCAAGCAACGCGTAGGTTGTTTCAGCGTGTTCAATAGTCGGGAGTATTTTCTGTACACTGGGACGTCTTTATGGCAGGTTTTTTTCCCACGATGAGAAAATAAGGTTTTTGGGTGACTGAAACATGATTCTTTATAGGCCTGATGGATATATGCTTCACAATAATTAGTGGGAATTTTAAGCTAGTACGACAGTTATTTCAGGAGTAATTGTTCAAGCAACGCGTTGGTTGTTTCTGCGTGTTCAATAGGAGCATTTTCTGTACACTGGGACGTATTTCTGGCAGGTTTTTCTGTGATGACAAAAAAGAGAGATTTTTGGGTGACTACAAAGTTGGTTTGTCTAAGTATTTTATAGGCCTGAGGCACATGAGCTTAACACCAAATGAAAGCATTTTAAACCCGTACAACGGGTACTTCATTAGTTGTTGTTCAAGCAACGAGTATGTTGTTTCTGCGTGTTTAATAGTCGGGGGTATTTTCTGTACACTGGGACGTCTTTATGGCAGGTTTTTCTGTGATGACAAAAAAGGAGATTTTTTTGGTTACTACAAAATTGGTTTGTCTTAGTATTTTATAGCCCTGAAGGACATGAACTTAACACTAACTACAAGAAATGTAAAACCCGTGCAACAGGCATTTCATGAGTTATTGTTCAAGCAGCACGTAGATTGTTTCTGCGTGTTCAATAGTCAGGAGTATTTTGTGTACACTGGGACGTCTTTGTGAGAGGTTTTCTTCATGATGACAAAATATAGTTTTTGGGTGATTACAACATTGGTTTGTCCGAATATTTTATAGGCCTGATTGACATGGACTCAACAACATTTAACCAGTATTTCAAACCAGTATGACGGCTATTTCTTGAGTTATTGTTCAAGCAACGTGTAGGTTTCTGCGTGTTCAGGAGTATTTTCTGTAGACTGGGACGTCTTTATGCAGGTTTTTTCCATGATGACAAAATAATATTTTTGGGTGACTTTAACATTGGTTTGTTCTAATACTTTATAGGCCTGATAAATATGTGCTCAACAATAATTAAAGGATATTTAAAACTATTACGACATGTATTTCAGGAGTCATTGTTCAAGCAATGCGTAGGTTGTTTCTGTGTTCAGGCGTATTTTCTGTACACTGGGACGTCTTTATGGCAGGTTTTCTCCATGATGACAAAATAAGGTTTTCGGGTGACTACAAAATTGGTTTGTCTTAATTTTTTATAGACCTGATGGACATGGACTCAACAATAAATAAGGGAAATTTCAAATCACCACGACAGGTACTTAATGAGTTATTGCTCAAGCAACGCGCAGGTTGTTTCTGCGTGTTCAATAGTCAGGAGCATTTTCTGTACACTGGGACGCATTTCTGGCAGGTTTTTCTGTGATGACAAAAAAGAGAGATTTTTGGGTGACTACAAAGTTGGTTTGTCTAAGTATTTTATAGGCCTGAGGCACATGAGCTTAACACCAAATGAAAGCTATTTTAAACCCGTACAACGGGTACTTCATTAGTTGTTGTTCAAGCAACGAGTAGGTTGTTTCTGCGTGTTTAATAGTCAGGAGTATTTTCTGTACACTGGGACGTCTTTATGGCAGGTTTTTCTGTGATGACAAAAAAGGAGATTTTTTTGGTTACTACAAAATTGGTTTGTCTTAGTATTTTATAGGCCTGAAGGACATGAGCTTAACACTAACTACAAGAAATGTTAAATCCGTGCAACAGGTATTTCATGAGTTATTGTTCAAGCAGCACGTAGATTGTTTCTGCGTGTTCAATAGTCAGGAGTATTTTCTGTACACTGGGACGTCTTTGTGAGAGGTTTTCTCCATGATGACAAAATATAGTTTTTGGGTGATTACAACATTGGTTTGTCTCAGTATTTGAAAGGCCTGATTGACATGAGCTCAACAACATTTAACCAGTATTTCAAACCAGTATGACGGCTATTTCTTGAGTTATTGTTCAAGCAACGTGTAGGTTTCTGCGTGTTCAGGAGTATTTTCTGTACACTGGGACGTCTTTATGGCAGGTTTTTTCCATGATGACAAAATAATATTTTGGGTGACTTTAACATTGGTTTGTCCGAATACTTTATAGGCCTGATAAATATGTGCTCAACAATAATTAAAGGATATTTCAAACTAGTACGACATGTATTTCAGGGGTTATTGTTCAAGCAACGCGTAGGTTGTTTCTGTGTTCAGGCGTATTTTCTGTACAATGGGACGTCTTTATGGCAGGTTTTCTCCATGATGACAAAATAAGGTTTTCGGGTGACTACAACATTAGTTTGTCTTAGTTCTTTATAGACCTGATGGACATGGACTCAACAATAAATAAGGGAAATTTCAAATCACCACGACAGGTACTTAATGAGTTATTGTTCAAGCAACGCGCAGGTTGTTTCTGTGTGTTCAATAGTCAGGAGTATTTTCTGTACACTGGGACGTCTTTATGCCTATGGCAGGTTTTTCTGTGATAATAACAATGTTTTTTTCGGTAACTACAAAGTTGGTTTGTCTTAATATTGTAAAGGCCTTATGGACATGAGCAACGCGTAGATTGTTTCTTCGTGCTCAATAGTCAGGAGTATGTTTTTACACTGGGACGTCTTTGTGGCAGGTTTTTTCCATGATGACAAAATAAGGTTTTGGGGTGACTAAATTTTTTTTGATCAAGCACAATGTGAGACAAACCACTTAAAAACGCACCCGAAACGTGTACATGTGTACGTGTACGCATAATCAATGGTCATGATATATGAAACACGAAGAGTGAAAATGGACGGGAACCGTTGAAGAAAAATGGAGTATGATTACAGAAAATACATTGTATTATTCGCAAAAAAAAATCAATCCAACACAAGTGAATTTTAATTGCACAAAAATAAAACACTCATTGTGGAGAAAATAACTTTAAAAAAACGCATTGCATTGAATTGGAATTTCGCCCAAATAATTGGTCGTGATTTATAACACTCACAAAAATAAAATCGACGGGACTCACTTTGAAACACTCCGAATGGCGTACATGTGTAGTCTTCGCGCTGACAAAAACAGTGTATGGGTTCTGAAACCGTGAGGCACGGTGACCAAGTGGTAAGGCGTCTGTCTCGTAAACAGAAAATCGAGGGTTCGAACCCCTCTCGTGCCTTTCGTGTTTGAACCCTGAAGTGTTTTTTTTTAAGTAACGAGATCATGACATGTTGATTTTGGTATCCAGTCAAACCAGGCATGCCGTGAATCTCCATGATTTCCTGGAGTTTTTTGTTGCACAAATTTCTGCGTTCATAGTGTTATTTGAGCCTGTTTTAGGGCTTTTAGCTTTTTTTTGTGCCTATCGGATTTCACATCTTTTTTCCTGTTTTTGCACTTGAAGTTTCCTTTTTTTTTCATTGAAATTCATTCTCATACCTGAGTCAACTCCACTGTCATTATATTTGTTTACATGAACTACTAGAATTCATTTAGAAAGTTTTTATAAGAGAAGGTTAAACTTATAAGATTTTTGCGCGATGCGATTTATAATGTTTGAGTACTTTGGGTGTTTCAAAAATTCCGGCTTCTTTCCAGCTAGGCCTAAGGCGTGCAATTTGGTCAAGGTGCTGAAAATGAGGACACGGTTTCATAAACGTCGAAGCGCAATGCGATCGCGCACAATCAGTATTTTTGCACGATGAAAACGTTTTGCAAACAACAACGTGAGTTCAACGTTGATTGCAACTGCAGTGCAAGATTTGTCATGTTTGTGTGCTTTTCCTTCTCGGAAATATCAGAGAAATCAGCTTTTAAAATCCAAAATATGATGGATATGTAGGCTTTGGTAAGTGCCTAGTGTGCACTAATCATGACAAAATTGATAATTATTGTCAGGTTTAGTTTAACTGGGAATGAATGAATCAATGATGACAGCGTACGCGGTCATGTGCTACTATTTCTACGCACTCACCAATTTGTGTGTGACAAATGCGCGCATGTTGCAAGCGTTACCTGCGCAGATTATGGAGGGTCGAGGATACATGAAAATTCTGCCATGCCCATGATCATGATAATTCCGGTAAAAGTGTAGTTTAGGACACCTTAATATATAATTTTACCTGAAGTTCCAATCAAAAAACGACTTTTTTCATTGAACATGTTCAAAAACGACTTTTTGCAAATAGGCCTAAATCATTAAAATTTAAATGACTGTCAATTTTAGTTTTTTACAATGTTTTAAAAGGCAGTGTAGACAGTTTATATAATAATTTGACCGTTTTTTAGCAATCCCCATTCGTTTTGTATTTCTTCTTTCTCAAGGGACGTCCACTCCGTATCCGGCCGTGTAGCCGGCGACAGGGTAGTTAGTTACATGTAGTTCGGACTAATTTGTAGTTGTATTGGCAAAGACTGACAATGGTACAAATAACGTATGGTGAAAATAGCATGTTAAATGCATTGAATAATGCATTGGACATCTAATCTCAATCTACCTATTCAATGTTCAGAAAGTTTTCTTTTCCCTGCTGCATCAGTTTTATAGTGATGTACAGTCTACTGTTATCTCCTCAGCCTTCAGAGTGTTGTCATTTTAGCTGTGCGATCAGACCACTTGCTGAAAACCATGGCATTGGTAAAAGTTGGTGAGAAAGCTCTTCGTGCCCACCCAAGTGGTGATGAAGACGAGTCCACCGATTCTAAGGAGAGAAAACCGGCCAAGAAAGTTTTAGATGAAGAGTCCTATCTGGAGGTTTGTCTTTTCTTTGATTTGCATAGTTGTTTGAAACTTTTACTTTGACGTCCCCAGTCAAGACGATTGCGAAGACCATATATCTTGACAGTAGACCTCACTTTTTGGTGTAATTGCCTGGCTTAAAGGGAATATACATCATTTGCTTTTGCTGTAATTTTCAGAAATGGATGGAATTGGGGGGTTGGAAATATATAGCAAATATAGTTACACTGACTTTTTTGAGGTTTTGGGTTCAAAAATGCTATAAAAACCAAGAAAAACAGTCATTTTCCTGTAGTCTGGTTCCCTGACTCCATTGAAGAAGAAACAGAGCAGTTTACATACATTGGGGAATTGTAAGGTCAGGGAACCAGTCTAGCTGGCTTGTACCCGTTCATAGTGTGTGTAATCGATTGCAAACAAGTGCGATGGTCAATTGGGGCCAGTATTTGAAAAAAAGCCAGTTTTTTCCAACGCTGATCGGCCGATCAGCGTTGGAAATTGGTACAAAAATAGCACTTTTCTTGAAAATGCCAGTATACCAGGTGCCATGATTTTACAGGATGCTTTACAATGTCATTCACTAACAGTCCAGCAAGGTATTTCAAAATGATTTGGTAGTTTTATTTTTTGATGTTTGCAAATGTTGTATTTTCCCTTTAACCATTTATTTTTCAGCAATGTGGAAATTGTGACTCACAATTTTCTGGGCTATCAAAGTCTATGGGCTATCCAAGTAAAATGTTTCCAAAGACAATAGGTCAAAGAAAGTTATCAACTTAGAATAAAGGACCTTTTGTTATGCAAAACCAACATGTGCAACCCAATAATGCTGCACTAGTGACTCAGTGTCCAAACTTGGGAAAGATTGCTGGTGTGGTTGAGATGCTGAAATATTTAGTAATTCTGTTTTATAAACACCAAGCATGATCTGATACACCGTGCCCTCTGGAGACATGCACACAATAGGGAACAAAATGCGTCTCCACAAGGCAATTTCTATAGATGAATACGTCTCCACAAGGTTTTCACGAAAAAGATATATGGATTTTACTCAAAAATTAAGAATTTCCAAGGTGGGTTGATCTGTTGCAAATGGAAGAGTTTTAGAAAAGGGATATTCATTCCGAATTTCAGCCAAGGAAACTAATTCTGGTTAAAATAAGAGCATTTTGAAAATTCACTTTCCAACTCGAAAACTTAACTACACGAGAACAAAGAAATGTCTCCACAAGAATACAAATTTCAGTATTACTGTGCACATAAAGTTAATCGGAAAAAAAATGCCTGTGATTAGACCAGTCGGCGTGTGGTACCCAAGACATGCACAGAAAAAGTGGACTGGCGAGACTTGAATGCTCTATGGTAATTTCTGTTTACTTGTTTCTACTTTCCAAACCCACCCCCCCCCCCCCCCCCCACCATTCAGGATCTGGAGAAGATCATACAGAGGGATTTCTTCCCTGATGTCTCCAAGCTGAAGGCCCAGAAGGAATACTTGGAGGCCAGGGAGCGTAATGACCTAGTACGGATGAGAGAGTTAGCTCTGAAGTACGCCGGCGCCGGGCAGACAAGACCGGACACTGCAACACCAGCACCTTGTAAGCATGGCTAATCGTCGGAAGTTTTCCAAGCAGAATTTGCTCAGTCTGACTTCCCAAAACTGCAAAATCTATGTTCCAGAGTTGTAGTTGGATCACGGATCCTCTACACAAGGATATATGACTTCCCCAAATTTCTAGTAAGAGGCGTGATATGGCATTTGCGCATCGTGCATACGCGTGCGCGAGACTCAGCGCGCAACTGCAGTCTTTCAGTGGCCAAATTTCTGTCAGGACGCCAGTTGTCGGCGATCATGGCGCGTGCGCATTGTTCTACATGTTCTCTGCATTGTTCTATGCGCGGACACGGCATATCACGCATGTAGACAATCTGTTCCATACATTTTGTACACAAGCTCAGATGAGTCATTTATCCTTGTATAGAGGATCCGGGATGCAGCACATTGGATTTTATGCACATTGGATTTTATCCCCTCAACAGTGAAAAGAGACAGAGATTGACTGACAAACTCCCCCCTGAGAATTAACCCTAACCCTCATTCCTCCAAAGTCCTCTGGGGGTTTTGGAGGATTTTGGAGGATGAGGCTGAATGTAACAATATAAAAATTTGGAGGACAGTGGAGAATTGAGGGCAAATGGACATTCAGTATCGGTTGATTTTGGAGGATTGAGGCTGAAGGTGTTTAAAGAAGAGGAGGATTTTGGAAGGTTGAGGCTGAATGCATTTTGAGAGGCAGGGCTGTTGGAGGATTTTGAAGGATTGAGGCAGTGGGTATCCTTCATTTGAACATAACATTGCAAACTTTTGGAGGATCTGTATCTGTATCTGTTAGCTTCTGTACAAACGCCTGGTGTGGCTATCGCGTACAGCCTCATGGTGTATGTATGAGGACAACTGCCAGAAACACCGGGGCGAACCCCTTCTCTTAGCGATAAGTGTTTGCTGGGTTCTTTTACGTGCATTTATACAACACACGGGACCTACAGCTTTACGTCCCATCTGAAGGACGAAGCAATAAGGGTTCAGTGCCTTGCTCAAGGGCACAAGTGTCCGGGCCCGGGCTTGAACCCACGCCACTGTTGCCTCTGAAACACCAGAGCATGAGTCCAGTGTTTTTAACCGCTAGGCCATCTGACCCCCTTTGTGGAGGATTGAGGATGGTTCCCAGCAAAAAGTGCCTAGGGGGTTAGGGTTAAGGTTGAACATCAAATGAGTTGCAAAAGGCCTTGTTGATTCATCACGCAGTCACCATGTGTAGCCTCCGCTAATTGTGCTTCGCTTCTTTGGCAGGGATGCAATTGTGTCCATCACAAGTCCCTGCAAGTCCATCACAAGTCCTCCAGTCCCAAGTCAACTCACAAGCTATTCAAATGAGCTTTGACAAAGGCATCCCTTTGTGATTGTTCATCCACTGTTTCTTATGATTGGACTTGTGAATGGACTTTTGATTTACTTGGGTCTGGACTTGTGACTGGACTTGTGATGGACTCAACAACATACCTGGTCTGTACTGCTTCGTCACATGCCAACACGTGTCGTGAAACTAATGATGGCCTTGTCTGAAGGCTATGTCACCTGTTAACCAGTGCAGGTCGGGTTTATTTTGAGAAGAACGGACTTCACAGGTTTAAATTTTACTTGACCACAATGCCAGGCAGGGGCCAATTTGCTCAGCACAAAAATTTGCTCAGTACAAAAAAAGTCTGGCTTATAAAAGCAGGTTACCAGCCAAACCGCCACTTGATGTTCATGTATATTGCTTGTGATCAGTATTCAGCTGTTGATTGCTTAGCATGAAAATCACATGCAGTTTTGGCTGATAACCTACTTTTATAAGCCAGACTTTTTTGTGCTAAGCACATTTTTTAGCTTAGCAGCACGGTGAAGTTGGGCCCAGGTCGAAGCCATCACCCAGGGGCTGCAGAGTCATATTTCCGGCCGTGGTCGGTCGCTGTGGCACGCTGACAGATATTTTCCGGCCTCGGTCATTGCAGGTTCTTCAGTCATCCGATCTGACTTTCGGAAAACTTTTGCGTGTATACACGTCCCAAGGCGCAAACTAGTTAAAGAGTCTAGTGTTATAACCTTAATAAAGCTTGCAGTTATTTATTGGAATTGACCTCAGCAATGGTTATTTTTTAATTTTCTTAAATTCTTTGTTGCACAGATGCTGAAGCCACTCCGGCCACGTTTGAGACGCCCGACGTGAACCCTCGACTGCAGACACCGTCCAATCAGGGAGCAGATGCCCCGGCAAGGGAGAGCTTACCAAGGCAACAAACTGAAGAGAAAGATGATGCTAAGAAAGGTAGATCTCAAAAACCTCTAGGAATTATTTGACTTTTGGAGAACAAACCGTACCATCGGATCTCTGAGAGAAGTTCATGTTGTTTTTGATGGGCCCTAGTATGGTTGAGTTGCAAGAGTAGTGCTGACGAGCTTTGGTCACCTGAACTCTTTATTACATAGTACAGTGTTCTCCAACCTGTAAAAATACCCTAGTGCCCCGCCATGCTTTCTGAGGCACCGGCCATGCTTCAAAAGTTTTTGCATGCTTGAAAAGTTGCCGCCATGCTTTCAACAAAAATTTTAAAAATAATAAAAAAACAAACAAGTGGGACTATCCTTGCCCTCCAGGGTATATTTTGGCTAGAAACTCTGCCAAAAGCAGTAACATGCAACACTTGTGAGATTGACAAGCCTGCCCATTGTAGCAATCCATCAGGTCAAAAGTCTCAAGGCCAAACTGCCTCAGAGTCCCTGGTCACTGATGTAATAAAAAAAAATGATGCTGAGCCAGTATTGTACTTAACTGTAAGAAATGGCCCAAAAGCTGATATCGGCATCTGACCGTTGCGTGTATTTCTTTCCTACCACCATATAATTTGAGCCACCCGGCCCTCAAACCCCAACTAACCACAGTCCATTCATTCCTGGTATCCTCCAGACAATAGCCATTTAAAGGGAATGTACATCATTGGCTTTTGCTGTAATTTTCAGAAATGAACTATTTGAGGGGTAGTATAATAGATCAAATTTTGTTACACTGACATGTTTGAAGTTTTGTGTTCGTAAATGCTTGAAAAAAACAAGAAAAACAAAAATTGTTTAAGTAGTCTGGTTGCCTGACTCCACTAAAGATAAAATGGATCAATTTATAGATGTCGGAAAATTGTAAGGTAAGGGACCAGTCTAGCTGGCCTGCAACCGTTCATGAAAATGTAACCAATAGCAAACAAATTTGGACTGAAAGAAAAATGGTTAATTTGGAGTAGTAGTTGAAAAATAGTTAGGTTTTTCCAACGGTGGTCAGCCGACCACAGTAGGAAATTTTTACAAAAATACCATTTTCTTGAAAATGACTTCACACCAGGTGCCATAATTTTACAGGATGCTTTAGACTGTCATTTACCAACATCCAAGTAAGGTATTTCGTAAAAACTTGGTAGTTTTATTTTTCGATGTTTGCAAATGTTGTATATTCCCTTTAAACCACAGAGTTGCCCTGTGAAGGTCAAAACTGTTCCATTTGGTCACCGTTGATCCATGGCAATCCCTATGTGAACAGCGCAATTGTATACGAGCCTATGTTAATGTGCACAAATACAGTAGGTTTTCCCACCAATTTTAAGCTACCCTCTGGGGCCAGGCAAGTGACACCCACTCTGGTGGATGTACAATGGTCCAAACTAGGATCTAGTGATAGACGACCTAAGGCATGCCTACCATGTGGCTGGGATAAGTTAAAACATATAAATGTGAGTAGTCTTGATTTCATGCTGGCTCAGAATACTCCTTCATCTGGTAACTTGTACGCAGAGTTGTAACGAGTCACTGATTTTTGTGACTCAAGTCGAGTCGAGTCATGTTAAAGAAGTGACTCGAGTCGAGTCATTAGGTCAAGAAGGTCGAGTCGAGTCGAGTCGAGTCACAGTGTGTAGTCGAGTCGAGTCAAGTATTTAGCTCGAGTCAATTCAAGTCACAAATATTTGAGCACTATACAATAAAAAAACACAAAAGTGAAAGTCATTTTTTGGCTTTTTAAATATTACATTCGGGCTATTACATGTGGCGACACCAAATTTGACTCTTAATGAAAATAAAAAGGGGGTGCCAGCTGATCGTCATTCAACTAATCAGCCATTCCATGTAAGGGTCATCACCAAACTCAAAAATTGAAGTGAAAGGAATAAATTTTTGTCAGTTATATTTGATAAGAGGAATATTGAAACCATCTAAATCTCAAAAGATTTTTTAAAATAAATCATTTGATTTAAAGTTTCAGCCTCCTGAACATGGATGAATTTTGTGGGCAAAACGGAGGGTCAGGGGTATAAATCACAAACTGAGGAAGTAATTGAAGCTCATTCGTAAGATTGTGCTTTATCTGCATATATTTGGTAGCTATTCCAGTCTATTTGATAAAACATTGAGAATTTTTCGAAATGTCTTCAGTATTTTCCCACTATTTCATCGTGAAAACACCCTCAAAAATATGTCACGCGAGTCACAAAAAAGGACTTTTTTTCAGATTACTTAATAACTAGAGAGGGATTCAGCTAGTGTTTGATATTTGTAAATGAAATAGTGGTGGTCTATCAATAAAAGTATGAATATTCTTATTTGCTCTACATTCCTTGTAGAAAAAACTATCTCCAGAATGTCACGCGAGTCACACATGATGTATGTCACGCGAGTCACCAGGGGTGGATCCAGGAATTTTCGCAGAGGGGGGGGGGGTTTCATCAGCCAAAAAAATTGAAAATGTACACACGTTTTTTTCTCTGGACACTCGCTTCCGTAAAATAAAAAACTGGGGGGGGGAGGGGGGCTGGTACCAATTTCAATCGGGGGCGCTGTTCAAATTCGACGATTATTAACACATTACAGAATGGTGTACCGTATTTTGAACAGGCGGACATTAGACCAGTATAATGTTTTTGGGGGTGTCATGCGGGGGGGGGGGGGGGGGGGGGGGGGGTTCGACTTATTCTTCAGGAATTTGTATGAGAATTTTTTTTTTTGGACAGAGCTGGGGGGGGGGGGTTTGACCCCCCCAAAAACCCCTCTGGATCCGCGCCTGGTCACAAGCCAGGAATGTTTCATTTATGTAATACAAAGAAACAACGCCATAGGCCCTATTAAATTATAGAATTCGAATTAAGTCTTTAAAAGCATAAGTTATGTAACAAGAAATTGAATCAGTTTTTTACAAATGTATACAGTCGAGTCTCGTTAATACAAACTCGTTCGGACCTAGCCAAATTGTTTGTTATATCAGAATTTTGTACTAAGAGGAACAACAGTCCCATTCATTGTGCACATAAATGCACAGTCGGGACTAAGGCTTTATGTTTGTTATAACCAGAATTTTGTATTAACAGAGTTTGTACAAACGAGATTCGACTGTACTGTATACTTCCGATACAACTGCATCATTAATTGCAGCTCGATTTTACCATTTAAGGAAACTGTGACTCTACATGTACATGACCAAGAATTACAACTGTTTTCCTGAAATAATCACCGTGGATTGATGACATCACTTCGTAACTAAAATTCCAAAACATTTTTTTCTCTCTATGTCATTGTTAAGGATATTGTGTTTAAACCAGATTTCCACCCCCAACATTTGCCAAAGTAAAGGGATAAATAGCAGTTTTCACACTCTTTCATAAGGTATTCACAGGTAAATCATTTTTATTAATATAATATTATGATTTGATTCGTTATACTAAAATTACAGTTATAATGTGAAAGTGAAAAGCTACTGTGTCACGCGAGTCACGCATTTGTGTCACGCGAGTCACATTTTCTTCAGGCCATTTCTTACAACAAGGGATATTTGGCACAATACAACTTATGCATGTATTGGGTGAGGGTATTAAGTTCTAAGTTCTGTAAGAATAATTTTTAGAACACTGGTAGATCCATAGGAAAAGCTATTTGAATCAAGGGATGTCAAAAATCCCTTTTTCTATCCTGTCACGCAAGTCACGTCAAAGAAACTGTGATACATGAAAAAATAGCGATTTTAAAGTAATCATATAAAGACTAAACCATAAATTCACAATGCCCTGACTCAAATACATGCTAATTTGAGTTGAATAAATGCCAGGTTAACAACAGTAATGTATTAAAACTTTACATTTTGTTCAAATGTCACGCGAGTCACCATGGAATGGCTGTAATGGGGACACTGATCAAACCACGTATGTATATGTATACAATATTCGCGAACATTCTAACGTGACGTAAACAAAAACCGGCACCGGCGTAAGTCATTGCAAATATTTTTCGCAAAGTTTTGCTGTTATTTTTGGGACTCGAGTCTCATTAGCCTTCCTCGAGTCAAGTTGAGTCATTCTGATGAGGGACTCGAGTCGAGTCGAGTCATTTGCTCGCAGTGACTCGAGTCAAGTCATTTGCCCTTAGGGACTCGAGTCGAGTCACCAAAAATTGTGACTCGAGTCGGACTCGAGTCGAGTCATTGACTCCAGTCATTACAACTCTGCTTGTATGTATATTTTAATCACTTGTTGGATTGCTCGTTTCCTAAGAGCTTATATCTTCGTTTGGTGTTCATTTCTCAGACCAGAGTAATTCGTCCCTGACCCTGGACAGATACCTGGCCAAGCACACGAGTGAAGACAACGCCGCGTTCGAGGAGATCATGGCCACGTCGGCTGAGAAGCACCGGCAGAAGCACGCCTGGCTGTACGAGGCGGAGAAGACCCACCAGCAGGAGCAGAAGGACATGCTGGCCCTGGAAGGACCCAAGAGTATGAAACCCATCGAGGGCTCCTCAGTCACCACCTGGGGTTACAAGACCAAGAATGCTGTCATGTACGTCCCCGAAGGTACTGTCAAATTGTTAAGAGCTGTAGCCTTGTACAGCTGTTTTCACGAAATACAGTGCGTTGGTGGGGAGTCAGGTTGGCGTAGCGGTACTTTCCTTGCCTTCCACCGCTGTGACCGGGGTTTGCTGCCTGGGCCAGTACGTGGATTAGGTTTTCAGTGCCTACCTGATTTCGTGGGTTTTCCTCAGAATACTCTTCTGGGCTTTTCCTCCCACCTCTAAAACTGTAATTTCTTCACATTGTCTTCTCTTTCAATACCGAGACCCACAGGAGATCAGTGGATTCCGCTGAATGGGCTACCCAGTTAAAATAAGAAATAATAAATAAATAAATTCATGCCATGCATAGGTTTTCACGCAATTTGTTGCGCAATTGCGCAATAAACTTGCAGTCGCTCTCACAAAACTTGGCATAGCTGTGAAACATTTGAAATCATTTAAACATCTTAGCCGAGGGTACTTACAGCTTTTATGATGGCTATTGGGGTATGATTTCTGTTCGGTCACAAAACAGTTGTTGAATCACCTCCGCCTGGCATTTTGGAAGGAGTTTTGTCTGACTTTCTTCAAAAACAAAGCTGATAGTTTCTTGTGTCAAAGACAAGTCGGGCAATGACAGGATCCACGATGGTTTTAATTAGTCAGTAAGATCATCAGTTTTTACTCCCTATGCCATAATTAACACCACCTAAAATGATTGAGTAAGTCATAATAATAATAACAATAATAATTTACACATTTACATGTATATTGCGCAAATTCCATAAGAATTTGATCAAATGCGCATCACAATTATTATCCCTGTTCATCGGGAATGAGACCCTGCAGCAGCTCAAGATCCACGCAATATGGTCTCTACCTTCACAGGTACCCATTTATACTCCTGGGTGGAAAGAGGCAATTGTAGTAAAGTGTCTTGCCCAAGAACACAAGCACCATGTTCCCTGTCGGGGCTCAAACCCATGTACCATGCACCCGAGTCGAACACCGTGATCATTGGACCACAGCACACCACCCCCACCCCACCCCCACCCACCACCCCACCCCACCCCCCCCCCCCCCCCCCCCCCCCCCCCCCCCCCCCCCCCCCCCCCCCCCCCCCCCCCCCCCCCCCCCCCCCCCCCCCCCCCCCCCCCCCCCCCCCCCCCCCCCCCCCCCCCCCCCCCCCCCACCCCCCCCCCCCCCACCCCCCCCCCCCCCACCCCCCACCCCCCCCCCCCCCCCCCCCCCTCCCCCCCCCCCCCCCCCCCCCACCCCCCCCCCCCCCCCCCCCCCCCCCCCCCCCCCCCCCCCCCCCCTTTCCCCTCCAGTTATGCCATAACTCGTTTGGTAAGTTGCGGACTTACGCATTGTGAAATTTTGGTGAAGCGTGTCTTAACTTAAATGTGGCGCAACGATAAAATGTCGCACATTAAACCTAATTATCATTCTGTTGCTAACCCTACATATTTCCTTCATATCTCCCTTTTAACTCCACACACCCAGCCATTTATGAACTGAGACTTTTATCTCCTTATCACCCAAAATATTCTCCAGGACTTGAGGAAACGCCCGAAGAGCAGATCTTCAAGAAGCCCAAGGTCCAGCAGGTAGTGCACAAGAACACCCACTTCCAGGGCAACCCGTTCATTGTCAAGGCCGGCCAGAGCTCAACGCTGGCCAAGTCAGCCGCCGCCAAGGCCTCCATGAAGACTGGCAGAGTAGGACATGATGGCAAGGAAATCAATTCATCGGACACGCCCAGAGTGAACGGGTTTAGCTTTGTGGGGACTCCCTCGCCTGTACCAGGTAGGTTGCAGTGTTGTAGTTGAGTACTTTTCCATTAGTACGAGTACAAGTTCAAGTACTTTTCTGCGAGTATGAGTATGAGTACCTTGCCATGAGTACAGGTCAATATGGTTCCCATGCGTATCAGTACCAAAAAAATACGCTCGAGTAGAATGTACGAGTACAAGTACGAGTACTTTTGATAAAATGAGTACACGTGTTCTCAAGGGCGTTTTGCTGTCAAACTAGGCATTAACCCTCCTATGCAAACATACATTCTGTGCCAAGTTGTCCTTTCAGTCAAAATCTATCAAGTGACTGTTTTCAACCCTTAAGAATTCCCAGCCCACATAAAGCAGGATTGACTGCCTTAGACTGATTAAGTAACTTGATACAGCTATGCTTTGACTCCAGGTGATAAAACAGCTGTGACCACAACTTGCCCGCTTTGTCTGTTGACCCAGTTTGACTAGACAAAGTATTTGCTTGATATATGATCTGACTGCTGATGACTAGCCTGTGTTAAAAGTATATCAGGGGAAGTGCAAGTGAATTTTGACTGTCCGTGACTGCTTAAATAGCAGGAGGGTTAAGCAAATGCAAAAGCCTCCCAAACTGTAGAAATGGGTTCTTTTCCTGCATGCATGAGTACAAGTACAAATACGAGTAGCAAAAATGTTACGAGTACAAGTTCTACGACACTGGTAGGTTGAATGGCAGATTTAGCCAAAGCCTCTGTGGATGTTTTGTTTACATGTTTAAGACATTTTGAAAGAAAAATATTTTCCTAACACACACAAATTTTGCGTTAACATTTACATTGTATACCGAGTTGAAATAAAAAAAGAGGACCTTATGTATGCAATCTGCCCTCCCAGTTTTACTATACCAAGAATCACACAATCTTTCATTAAATTAAATTGGTTCGTATAAGTTATATGACCAAGACTACACAAACCTACACACAAGTACAACTAAGAGTACTGTATACGTGCTCCAAGAAATATGTTTTTCAGAGGTTGACCCACCCACATACAAAAAATTTAAACATACATTTTGGGTAATTTATTATGGAATCAGTGAATTATGCGCAGCAGTGTACTATCATTAAATTTCTACTCATTACTTTGATGTCCATGATTTGCTTGACAGGGGCGTACAACGAATCACCGATGATGACATGGGGTGAGATCTCAGACACACCATTGCGATTGGACGGATCAGAGACGCCAGTACACAACACCAGGGGCCCTTCATTTACAGTGAGTTTACAGTTGCATTGTGGAACCTGCAATTTGGGGCCTAAAACTTGGGAGCTAGTCGTGTTTTCTTTTTTTTTTTAATTATATAGGTTTTCCCGGCCAATTTCCTAAAATGTTCATTCACTTCTGAAAATCGGTCATTCATTTTCGTCTGAATTTGAGAATCGCTCTGAACACGCGTTTCATTTACGCTACCAGAGTATTTGATTCCATTTCAGTTCAATCAATTAGAGCAGCACCTTTCGTTTATGTCCATTTAGAATAATTTACAAGACTTCTTTTTCAATTTTAGAGGGCGATTTCAAACATTCACCATTCTATTTCACTTTTAGTTTAATGCATTCGGCACCACATACAATTAGGGGTTTCTTTTTTTTAAAATCGTCAATCAAATTAGCTGTACCTGAAATCAATTTAGAAAAAGTATGCTTGCGTAAATGAATGCACAGGTAACGTAATTGGCCGTCTGTTTCTCAAAACCGAATGCACGGACAGTGAAAACGATTGAACTTTCGTTGAATTGAAATGGATTAAAAAAGACGTGTATTCAAATTCAAACGAAAAGGAATGATAGATTTTCAGAAGTGAATGAACATTTCAGGAAATTGGCCTTATTATAATAGTAATAATATGTAATAATGTGCATTTATAAAGTGCACGTATCCATCGGTATTGGTGCTCATGGCGCCAGCAGTACTTTCCTCGCCTTCCACCGCTGTTACCTGGGTTCGAATCCCGCCTGGGCCGACATGTGGATTGGGTTTTCAGTCCCTGCCTGATTCCGTGGGTTTTCCCTAGAATATCATGGATTCTGGGGTTTTCCTCCCACCTCAGAAACTGCAATTTCCTTCCACATCTTCAACATCTTCTACCAAGTCTTATCCATCCTGTTCTAGCGCTTGCGCTGTTGGATGTTGTCAAAATAAATATATGAATGAAAATAAATAAGATTATCATATTTTTTTCTTAATCCAATTAAATGGAATATTCAAAACCAAATGTCCTGTGCTCAACCCTTTGAAATGGCATCTCAGTGTGCTCTACTTTTGAGGCAATTTTGATGGCCGTTTCTAAATGCTTTTGTTTTGTCCTGCAGAATAATTTGTTATTATCTTATTAAAGGGAGTGTACATCATTGGCTTTTGCTGTAATTTTCAGAAATGAACTATTTGAGGGGTTAGTATAATAGATCAAATATTGTTACACTGACATGTTTAAAGTTTTGTGTTCGAAAATGCTGGAAAAACCAAGAAAAACTAAAATGTTCAAGTAGTCTGGTTCCTCGACTCCACTAAAGATAAAATGGATCAATTTATAGATGCTGGAAAATTGTAAGGTAAGGGAACCAGTCTGGCTGGCCTGCACCCATTCATGAACATGTAACCAATAGCAAACAAAATTTGGACTGAAAAAGTGTAAAGTTGGAACAGTATTTGAAAAATAGTTAGGTTTTTCCAACGGTGGTCGGCCGACCACCGTTGGAAATGTATACAAAAATACCACTATTCTTGAAAATGACTTCACACCAGGTGCCATAATTTTACAAGATGCTTTAGACTGTCATTTACCAACATCCTAGTAAGGTATTTCGTAAAAACTTCATAGTTTTATTTTTCGATGTTTTCAAATGTTGTATATTCCCTTTAAACCAGGGAGGTTTTGAGATTCTGGAAATCACTTACGACTTGCAAATTGTATTTGTTTCTTAGATAGCGAACGTTCCCAGGAAGGAACGCCTAACCTTATCCCTGGTGGAGGAAGTTTCCAAGAAACACCGAGCCAAGAAACAGAAGGCTTTGCAGAGGGTTACAGAGTCACTCGTCAGGTAAGAAAATGGGAAAAGAAAATCCCGAAATGGGAATACTATTCCAAATCAATTTTAAGATTACTACAGTGGAACGCCGCTATAACGAACATCGTGGGATCCACTGAAAGTGTTCGTAATAACAATCGTTCGGTATAGCGATTTTGAACCGCCGGTACCCTCTTTTGACCAATAGTGAAGTCACTGAACTGGCATTTCTCACATCCCGCCGCCGCACGAGGACTCGTCACGAAACTCAGAAACGGGTGGTTTTCCCTTTTATTCCTTGGGGAAATAATAGCCGCCTATCGCTCTTTAACATTCAAACATGATATAACCATGAGTCGTTTGATGTTCGGAAATTAAAAGTGGCCCAAACAGTGTTTAATACATGTACAACTGGTAGATTTTTTGTTAATCTGTTGACTTTTTTCAACAACGATGTTCGGTACGTTTTGTACATTTAAACCGGGAGCCAAGGATGAAGTTCGGTATAGCCGAATGTTCGGCATAGCGGTGTTCGGTATAGCGGCGTTCCACTGTAGTACCAGAACTGTTGCGAGAACACTGGAAATTACCCACAATTTGATCGAAAATGTCCTATCAACAAAAATCATCTTGATAATGATGTCTCATGTATAAGTACACCATCTGTGTTGAAAATGTGAACCACTGCTGTTAAAGGGAAGATACAACATTTGCAAACATCACAAAACGAAATGATCAAATTATCGCGAAATACCTTACTGGATTGTTAGGGAATGACTGTCTAAAGCATCCTGTAAAATCGTGGCTCCTGGTGTGCTGACATTTTCAAGAAAAATTGTATTTTTCCAACGCTGGTCGGCCGACCAGCGTTAGAGAAAACTGGCTAATTTTCAAAAATTGCTCCGAATTTTTCATAATTAGTTATTCCACATTTTCTTTGCAATTGATTACACACCTGTGAAGAGGTACAAGTCTGCTAGACTGATTCTCTGACCTTACAATTCCCCAAAGTCTATTAATTGCCCCGTTTCATCTTAAGTGGGGTCAGGGAACCAGACTGCATTGCAAGAACATGATTGGTTTTCTTGGTTTTTCCAGCATCTACAAGCCCAAACGTGAAAAAAAGTCATTTTAACAATATTTGCTATAACATACTAATCCTTACTCCAAATCCATTTATTTCTGAAAATTGCAGCAAAAGCAAATGTTGTACTTTCCCTTTAATTCATGGTATGCATTGTCTGAGTGGTCATTCATCCCAAAAGTAATCTACCAACTTATTATCAAAAAGTTTGAACACCCAAATGGCTGTTGAAGGTAGAGTAGACTATTTGTCATCGGTGCATTTTTTTTTGTTTGAAGCAACAAAAGTGCTCAAAATCTAAAGGCGGGTGTTTAACAACTAACCTGCACCCGATTTCACGAAGGGCGCGACGCCTCACAACTCGAGTTTCGACGTGTCGCAACTCGCGATGCATCGTATCTTCCATTTCACGAAAGTTGCGATGTGTTGAGCGCGTCGTAAGTTCCTTGACAACGGCTTAAAACACGTCGCAAGTTAAGACGTGTCTAGTGGTTGTCGCAAAATAAGAAGAGTCATTTCTAAGCCAGTTTTATGCCATAAACATTACATTAACGAGATTATAATACCGAGGCAATGTGTGTAAAGTTGTAAATAGAAAATTCATTGAATAATTATGAATTAGACCGGAATATTAGAATTGAAATTTCAAAGTAGCTATACAGTCCAATGAGAGTTTGTTTTCCTTCAAAATTGCATCGCACGGCCGCCATTTTGTTGTACGTTTTAACAAATTTCGAGCTGAGATCCGACAACTCTTTGTTGAATATCAGACGACTATTTACTGTACGCTGACTAAATACATAAAACAGTCACCGAGTTGTGCTATAAATACACCTACGACGCGTCGCACTTACGACGTGTTTTGTGAAATGGATCGCAGGACGCGTCGCAGCTGCGATGCATCGTAGAGATACGACGCGTCGCATTGCTGCGATGCATCGTAAGTTACGAAGAGTTTGATGAAATCGGGTGCTGATCAAGTTTTAGCTCAGGGAATGCTGTATATTTCGAGAAAAAACACAATTCTGGATCTCAGATTCAATTCAAAAGTTGCTGGGTTGTGACACAATCCCGAAATCAGCATTCGGGACGTGATTCTCATTCGGCTGATTGTTGCTACGTGATGTCACACACTGAACCGACCATTCTCGCTAGTAATAGCAACTGTGTGCGCGCATGTGCGTCATGTTAACGCGCTTGCACCCATTCACGGATTCGCCCAATTACAAACCAACTGCCAATGAAAATTTCCAAAAGTGTGTCACTCGACACATCTTTGGAAATGACCTTCTTTTATTGTTTTCTTCAAAATGACAGCATGCCAGAAGGAATAATTTTACAGGGAGTTTAGTGTCGGTACTATCTCTAAACCAAGTACATGTAAGCTTTTTAACAATGATTTGGTCAGGAAGTTTTGGATAGATGTAAATGGTCTTCTGCCTTTAAACAACTCTAATATATCTCCCTGCATCAATAAGTTTTACTTGGATGTACTATTTATTTTAACTTTTTTTATTTTTTCATCTCAATAACAGTCCTTCACCAAGAAGGCTTGGCACCCTTGGAACAGCAGAGAGGCTACGCACCCTGACCCCGGCAGCCCAAAAACTCGTCAACAAAAAACTCTCGGGTTTCAAAACGGACAAAGCACTGAGGCAGAGCTACACCCCGTCGCCCGCAAGAACCCCAGCAGGGGACAAGACGCCCATACTGAGAAGCACGCCGCGACAGACCCCCACACGGACACCCAGCCAGACACCGACGGGAAGCTCCAGGGACGTATCAGAGGAGACCCTGACTGACAATTTACTGGATCTGCCCAAACGGAAAACAAGGAGTCGGGCATCTGCTGCGGATTTTTTCTGAGGAGGGGAGGAGAAGGGTAGCGACAGACCCCCTCACATACACCCAGCCGGATGGCGACAGGAAGCATGAGGGAGCTATCAGAGGAGATCCTGATGGAAAATGTATTGAATCTGCCTAAGCGAAAGACTAGAGGTTGGGCATCTACTGCAGATTTATGTCTGTGGAGAGAGGCGTAGGCTCCCTTGGACTTTCTGAGAAAAGACGTACACCCTTTCACCCATTCACACATACCTAACTTGATGCCTTTCAGAAGCCTGAGAGGAGGAAAAGGGATGAGATTGTGACACAGAACTTTTCAAAGGCCAAGAGAAAGCTTTCTGCTCTAATGTATACCAATTGAGTTCAATGTTTTGCACTTGTAATCATACTCAAGCAAGTACAGTGGAACATCGATATACCGAACACCGATATACCGAACATTCGGCTATACCGAACATCGTCCTTGGCCCCCAATTTTTGTGTACAAAGCGTACCGATTGTTGTTGTTGAAAAATGTCAACAGAAGAGCGACAAGTGGCTATTATTTTCCCAAGGAATGTAAGGGGAAAGCCACCCATTGCTGTAGGTAGTAAGCTCAAAAATTGTGTAATTTCATTATTCAATAGTTGGTACGTGTTCAAAGTCATCTTTTAGTAACGACCAGGGACTGCATGGTGAAGTTCTAAGGGGCGCTTTTTGTTGAAAGTGAGTACCGGAGCACCGGCAGCTTAAAAATCGCTATGCTGAACGATCGCTAAATATTACATTGTACAAACAATTTCTGTGGATCCCGCAATGTTCGTTATAGGGGGTTTTACTGTATACTTAACCATACACTGTATGTACAACACTATGCGATAATATGTTTTTGCAACTGAGATTAAGTTCTCAGGATTGCATTTGCTTCAAATAAATTAAAAAAGAAACGGGAGGAATGTTATCCCAAAAAAATATTTCCATGATTTTTATATTGATTTACATGTATAATGGTCATTAGTAAGCAAAAAGCACTATGAGTATAAGGATTTACTATGATTTAGTGGGTAGTATTTAAGGCTACAACGGAATCGCTGAGGCTTTGGCTTTGTTTGTTTTTACATTGACATGCTACTGTGATATTCGACGCAAACCCCTTTTTCGAAAATGGGCCAACTCAATTGAAGAACACTTGGAGATTGGCAATAGCGCCCTCTATTGAACCTTGAAGGAAATAGGATCACCTGCAGTGTTGGAGCAAAGGCTTTGACCCTCAAGGCCAAGGCTTTGACCCTCAAGGCCAAGGCCAAGGCTTTGACCCTCAAGCCTTGAGGCCAAGGCCAAGGCTTAACCATCAAGGCTAAGGCCAAGGCCAGCCCTGTTTTATAAAATGACCACTAATATAGAACTAATTATAGTCACATGACACATCATCACGAATCGCTCATTAAGAAGAACTATTTGTCTTTAATTGCAATCAACATGCTCGCGTACACTGTTTTATGACTGCATTGTATCGATTAAAGTATAAGTTCAGGTCTTCTTGAATATGGTTTAACTAAAACAAAATAATGATATATTGACGCACAATTCTCCCGAGTGTAACAAAAGGGGGATCCAAGAAACTGATTTGGGAAATTTTTATTTGCTGGGCCAACATGGTCGGAAATAATTAGCATTATCTAAAACAGATACATGCAAATCTTTAGCACTTATCAGGGAGACATATACAACCAATCAGATCTATTCCATAATTGTATACAATTTAAGTGATCATCTCATTAGCCCAACAAGTGTACAGAATATTGTTGCAGCAAATCTACTACAATGGTAACAAAATATGATGCTATAAATATGGAAGTGTGCCCAACACACAAATCTATAGGGTGCTTCCCTCCTCCATGGTAACACGATTAAATTGGTAACAGCAAAATTTCAAACAGATTTATGATTTATCTGGAAAATGCAAAAATCTATGGGCCTTGAAGAGCCTTGACTCAAAATTGCAAGGCTCTGATCCCTCAAGGCCAAGGCCAAGGCTTTTGCCCTCAAGCCTCGAGGCCAAGGCCAAGGCCCTAAAATCCAGCCTTAAGGCAGCCTTAAGGCCAAGGCCCAGCATCAAGGCACTACATCACTGATCACCTGACCTCACATGCTGTCATCAAAGAAATAGAATCATGCTTGATCATTCTTTGAAGTTATTGAGGTGTGTTTTTTTAGCCCTGTTTACCTTGGTGATGGTGTCAAAAGTATAATGAACATAACATGCCAAAATGAATGGATCTTTAGATTTTTTGTACATCACACTACACTACAGGGTTTTGTGCGGCATAAATTTAAAAGTCATAAAATGCAAACACCCAGTATACATGTATATTGTTTTGAAAAGCTAAAATAAAGTTTTTTATTAAATCTATGAGTGTTGCATCGGTGTCGGGAAGTTTTATTTTTTTTTAGAGGCCTCGTATATTTTTGGGTGAGAAAGACGAAAGAAGGTCCTGATTGATTTTTTTTCAACTTATACTTCAAGTGTTCTATCTTGTGGAATTTGGTTACGATGCACTTGACCCCATGCTTGACCTTTGCAATTTTTTATTCGAACTAGATATTGCAGTTTTCATTTTAGGCCACAAAAAAAAAATAAGTCGGTCTCTGGTCAGCGCGCGCGTCGATTTTAATCATGCGCGTCAATCTTTTTTTTTTCCAAAATGTTCCGCGGTAGCTCCAACAGCGCCCTCTATTGCCGCACCTCCTCAATTTTTTTTTACCAAAGAGCACCAAGGAATGGGAAATTGCACCAAGGCAAATGATCGAGAGCACCAAGGCAAATTATGGAGGACACCAATGTACATGAGGACACCAAAAAAGCAAAATAGTACCCCACCTTGTCTGTACAATCCAAGCTTGAAGAAAAGGAGAAAAAAAAGAAAAAAAAAGAAAAAAATTCGTCAATTCCGGAACTTTGGTCTTGACCAGAGACCGAATATTTTTTTTTTTTTGGCCTTATAGACAGTCGTCTGAATATCTGGGGACATGCTGATTTGGATTGAGTGGCTGACTTTCTGCAATCCATTTAATTTTCAGTGTAAAAAAAAATTGTGTAAATTAAGGTACAACTAACTAAATAAATTCAAAAAATGTTAAGTGAATTTTGGGGCAATTTATTTTTGCTATTCCAGGCATTCAAGTGCAGCATACAAAGTAACTACAATTTTTTATTGTTTGGTCCCAAAAGTCCCAAATTCTTAGAGTTTAATGTTATTGTTGTCATAAGGAATAGCTATCCCTAACAGTCCAGAATCCTCCAATTTTAATACGATTTTACAAACCCCCTAGGGAGTTGGGGGAGTTGGATTAATCAGAGTCCAACAGAGGGCGCTACATAACATTCATAATATTTTACCCAGGTGGTGAGCTTGCGGGGAATGAAATAGTACATGTACATGTATAAAGACACGGGCAATAAGCTAATAAACAGGTTTGAAAAACAACCCCCTCCCATCAACATAAAGCCAGTTATTTAAAATAATATCTGAACATCGGTAACCCAGGAAACAAACCTACTGATTCAATCAGAAATTAAAGGGAATGTACATCATTGGCTGTTGCTGTTATATTCAGAAATGAACTATTTGAGGGGTTAGTATAATAGATCAAATATTGTTACACTGACATGTTTGAAATTTTGTGTTCGAAAATGCTGGAAAACCAAGAAAAACAAACATGTTCAAGTAGTCTGGTTCCCTGACTCCACTAAAGATAAAATGGATCAATTTACAGATGCCAGAAAATTGTAAGGTAAGGGGATCCAGTCTAGCTGGCCTGCACCTGTTCATAAACATGTAACCAACAGCAAAAAAATAAAATTGGACTGAAAAAAAGATAAATTTGGAGCAGTAGTCGAAAAATAGTTAGGTTTTTCCAACGGTGGTCGGCCGACCAGTGTTGGAAATGTATACAAAAATACAATTTCTTAAAAATGACTTCACACCAGGTGCCATAATTTTACAGGTTGCTTTAGACTGTCATTTACCAACATCCTAGTGAGGTATTTCGTAAAAACTTGGTAGTTTAAATTTTTTGATGTTTGCAAATGTTGTATATTCCCTTTAAACCTTTGCTCAAAGTGAAGATAGTACTGGTATCAAATACCCTGTGAAACTATTCTGTCAGAAATGGTCTCGATCGAAAGAAAACAATCATTCAAGAGTGTTTTTTTTTGGGGGGGGGGGATGGACGTTGATGTTTACGTCCGTTCTTATTTTGTTGTTCAGAGTTAAGAGGATACTTGTTACGTTGCTGAGGCAACGGCAGACATCATTAAGACGGCACTTCAATGCTGAGTAAAATACATAGTGTGAGTTAACATTGTGTAAAAACGACATTTAAACTACGTTGCTGTGGCAACGGCAGACATCATTTAAGAACATCTTAAAAATTCAAGTACAGTTAGATTTCATTTTGGCGAAATCACTCAAGCATGAAATCCCGAAATCTTTATCGTACATCTCGATTTTGGGACACATAAATAACTAGAACTGGAGGCAATGGTGTGACGTCACACTTGACCCGATCGTAGTACGTGACCGACGCTATGTCATGCCATATGCGCGTGCATAGCGCATACGACGAGGACGCACTATAGACTAGTGTAATGTGTGATGCATGCACAGTGTGCAGAATATCGTTGACTGAAAACCCCGAGTACGACCCCAAAAAATCTTCACAGCACCCAAACTCTGCACTTTGCAGAGCCTTTGTAACCCTTTCCCAAGATGGGTGCCGACCCACGCCTAGACGTGGCCAACTTCAAGAAGTTTTTGGAGGAGTTTAGCTCGACTCACGCGGGCACGGACAACTTGCCGTTTTCTAGCCTAACGTGCCACATGACGAGAGAAGAGATCGAGGGCGAATGTTTAGAATGGGTCACCAACTGCCTCGTCGGCCAAAAGTGAGTTGCCCAGTTTCTTTTCTCGTGAGCAGTAGCTACCGCCCTTAGACAAGAGCTGGATTTTCTCTTGTCTGTGTTGCATGTTACAGAAGACAGCGCGAGCTTTAATCTGTAGAAAGGTCGATAATCTAGCCCCCTTTTTGTTGAACTTCGTGTTTTATTTGTTGCTCATTATTGCCTTTACCAGTTATGATATGCCATGGATATGCCATGTACATGTAGGCTATGTTGTGTATTTCAGTACAATCTTCTTATTTGTTATATTGCCTTAACATGATATGAACACCATCCATCACTTCTTGCTTGCTATTATTAATGAACAGTATTGATTGTGAATTGTGTCTTGCTTTTAATATGTTTTACAAATCATGAGATTTTGTAAACATTTTACATGTACTTAAGTTCTGAGTCTGAGAGAGTGACTCAGTGAGACTATTTTTTTTCTCACCAGACAGCATCCTCAGTGATGGTAGGCTAGGCCTAATTCATTCTTTTTACTTTATATAATATCAGGCATGCAACTTTTCCTCGGATCAGCTGATTTCCTCTTTTTTTAATTCCCATGTGTGCCATTGAAAATAGAAAAACACTGTACAAAATCTGGGACAAATTTGAATTTCCTCTTTTTTTGTGATTTCCCAGTTGCATGCCTGTATATTTTAGAATTTAAGCCAAATCATTATTATTTTATTAATCCGTCGTCCAGAATGATGCCATATTTGTGTTGTAAAATCAAGTTCATTCAAGTGTGTATCCGTTTCATTTTCATGCTCAATAAAATTGTATTAACCTTAAAGGGAATATACATCATTTGCTTTTGCTGTAATTTTCAGGAATGGATGGAATAGGGGGATTGGAAATATATAGCAAATATAGTTACACTGATTTTTTTGAGGTTTTGGGTTCGAAAATGCTATAAAAACCAAGAAAAACAATCATTTTCCTGTATTCTGGTTCCCTGACTCCATCTAAGAAGAAACAGAGCAGTTTACATATATTGGGGAATTGTAAGGTCAGGGAACCAGTCTAGCTGGCTTGTACCCGTTTATAGGTGTGTAATCGATTGCAAACAAGTGCGATGGTCAACTGGGGCCAGTATTTGAAAAAAAAGCCAGTTTTTTTCCAACGCTGATCGGCCGATCAGCGTTGGAAATTGATACAAAAATACCACTTTTCTTGAAAATGACAGTATACCAGGTGCCATGATTTTACAGGATGCTTCATACTGTCATTCACTAACAGTCCAGCAAGGTATTTCAAAATGATTTGGTAGTTTTATTTTTTGATGTTTGGAAATGTTGTATTTTCCCTTTAAGTGTCACACTGTTGGTATGTTTATGGAAGTCAACCATTGCGCATGCATCAGTTGCCAGAGAATGCTTCTCGGACTTGACTTTTCATAAAAAAAAAAAAATCCCACAGTAGTCCATGAGTCCAAAAGAAAATTTTATGTACTACAATAAAAAGTAGCATTTGAAAATATTGATTTGGTGAAAATGAAAAAGTTCACACTGACATTCAAATCCTGCACCTTTGGCACTCCAAAACGCATTGCTATCCTACTGATCTGTCGAAGCACTTCAATCTTTTAAACCCTTAAATATATTTGCAACATTTGTTATGTTCCCACTTATAACAACAACCATTGAAAAAAACATGATACCTTTTCCGTATTTAGCCACTGCCTGAGTTTAAATCACCTCAAATCCTTCAATATCGAATACAATAAACACAAGGTTTTGGAGCATTCAAGGTGCTAGAGTTTGGCAACTGTTACTTGAAAATTGTACTTCAGAGAATGTATCTTAATTGGTTTTCCACACTGGAGGAGTCTGTGAGTTTCAAAAAGCCTCCTGGCAAAATGCCATGTGAGTTAGTTTTATTGCCATACTGATTTTACTTCGTTATTAACAGGTTTAGCTGATACTGATAGGTCTGTCTGTCAGAACACTCTCATGTCAAACGGCTCTGTTCAAGCACCATTGTACTCATCGTAAAGCCTTGTCATTAATTCCTTATTTATTGAGACACAATTTGGAGCTCATTAAAGTGAATGGATGATTGAGCACACACTGATCAAGGCTATTAGAGTTGAACAATGGCCGTCAGTATACATGTAACTGACGATCCGTGAATGGTCTTATATGCATAATGAATGAGGGTGAAATCCTGGAGAATGGTGCTTAGTGTCTGATGCTACTGTCACTTACAGTTTAATTGTTCAACTGTCAGTTGTTGCTATAACTATGGCTGTACTGAATATACTGTTGATCATCAATGGAATATTCAAATAGCTTTTTGCCGGTTTGAATATTCGAAAATAGAAAACCATGCACGTGCGCACGTGACTGTGGAGTAACCTCCTAGGCCCAAAATTTTGCAACTCCTCCTAAATTTTTCAAAATTGTCAGACAGTCCTGCCTCAAAATGCATTCATCCTCAATCCTCCAAAATCCTCCTCATCCCAAAACTTTGCACTCGTGTTTAAATGAAGGATAACCAACGCCAAATCCTTCAAAATCATCAGACAGTCCTGCCTCAAAATGCATTCATCCTCAATCCTCCAAAATCCTCTTGTGCTTCAATCACCATTCATCCTCAATCCTCCAAAATCCTCATGTGCTTCAATCACCATTCATCCTCAATCCTCCAGAATCCTCATTTGATTCAATCACCATTCATCCTCAATCCTCTAGAATCCTCCAAAACCGCCAGGAGGATTTTGGAGGAGTGAGGTGGGTTAGGGTTAATGGTGAAGTTGCGTTTTTATTGTCAGATGATACTTTTTTGTCGACGGTAACTTTCTTGTCGACATGTACATGTATTTATTGGTCCCATTCTTTTAGCTGGATAAAGTCCCTGGACCTACAATGTACCTCCATGGCTATACAGTACTTACCGGTACTGCAATATCATTGCATGCAATTTTTAACCGGCGTGCTTTGTATGCAACTTTTGACCAGCGAGGAAGGCAGCTTCAGCTGGCGTGTGTAAAACTTGATCGACAAGTTTCGAATATTCGAATATGCAATCAAGTGCAGTTTCAAGTAATCGAATACTATATTATTCGAAACTGGACAGCCCTATCATGCTTATTGTTTATGTACACTGTACAATGTACAATGTAGCAGGAGTATGTATGTGTAGACATAAATCGCGCGAGTTTCCTTCTCCTAGGCATGAGTACTAAAATGTCAATTCATTTTGTTTCCTTAAACGCCCCCTGCATTAACCTGGCTGGAATTGATTTTAGCTGATACACATTTATTTTAAAATTACCAAGAGATTTCAGTACTGCCCACAATTCACCAAACTTGTCTGTTCATTATTTACATTTTGTACATTGTACCATACGGTGTATGTACACGTATGTTATTGTTAAATGTGTATTCAATTGTTTTTCTCAGTCATTTGATACCATGTTACATGTATTTTTAATCGAAATACCAGTACGCCATACACAAGAAGCATCAAATAAGCTCTTGATGGCAGCCATTCTTTACTGTGTATACGTGTACAAGTACATGTACTGGTGGTGATTGGAATTCATCATCAACTTCACAAGTTCACAGAATCTGGGAAAGGAACCAAGTACATGCAACTTGGGCCAAGTAACAAAAATTAGACCAGTTTCTAATCCCCGCCCGCTTCCTTTTTTCCACCCATCTTAAAATTTTGTATTCATACATTTGCAATATGTGTTGCAGATTTTGTCAATACATTGTCTTTTTATTTATTTCCAACGAAATTGTAGCTATGTAGAAAGGGTGAGGGCCATTTTAGACACAATTTTGTATTCAGCAAAAGAGTCGAGAAAATGGAAGAATCCATCTGCCATCTTGGAAAATCTGCCATCTTTGAGAGGGGGAGGGGCTTCCTCCCCTCACTTTTTCAAAAAGCCCAGACGAGAAAGTTGTTTTTTGTTTGTTCTGGGCCTTAGTGTTAGAATTTGTCTCAAAGGTTTTTTCCATTTGGAAAAGATTTGGATCATATTGGGTTCAAGGTAAATGTACATTTACATGTACTGGTGCCATGTACAGTATACATGTACATGTACCATGTATGTATCACAACATTTACATTCATAACAATATTGATGAATGTGCATACTCATACACGTTGGACACCTGTTAAGCAGTCACCTGTCCGATCTGATTTGGATGAGTGAGGCAAAGTGATAATGAATGGGGGGTTAGACCTCTTCACACCGCGGTGGCCCGGCCGTCTTCGTCACATTTCCTGTAGTCAGTCATGCTATGGGTCACTAGCGAGTCATGTGAAGAAGGCTTCCTTGAAGTTTAGTACATGTACAGGATCTCAGCGACTCTGTGGCACAATTGAACAAAATAGTGTACTATCAGATACGGCATCTGGTGATTTTTGAGGGAACTCTATCTTCTGTTTGTAGTTTAGCTGATTCTACGTTGAGTCAGTACTACTTAGGCAGCATCAACCAATTAGCCAACATTAACCAGGATTTGACCGTAACTTTTTTTTTTCACTAGCCAGCCTGGCTATTTTCACTGGCCGGCATGTTTTTCTTTTATAAAGTCTCATGAACAACAATGTGTAAAACGTGTATCCTCGGGCAATCTTGTCAGTTTTTCTAATAAACACATCTAATAATTTATCACTAAACATTTAATAACATTAGACACAAATTGATACAGGTTTGCTTTCTGAATTTAATGATTTATTTCTTCCTGTCTTTTTATCTTTGCCGTAGCCCAATAATTTTGACTCGCCGGCCATGCTACCTAAGGAATAGTTGTGACTAGCCCACCGCAGTTTGACTAGCATTTGGCTACCGATAAAGTCGAACCCTGCATTAACCTGAGTTGAAAGATGTGAAAATTCTTTGAAGAATCAGATTGAAAATAAGCCGTTAAACAGCATACACACCTCTGTGTAGCCTTGCATTGGTGATTCAGTACTACAGTTTGTTCCATTGAATTTGAAGGTGTGTTTTTTTTATTGGGGGGGGGGGGGGGTTTGCCAGT